ATGGGCCAGGGTCTTGTGATTTTAGCTCACAGGAATTCCTACAGGTCCTGTCATTACCTCCACTCGGTGAGGAGTCAGGCCTCGTGGAGCGGAAGGTCCCCAGCTGGTTAGTAGCAGTGGGATTCTGAATCAGGCTGCGTGACCTCACCAGAGCATGTGCTTACAATCAGCAACGAGTCATGAGGACAGAAGTCTCCCAGGCAGCTCCTGGGCGACAACACAGAGCGTGCGGGGCTTAGCTCTGAGTGGAGGGGCAGCTCAGGCCGGGGCGAGGGCTGCTGCGATGAAACAGCTGTCGCTGGGCAGGGGTACAAAATGTGACCCTGCATGTCACAGAAGGATCTCCTTCCTTCCCGACTTGGTTAAGACTCCATGACTGGTAACATCTAAGGCTGTTCAATAAGGAAGACATAAAACTCTGAGGTTTTTTTTTTTTTCCCCCTTTAAGACAAAACCCAGGCCCTGAGGCGAGGAGCGCAGCTAAATATAAGCCTGCCGCGTGGGAGTGCGCCGAGGGCAGCTAACCACCAGGGTTGTGGCCAGGTGCTAGGGGCCTCGGATGCTCGCCATTCCTCTTGCTGCTCTTGGGAGCTGAGGTCCTTTTGGCTTCTTGGGTTTATTGCACAATCCACCTTGTTTGCTTGTGGCTCCCTGTTCCTGCCAAACCATCCGCACGCCGTTTTTTGAGCTTCCTATTCCCAAGACGCTTTTGCAATTCACTCCACGCTTCAAAAGCCTTTCAGTGCCTGCAAGCTGCTTATCAGAAACCTAAATTTAGCTAGCTAGCTGGTTCTAAAAACAGACCCCCCCCCTTCCCAGGGCTGGCATGATGGCTCAACTGGCTAACCCTTCATGTGTAAGGGCTGACATCCCATATGGAGTGCTGGTTCATGTCCCGGCTGCTCCACTTCCCGTCCAGCTCCCTGCCTGTGGCCTGGGAAAGCAGCGGAGGATGGCCCACAGCCCTGGGACCTTGCACCCGCGTGGGAGACCCAGAAGAAGCTCCTGGCTCCACGGTTCAGATCAGCCAGCTGGGGGAGTGAACCAGCAGATGGAACACGTTTCTCCCTCCTTCTCTCTTCAAGCTGCCTTTCAAAGACAATAGAAAAAGTCATTAAAAACAAAACAGAGAACAGCAAGAAAATAAAAGCAGCCCCTCCAACATTCGTATCTCCTGTCTCAACGTTCATATGCGCTCTGGCGCTTATGTAGGTGGAGGATTCTTACCCAGGAGGAGGGGAGGGCAGAGAGGGACAGATTGGAAGCAACAGGGGAAAACCTAGTTTATCTTCTGTAGGTGTGTCAATTTACCAGAATTATTCCAAACATTATTATTTTTTAAAGATTTTATAAGATTTATTTTGATTACCAAGTCAGATGTACAGAGAGAAAGAGAGACAGGAAGATCTTCCGTCCGATGATTCACTCCCCAAGCGGCCACAATAGCCAGAGCTGAGCCGATCCGAAGCCAGGAGTCAGGAGCTTCTTCCAGGTCTCCCATGTGGGTGCAGGGTCCCAAGACTCTGGACCGTCCTTGATTGCTTTCCCAGGCCTCAGGCAAGCAGCCAGATGGGAAGTGGGGCTGCTGGGATTAGAACCAGCACCCATATGGGATCCCAGCACATACAAGGTGAGGACTTAAGCTGCTATGCTACAGCACTGGGTAGAATGAAAGTCACATGAATTTTAAAGATAAAACCAAGTCTTTAAAGGCCTTTCAGGGTGTCTGTAGGCTACCATCTCATATCCTGGAGAATCTGAAGTTGCAGAAGCTCAGAGGTCTATCCTAGAGCTGGTGCTGTGGCACAGTACATTAAGCCACTATGCGCAGGGCACAATCCCACATCCAGCTAATGGCCAGCCAGAGCTCTGGAAATTGCCTGTCCTTGGGCTGCTGCAACCACGTGGCAGAGCCAGATAAAGCTGCTGAGTGAGCTGGCAGACAGGAGCGCTCTGTCCCGCCCCTCACCCTTACCTTAAATAAATGCCCTTCCTAAAAAAACAAAACAAACAAAAAACCCCGGCATATTATGAAAAAAGAAAAAAAGCTACGCATGGACTTCAGGATTTTTCCCACAAACTTCCTTAAGTCCCCTAGCATTTGTTTCTTCTCTCCAAGCTACTCTGGTGGTGTTTGAGTAGGATTCTGAAAAAACAAAACAAAGCAACAAACTGACCCCTTTTTACATTCTCTTTCCTCCAGGCTTTCACACAGCTAACACTGACCCGCGCCCTACAGCTTTCCCTAAAACGCCGGCCGCTGCTGGCCAGTCCTGCCCAGCGGCTCCACACATTCCGCAGGCACCGGCAGGGCGGGCTCCTCGCCAGCGTGTCCTAAACTGACCACCACCTAACTAAAGCTCGGGGCACCCAGGGAACCCCACGCCCGCGGAGGTGATGCGCTCCGTCCCGTGGCCTCTCCAGGGCGCCTCCCCTCGTCCGCGGTCCCTGCTGGGGTGAGCTGGGCCGGGGCGGTCGGCCGCCCGGGTCCGCACACCGACAGCCTGGCAGCACTGTCTGGCCGAGGGCTGCAGGACACCGGGCCGGGAGGTCACAGTGAGGAGGAAGACCCCAGCCCAGCGGAGAGCCCCACGGCCCCTCAAGAACCAGGCCGCCGAGGCTCGCCGCGCAGGCGCAGTGGCCCCAGGGCGCGCGCAAATCCACGCCCGCCCCTAGTCCCGCAAGGCGCACGCGCAGCGGCGGGGGCGTGGCCAAGGCCGCGGGTTCCGCCGCCCGCCGGCTTTAACCCCGGGGCGTGCTAGGATCTGAATGTCCGATCTTCCCCTCCCTGTGTCCCGGTCGGCGTGGCTTGAGGCGAGGCGGTGCTGCAGTTCTAGAGGGTGAGTGCAGGCTGTGTGGTGCCGGAGGACAAACTGCGGGCTCCAGGGTCCCTGTCCATGTGTGCAGGTGCCAAGGGGCGGGGCGAGCTTGTGGCGGGAAACGGCTGGGCAGCCGGAGGGGCGGGGCATGGGAATGATGGGCGGGGCATGGGTGTGATGGGCGTGGATAAGCCATATAAGGGGCGGGGCATGGGTGTGATGGGCGGGGGAACCCTTGCGAGAGGCGGGGCATGGGTGTGATGGACAGGGGTAAATCCACGCGGGGGGCGGAGCCGGGGCGTGATTGGCACGGAGAAACCCAGGCGAGGACCGGGCCGCGTTGATGGCTCGAGAGGCGGCTGGAAGGGAGGCTGCGTCTTCAGTCTGGCACGACTTGTGTTGCTGAGCGCTCGTCTGAAGTATTTTGTGTTGAAGTGGAGGCGTGAGCCCTGTCCTCGGCGTTTTGCAGCCGAGAATCTGAGGCTTAAAGGTGCTGACTTGAGGGTACAGCCGGGCTCCCATAAGCCATGCGGTTAGGGGTTTGGTGGCTAGGGTCCAGTCCAGAGGGTCGCTGGGGGAGCGTTTGAGCTCTCCTTCCCCCGGCGTGAGGTCGCTGAAGATGGAGGCGGGAGCCCGGCGCCGGGCAGCGCTCAGCAAAGGCCTGGGCGTTTGCTTTCCTGGCCCAGCGCCATCTCTAACCCAGGTGGAACTCCGCTGAGATCCGGGTTAACGGCAGGGCTGCGGGGCGGTGGGGTTTGCCGAAGTGTGCGGGTCTTAGGAGTTTATTTATTATTATTTTTAAAGATTTATTTTTACTGGATACTCAGATTTACAGAGAGAAGGAGAGACAGAGAAAGATCTTCCATCCGCTGGTTCACTCCCCAAGCAAGTGACCGCAAAAGCTGGTGTTGAGCTGATCCAAAGCTAGGAGCCAGGAGCCTCTTCTGGGTCTCCCACATGGGTGCAGGGTCCCAAGGCTTTGGGCCATGCTTGACTGCTTTCCCAGGCCACAAGCAGGGAGCCGGATGGGAAGTGGAGCTGCTGGGACATGAACCTGTACCTAGTGGATGCAAGGTGAGGATTTAGCCACTAGGCTGCCGCACCGCACCCTCCTCTCCCCAACTACTTCGCTTCTAATCCAGCTCCCACCTAATGTGCCTGGGCTGGCAGTAGAGGATGGCCCTAAGTGCTGGGGTCCCTTGCACCCACATGGGAGACCTGGAGGAAGCTCTGACTTAGACCTGGCCCAGCTCTGGCAGTGCTACCTTTTGGGTAGTGAATCAGCAGGTGGAATCTCTTTGTCTCTCTTCGGTGTGGCGTATATAGTCTCATAGAAGGAGATGTTTGTCCGAGTTGGTGAGCTGGATCTTAAGTCGTGAGAACTCATCAGGTCAGGGGTTATAGCAAGTGCAGGGTCCGTGCTGATGGGACCGGCTGGCTGCGTGGCCACCGTGTAGACCTGACTGGTGGTGGCCTGTCGTGAGTGGAGATGCTGACCGTGTTTTTGTCTTGATGCGTATAACTAAGAACACCTGGCTGCAGGAGCGGAAAGGCAGTGAGGGGAGGGGTCGGGGACGCCGAGTAACAGGCCTCACCTGGCGGTGTGATGGTGGTGATGGGTAGGAGACCAGGGGGAGGTTGATCGCTAGGGTTGCTCTTGGGGGGGCGTTCCTGGCGCCACTGCAGGGCTGAGCTATCCCTTCTCTGGTGTCTGTAAGAACTCGCGCCCTGGTTCGTGGCCTCTGTTGGTTTCCCTTGGCGGTCCTTGGAGGACCCTCCCCACCCGCACTTTTGCTCTCGCAACCTCATGAACCTGGCTCCTGCCAGGCCTTGCTGACTTTGGTTTTGAATCCCTGGTTTTCTGCTTCCTAGCTGTGACTTTGAGCAGGTGTTTAGTTTCTTTAAGCATCAGCATCAGCAGCCTGCTGGTCTTAATTAGACTCTTCAGTGCGAGGGCCTGCGCTGCTATGGCCCACCGGTGGGTGCTGGGAGCTCATTGCCTGCCCGTCCTTCATGCTTGGATGGTTTGTTCGTGACCGGTCTCTCGGTCGGTACTGAATGTCCTCCTGGTCTGCAGTCATCCTTCACCATGGTTGTCCTTGGAGGTGAAATACAGGGCGATGGATTTGTTGGTTTGTTGATGTTGATTTGTTCCATCCACAGGAGTTCAGCTTCTGATTGTCCACCTGTGTGCTGTGCCTCGGCAGGTCCTCCAGCCCACATGAGGTGAAGTGGCCGGGCCCCGTGAATGCCACAGTGCACGGTGTCGGGACTCTGTGCTGCTGGAGTCATCGCAAACCATAGGGCTGACTCTTGCTGGGGACACCAGTCCTGAGGGGGACGCTGTCCATCTCTGGGAGAGACATGGAAAGGTATGTGGGCAGGGGGAGGTGGTGGTGGGGGGACATGGGTGAGGGCTTTCCTGGCGGTGGGCACCTGATAACCCATTGTCACGTGTCGACTCTTGCCATCCCGGTGTGGTTGCATGTGGGTATGCCAAGGACGGAGCAAGCCGGCTGCAGCCCAAGGAGAAACCTTGCCACGAGGGGGGGGGGTCACTTCCTCCTGGCTCTGGAGAGACTTGTCCGACCCCCTGCTTCTCCCTAAGGTCCACGGGCAATGAAACCCAGGCGGTCGACGGCGGTGGTGGCGTCCACTTTCCGTTCCCCTTCACGCCCTACCCCATCCAGAAGGACTTCATGGCAGAGCTCTATAAGGTGTTGGAGGCTGGCAAGATCGGGATCTTTGAGAGTCCCACGGGCACGGTGAGGATGAACCCTGAGGGGCTGGGATTGTGGCAGCTCGGGGGGCAGGCTTGCTGGCTCTCGTCCCTGCAGATGTGTTCACAGCTCAGACAGAGGAGTCTTAGTTTATCTTTCTGAGCAACAGTGACTTGCTCTATGCAGTCGGAACACAGGCCTGGGGGCTGGAAAACAAAATCAGGGTGGAATTTGAGTTGCATTGGAAAACCGTAACACACGGCACAGAATCTCCCCTGGGCACGTACCTGCTTTGATGTCAGCAACGTGCAAGAGTAAGCCTAGGTGTTAGTCTCCTGGAACCAGGTTCCCCTGTGCCCCGGGGTGCTGGCCAGAGTCCCTGGATCTTTCCTTTCTGCCCCGACACGGGCTGCGTTCCCTGGGAGCTGGCCCCCTGGCAGTTGCTGGGTCGTGGTGAATGCTTTCCTGCTTCTCTCTTGAACTTTATGACTTTATACAGCAAACTTTTCAGTAAAATCTAGGAAGATGTTTCAAGAAAGTTAATGGAAATCAGTAGGAAAAAGGTGCAAAGATCAGGGCAAAAAAGTTTTGAAACTTGTCATTGAGGGGTCTTGAAAAAATCATAGAAAAAAATGTATGTGTCTGGTGCAGTGGCTCAACAGGCTAATCCCCTACCTTTAAGCACCAGCATCCCATCTGGATGCTGGTTCTTGTCCTGGCTGCTCCATTTCCTGGATAGCTCCTTGTGGCCTGGGAAAGGGACAGAGAATGGTCCAAGTCCTCAGTTGCCTACACTCATGTGGGAGACCCGGAAGAAGCCCCTGGCTCCTGGCTTCACATTGGCTCAGCTGCAGCCATTGCAGCCATTTGGGGCAGTGAACCAGCAGATGAAAGATTTTTCTCTGTCTCTCCTTCTCTCCGTAAATCTGTCTTTCCGATAAAAATAAATGTTTAAAAAAAATGTGTCTTGGAACAGCACTGTGGTACACTGAGTTAAGCATTCCATGTGTGCCGGTTGCTCTACTTCCGCTCCGGCTAAAGCAAATGCAGCTGGGAAAACAACAGACATGGCCAAGTGCCTGTGCCACCTGTGGGGAGACCCGGATGGAGCTCCTGGCTCCTGGCTTTCCTGGCTCAGCCCCATCTCTTGTGGCCATTTGGGAAGCGAGCCAGCTGATGGAAGATCTCCCTGTCTCTGCCCCTCTCCAGCTCTGCCTTTCATATAAATAAATCTTTAGAAATGATATTAAAAGAAAAACACTTACTGGAAGAGCATTTTTGCTCCATTCCCCCTGAGCTGTTGGAGTCCCCTCCTGCACGTTGTTGCGCAGAGCCCTGGCGAGCCTGGAGCCCCTGGGTTGTAGGGATCCTTTGGTCCTCCCTGCTGGGGCCTGTCGCCGCACGGAGCTTGACCAGGGGCTCCTGCAGAGGCACCTGTGCATGTGTCGTCGCGTGAAAGGGTCTCCCGTGTCTCCCGCTCGCTGCCAAAGTCTTGGCTGTCTCTCGAGGTGGCTGTGGACTCCCCCGGGACAGGAGTGGTGCAGCCTGGGGTGCTGTGTTGGTGGGGGGGTAGGACTGCTGCATGGCCCAGGACGGTCCCGGAGGGAGAACTCTCGGGATGGAGGATGTCTCGTGTTTTTAATTCATCTTCCAGTAGTGTTGGAACCTTCCCTTTAAACTCGATGCTGTGCCCTTCTTCCCCGGCCACTTGCCCGGGTGTTCCTTAGAGTTATAGCGATTCCTGTTTAGTGCATGCGGATGGCCCATGTCCTTACTGGACCAGTGACCACAGAGATCAGCCCTGGGGAAGCTTCCTTCAGTTCATTTCAATTCTAAAGAGAGAGGGGCGAGACAGGTTATCTGCTGGCTCTCTGCCCAGATGGCCTGGGGGACTGAGACAGGCAGAAGCCGGGAGCTTCAATGGGTCTCACATGGGTGCAGGAGCCCATGGCCTTGGGCCATCCTCCACTGCTGTCCTAGGCCATAATGGGAGAGCTGGATGTGAAGTGGAGTGGCCAGGACCTGAATTAATGCCCATATAGGATGCTGGAGCCATTGGTGGTGCCTTAACCCGCTGTACCACAGTGCCAACTCCCACTGTTTTGCTTTATTTCTTAATATTTATTATTTACGGGCCTGGCCCAATAGTGTAATGGTTAAAATCCTTGCCTTGAACGCGCCAGGATCCCATATGGGCGCAGGTTCAAATCCCGGCAGTTCCACTTCCCATCCAGCTCTTTGCTTGTGGCCTGGAAAAGCAGTTGAGGATGGCCCAAATCCTTGGGACCCTGCACCCGCGTGGGAGACCTGGAAGAAGCTCCTATGGGATACCAGTGCTTTCAGGGAGAGGATTAGCCAGTTGAGTCATTGTGCCAGCCCCAACAGATTTTTAATAATAGCAGAAATACAGCCAGCTCCTGTGGCTCACTGTGTAGCAGGCAGCCTTCTGTTTGGGGTGTTGGTGTTAATCCCTTGTCAGCTGGCTCCCTCATGGCTGTAACTCTGAGGATTGTCCCACTCCAGTCATTCCTGTTCCTGTGTGTGGAGCGGATGTAGAGAGAGGCCAGCTGAGGTCGTGGGGCTGGCCTGGGGACTCAGGATGTTGCCTGGTGGCCTGGCTTGGAGCCTGAAGCTGGAACAGGTTGTTCTGTCTCCCCTGCTCAGAATACACAGACACACTCTTCCCCCCGCTATTCACTATTTCCCAGAAAGCTCTGGCGCTCCGAGAGGGAGAGGGATCCTCCATCAGCCACTTCACTTCCCAAATGGCGGCAGTGGCTGCTGGGCCAGGAGCCTGGAGCTCCTTCCGAGTCTTTTGGGTCTCCCTTGTGAGTGACAGGAGCCCAAGCACTTGTGCCGTCTGCGGCTGCTTCCCCAGGTGATGTAATAGCAGGGAGCTGGAGAGGAAGTGCAGTGGCTGGGACAGGGACAGGTGTCACACAGGGCGCTGGCACTGTAGGTGGCAACTCTACCCACTACGCCTCAGTGCCAGCTTCCTGTGTTCAATTCTGTTTCTGAGTCCCCGCCTCCCTGGGCTAGTCTTGGAGCTGCCTCTGCTGTTTCTTTTTCTTTCTTTTTTAGATTTATTGATTTATTTTTTATTGGAAAGGCAGATTTACAGAGAGGAGAGACAGAAAGATCTTTCATCCACTGGTTCACTCCCCAAGTGGCCACGATAGCTCGAGGTGAGCTGATCCAACAGCAAGAGTTAGGAGCTTCTTGAGTCTTCTACACAGCGTTCCAAGGACTTGAACCATCCTCTGCTGCCTTCCTAGACCATCAGCAGAGAGTTGGATGGGAAGTGGAGCAGTCGGGACACGAATCTGTGCCCATATGTGATCCCCGAGCTTTCCGGATGGAGGATTTGTGAGCCATCATACCCTTCCCTGCGTCTGCTGTTTCAAACTGGACTTCTTCAATGGGGAGAAGGCATTTGGGAAACTGTGTTATTTACCCTCTGCCCTTGAAATGGGGCTTCTTTCTGTAGGGCAAGTCCTTGAGTCTTATTTGTGGGGCCCTCTCCTGGCTCCGGGACTTTGAAGAGAAGAAGCGCCAGGAAGAGGCGCGTCTGCTGGAAGCTGAGTCCGCTGCCTCGTGTGGCACGGGGGACCCAGCCCCACCTCCCGATGGCTCGAGGCCTGCAGGGGAGCCAGACTGGGTCACGCAGTTTGTGCAGAAGAAGGAAGAAAGGGACTTGTTGGACCGACTGAAGGTGAGCTGCGTGACAGGCCATGGGATCTAGAGGGCAAACGGCGCCAGCCAAGATCAGGGTCAAGGCTAAAGGGGGCACGTCCTGCAGCCTTCCATGAGGGGCAGTGTCTCTGAGATCTCTCCTTTCTCCGCCCACTTAAACATTCACTTATTTGAACGGCATAGTGAACAGAGAGGGACTCGTAGAAAAGGAGGGAGATGTTCATTTGCTGGGTCGCTCCCTAAACGGTCGCTCTAGCCGAGGCTGGGCCACACCAAAGCCAGGCGTCCAGAGCTACTTCAGGTCCTCTCAGACGAGTGGCAGGTGGCAGCCACACTTGAGCCATCTGGCATTGCTCTCCCAGGTGTTACCAGCGTGGAGATAGATTGGAAGTGGAGCAGCCTACACGGTGGCTCCCTGCTGTGTCACCAGGACACCTGCTGTGTCGCCAGGCCTTCTGCCAGCAAGGGCCTGGCAGTTACCATTCATCACTCATCGGGCAAAGAACCTGAGCATTGAGGTTGGCAGCCCGGCTCCCTGCCTGCCAGCTCCGTTGAGGAGGAAGTTGGGGGCGGATGAGTTCTGCAGGGCTGAGGGTCCTGGGAGAGCTTGCTGTCCTGACCGTGAGCATGACCAGGTGTGAGGAAACCCCTGGCAGAGCACGGCTCCTGAAGAAGGGGCTGGTGGGGGCTCCCCCGGGCATTCCTTGGTGCCGCCTCACCCTTAGGAGGAGCATGTCAGAAGGAAGAAGCGGGAGGAGCGACTGCAGCAGATTCGACACAACGGGCAGCTCAGGGCTGCAGCCCAGCGCCTGGTGAGTGTGGTCCCACACGGGGTACGGGTTGAGTCCTGCCATTTGCTTGTATCTGGGGTCTCCCCATCCATCCCCCCACCCACGCCCAGTCACTGGGCGTCGGGAGGAGCTGAGGTGTGGTCCCGACAGCCTGGCTGCCAGTCCTGGGCACTTGTGGCTGTCTCCCCCTGCCTGCTCCTGTCACCCTCGGGATGGCGGTGTGGCAACTGAGCTTTCCTCTCCCTCCACTTCCCCTCCTCCTCTTCCATGTCCCCGCAGAGACAGGAGGACGAGGAGACCCAGAGCCTCCTGCGCCTCAGCAGGGAGATGCTGGCGGTGGCAGGTGCAGGCGCGGAGCCGCTGGACCAGCTGGAGGCCGGAGAGGAGGAGCTGGTCCTTGCTGAGTACGAGAGCGATGAGGAGAAGAGACCCGTGAGCGGGTGAGGCCCCACGGCTCCCGCCCAGGGTGTGCGGGAGGACGCGGCCTCCTCCTGCCCCTTCCCTCTCCAGGTCCTTCTGGCTGGGGCCTACTGGCTGCTGCCCTGGTGTGCATGTGGGCTCGGTGGTCCAGCAGCTGCAGGTCGCCTGATGGGGGAGATGCTGCTGAAAGCCGCGAGGGCAGGAGTGGAGGAGCTGTGCTTGAGCCCGACCAGGCTGTGGCTTTAGGTCTCGGGTTGTCAGTCGGGACACACACCGCGCCGGGGTGTTCCTCGCCTGGTGCAGGTGACTGCCGTAGGAACATCACACGCAGCACCTCCCCAGAGAGAGCACCCTTACAGAGACCCCTCAGAGAGCGCCCTTAGAGAGCCCCCTCAGAGAGCCCCCTTAGAGAGAGCCTCCTTGGTACTCTCTTTCATTTCCCCAGCCCCTCCCAAGCCTGCTCTCTGGGGTGGCCCTGGTCCCCAAGCTAGGGACACATGTTTCAGGTCGGGGGAGGCTGCTGATGAGTGCAACAGCCACTCCAGGGCCCGAGGGCAGTGGCTGCTCTGCAAGGGGAGAAGGGAGGGCTAGGCGGAGCCGTGGGACGGCGGGCTGGACATGGAGCAGGGGTCTGCTCCTGGGTCAGGAAGGAGGTGCACGAGCCTGAGCGAGTGAGGAGATGGAGTGGAGCTGGAGCAGGGCGCCATGTCGGCCAGCCGGGTAGGGGTGGCTGTCACTCAGCACTGTGACTGGGAAGTGACACGATCTGACACACACACACACTGGAAAGCCCTGGCTCCCAGGGCGTGCTGGTTCCCTCTGGCTCTTCCCTCTTGAGCTTCCAGCTGGGCAGATGGCTGTCCTGCTGCTGTCGGCAAGTCATGCTCTCCTGGGTCCTCACAGTGTCATCCCTGGGCACTCCGAGGGAGGACTGGTGCTTGTCCCAGCGTTCCCCATGGCCTGGCTGCCCTGGCTGGACATCAGGCTGCCTCTGCCCTCTTTGTCTTGACAAATCTCACCTTGAAGACTGCTGGTTTAGATGCCAGCTCTGCGGCTTTGCTGTTGGCCCCTGTCTCTGTGTCGTGCTGTGTGTGTGTGTGTGCTGTGGTGTAGATGTATGTGGTGTGTGTGAGGTATAATGTGTATCCTGTGTGATGTATGGTACGTGTGTGTATGGCATGTGTGATATCTATGTTGTGTGTGGTGTGTATATGTGGTGTATGTCCTGTGACATATAGTATGTATGTGGTGTGTGTGCTGTGTTTTGTGGTACATAGTGTATATGTGCTGTGTGTATGTGTCGTGTGGTGTACGGTATGTGTATATCATGTATGTTTATGTATGTGGTATGTGTGGTATACGGCATATGTGCATTTGTGGTATAGTATGTGTGTCCTGTGTGGTATATGGTATATGTGGAGTGTGTATGGTGTATAAGGGGTATGAATGATATGTATATGGTTTATATGGGTGTGTATGGTTTATATGGGTGTGTATAGTGTACAAGGGGTGTGTATGGTGTATATGGGGTATGTATGGTGTGTAAGGGGTGTGAATGGTATGTATTGGGTATGTATGGTGTATGTGGTGTGTGTATGGTGTATAAGGGGTATGGTGTATAAGGAGAATGAATGATATGTATATGGTTTATATGTGTGTGTATGGTGTGTAAGGGGTGTGAATGGTGTATATGGGGTATGTGTGGTGTGTAAGGTGTGTATAGTGTATAAGGGGTGTGTATGGTGTATATGGGTGTATGGTGTATGGTGTATAAGGGGTATGGTGTATAAGGAGTATGAATGATATGTATATGGTTTATATGGGTGTGTATGGTGTGTAAGGTGTGTATGGTGTATATGGGTGTGTATGGTGCGAATGGGTGCATATGGTGTATATGGGGGATATGGTGTGTGGATTCCCAGGCCCTTCCTGTCTGCTTGAGGGGGCTCTGTAGACTGGGTTCAGGACTGGAGATGTCTGGGCCCCCAGCATCCCCTGAGGGTGTCAGCAGCTGTGAGCACCTCCACCTGCCTGGAGACTGTCGCCCTGCCCCGTCCCACCTCCTTGGAGGCCCCTGGGGCAAGGACGAGAGCTCCGTGGGGTCTGTGGGCTGTGGTGGGCGATGTGCGCCTTGGGGGTCCGACTGGGAGCCCTCAGTCCTGTAGAGACACACCCCTCCAGGCAGCCCTGCCCGTCTTCACGTGCCAACCTGTCTCCTGGGCCTTGCTGATTGCCCAGCAGGCCGTGCGCAGTGGGCACCCCAGAGACTTCCTTACTGAGCAGGAGGCCACTGCATAGAGCCCTCTTCTCATAGCTATCCTGAGGCAGCTGCACTTGAACTTTGTGCATCTGGTTCACCATTCCTGCTTTTCTCAAATTGGATTTTAAGGTGAATAGAGAGATATGCCTGTAGGTAGCCAGGGTCTGCAAGGGAATTCCGTGTTTTCTCAGGAGCCCCGGCTTGTGCCCTTGGTTGAACTTGAGGCCGGTTGGCATGGGCCTGACCATCGTACCGTCTCCCCGTGCTGACAGTCTCCTGGTCCCTTGCTGGCAGGGGCAGAGTGCGGCCCTGGGAAGCGAAGAGGGTTGCCAGTCCTGAGGGACGCTGGCGCCTCGTGTTCTGCCGGCTGTGGCTTCACTCGGGATGGGCATGCGGAGTTCTCGCTGCTGCCAGGTGCTGGCTTGGGCAGAGGAAGGCTGGCCTGTGGACTGGCAGCCAAGGGGCTGTGGCAGGGCAGTAGGTCTCCCATTGGAGACTAGGGGGAGCCATGTTGATGCTGGGATCTCCCAGGAACAGGTGTTGGTGAAGCGAGAGATGGGGGAGCATCCAGAGCCCTGAGGTGGCAAAAGGCCGGGTCTCTTCAGGACCAGGAGAGCAGGGAGCCTGCAGCGCCTGCCAGAGCTGGCTGTGGAGCTGGGGCTGCTGGCTTTCCACGTGGGGCTGGCGCACCCTGCCCCGTGCTCTGTTCTCCCGTGCGTCCCTGTGTCGCAGGTCCGAGCACCGTGGCAGGTGCTGGCTGGAGTTTGCCAGGGGTGTATCTGAGGAGGCCTCAGCCCTGGGGTGGCGGTGTTGCTGTAGCTTGTCCCCTCGGTTCCCTTGGCTTCTGCAGCGAGGACCCCGTGTGCTGTCCGGGCGGGTCTCGGGTGCCTTGCAGAGGCTCACATTTTCCTAGTTGGCCCGCGTTTCCTGGGGGAAGGCTGTGCTCTGATTGGTTCCCCCACTCCTGTAGGGTGGATGAGGATGAGGATGCTTTGGAGGAAGAACACAGGACTAAGGTGAGTGACCATGTCCCTGAGTCTGTGTGCCCGCCTGGCTCCACCAAGGGCGTACCAGCTGCTCCCTGGCTGCCAGCTGGGAAGTGCCCCTGGGGACCCTCTCACCCCTCAAGGAGCCAGCCTGGCTTATTGCCCCAGAGCATGGAGGGGCAGGTGTTCTGGGCCAGGGGCTGGCGTGGTCTCTGACTGAAGCCCCAGCCTGTGTCCCTGTCACCACCTGTGCCCTCCCTTTCTCTGTGCGGAGTACCTGGAGGTGCCTGTAGTTCCTGTGCCCCTCCAGCAGGGGGAGGCCTGGTGCTGCTCATTGAGGATGTTAAGTTTTGGTTGAAAAAGAGCTGTTTCCCCTCTGCTTTTGTATTTTCCCCAACTTCTAAGAAGTGAAGAAAAGTAAGCTGGCGAGCCTCAGCCCTCCCCTCTCCCCCAGGGATCTTGGCTAAGTTAAGCACTGTTGCCTAGTGGGTGGGCGTCCAGCTCCCTGCCAATGCGGCCCCTGGGAGGCAGTGACGGTGGCTCCTGCAGGACTCCTGCTGTCCACGTGGGAGACCTGCCTGGAGGTCCTGGCTCCTGGCTTCAGCCTGGCCAGCCCTGACTGCCAGGAACGTAGGGATCCAGCCCGTCTCAGAAACACGTCCCCCCACTGCCCGGGCCCCTCAGGCAGTTGGGTTAGGGGCCCGACACAGCCTCCAGAGGTCCCACCTGTGTGCTTTCCCTCGGGCTGCTGGATGTGGGGTGACTGGGGAAGTCCGTGGTCCCCCATCTCAGGATGTGGGGTGTGGTTATTTTGCTTCCGGTTTGTGCGTGTTGTGGCTGCACTCCCTGTCCCCGTGGCTTCCGGGGACAGGCTGCGGGAAGCTCCCCCAGCCCTCGGTGCTTCCCCCGTGCAGATCTATTACTGCAGCCGCACACACTCGCAGCTGGCCCAGTTTGTGCGGGAAGTGCAGAAGAGTCCCTTTGGCAAGGACACGCGGCTTGTGTCCCTCGGCTCGCGGCAGGTACGTGCCACCGAGGCGGGAGAGGCCTTGGGTCTCATCAGCACCTTCTCTCCCTCCCCTCTGCACCCCCTGGCCTGGGAAGGGCAGGAGGGGGCTGGGCAGGGCCGGGCGGCCTGCCGAGGGTCGCTGAGCCAGCCCGGTTGCCTTGCCTCTCTGTCCTGTCCCGCAGAGCCTGTGTGTGAACGAGGACGTGAGGAAGCTGGGTTCCGTGCACCTCATCAATGACCGCTGTGTGGAGATGCAACGTAGCAAGCATGGTAGTCGCTTGGAGAGCCTGCTGGTGGGGCTGCTGGGGGTGACAGGGCAACCTTGGGCCACTCCAGGGACATGGGAGATAAAACTGGGTGGTCTTAAGTAAAAATAACAGGGTGGGTATTCAGTCTGGTGGTCCAAAGACTTCATTTATTTTTATTTAAAGGCAGATTCACGGAGAGAAGGAGATATTCTGTCTGTTGGTTCGTTCCCCAAATGGCCACAATGGCCACAACTGAACCAATCTGAATCCAGGAGCTTCTTCTGGGTCTTCCACACAAGGAGAGGACTTGGGGCATCTTCCTCTGCCTTGCCAGGCCACAAGCAGGGAGCTGGATTGGAAGTGGAGCAGCTGGGACTAGAACCAGCACTCATATGGGACGCTGGCACTTGCAGGTGGAAGATTAGCCTATTGAGCCATGATGCCAGCCCTGGTCTGGTGGTTTAAGACACTTTTACATTGCATGTTGGAGTGTGTGGAATCATGGCCCGCCTTGACTCCAGCTTACTGCTCACGTAGACCCCAGGAGGCAGTGGTGAGGGCTCAGGCAATGGGATGTCTGTGAGCTCCACCTTCCATCCTGTCCCAGCTGTGTGTGCGGAGGATGGGGCGTAAACCAGTGGGGAGCAGTGCTCTCTGTGCCAATGAAAAAATCGCATGGGGCCACTGGCAGCGGGGGCCAGGCTCCTGTAAGGACAGCCCGATTCTTCCCCGTTCTGTGGTCAGCGTCTAGCCCGGATGTCTGGCCCAGAGGCTGGCTGAGGACCAGCTGTCAGGGCGAGGGCCTGGGGAGCAGTGAGTGGGAGGGTTCTGCAGACCCCTCCCCCGGGTGGGGTAGGGGTCTAGGGGGGACTTCGCATCCCTGACCGCCCCGTGGCCCCTTAGCCAGCTGCCACCCTCCGGGTCTCCTCTCGCCTCCAGAGAAGAAGAGCAAAGCCGAGGAAGGGCAGCCAAAGCGAAGGCGGCGGGAGAGCCGGGCCGCCTGCCCCTTCTACAACTACGAGCAGCTGCAGCTGCTGCGGGACGAGGTCCTGCTGGAGGTCAAGGACATCGAGCAGCTGCTGAGCCTGGGCAGGGAGGCCCGGGCCTGCCCCTACTACGGGAGCCGCTTTGCCATCCGCGCCGCCCAGGTGAGGCCCCTGTTGGGGCACAGCATGCGGCCCCCTTCCCGTAGGCTGCCATTGCACCGTGCGTGGTCATGGCACATGGCCATTCCCTGCTAGGGTGCAAAGTCGGAGGCGAATCCCTCAGTGGCCCCGGGCTGCTAAGAGCGGGGACAGCAGCTGGGAGTCAGGGGCGAGCGGGCGCAGGGTGTGCACTGAGAAGGTGCCTGACAGCTTTTTAGAGTGACTTGTGACTCGGGGCCACCTGCAAAGTGGAAGTCTGTCTTCTTGAGCTGCCATGTCTTTATTATTTTAAGATTTATTTATTTTTGCTGAAAAGGCAGTCTTATAGAGAGAGGGACAGATAGAGAAAGATCTTCCATTTGCTGGTTAATCCCCAAATGGCCATAACAGCCAGAGCTGAACCGATCTGAAGCCAATAGCATCTTCCAGGTCTCCCATGGGGGTTCAGAGTTCCAGGATCTTAATCCACTGCTGTCATAGGAGTGGCAGGAGCCCGCAGACTTGGTCTGTCACCTGCTGGTTCCTAGGTGAAGGGGGCTATTGCACTGTGTGTGGTCGTGGCCCGTGGCCATTCCCATCTAGGACGCGGGGTCAGAGGCTGATCCTTTGGTGGCTCCAGAGCATGAAGGTACAGTCACAGCCGGAGCCGGGGCTTGAACCCAGGTGTGCAAAGGAGCATCTCAAGGTGCAGAGATCCACTCCCAGCTCAGTGTCAAGTGTTTCATGTATCTGACGCAGGTAAAAGTCCAGTTGCTGCGGGCCAGTGTGTAGCTTTTCCCTTGCTTGTGTGTCTGCATTGCCCAGGCAGCAAATACAACAGCCTGCGCTGAGCCAGTGGATGGAGGCTCATCCAGTATTCTGCATGGGCGCTGGTTCGTGTCTCAGCTGCTCCACTGCCATTCCCACTCTGCTGGGAAAGGAGCCAAAGATGGCTGCCCAAGTGAGAGACCCAAACTGAGTTCCAGGCTCCTGATTTTGGATCAGCTCAGTTCTGGCCATTGTGGCCATCTAGGGAGTGGACCAGGAGATGGGAGATCTGTTTCCTTCTTTCTCGGTAACTCTGCCTTTCACATGTACTACATCTTAAGAAAAAGTCAAGCTGCGCCTAGCACGGTAGCCTAGTGGTTAAAGTTCTTGCCTTGAATGTGCCGGGATCCCAGATGGACACCAATTCTAATTCTGGCGGTCCCACTTCCCATCCAGCTCCCTGTTTACAGCCTGGGAAAGCAGTCGAGGATGGCCCAAAGCCTTGGGACCCTGCACCTGCTTGAGAGACCCAAAATCGCTTCCTGGCTTCTGATTGTCACAGCTCCAGCCATTGCGGCTGCTTAGGGAGTGAATCAGTGGACAGAAGGTCTACTCTATATCTGACTTTCCAATTAAGAAAAACTTTTTTTTAAGGGAAAAACAAAACAAACGAATAGGAACTTAGGCAGGACGGGCAGGCAGGGGTAAGGTGAGGGCAGTGAACGTCACGGCTCACGTGGTGTTCCCGTCCCCGGCCCAGCTGGTGGTGCTGCCCTACCAGATGCTGCTGCACGCGGCCACCCGGCAGGCCGCCGGCATCCGCCTGCAGGACCAGGTCGTGATCATCGACGAGGCGCACAACCTGATCGACACCATCACCAGCATCCACAGCACCGAGGTCAGCGGTTCCCAGGTGGGCCTGGTGGCGAGCGGGGCGCCAAGGTGACTGCCCTGCACGGCTGCAGGGGTCGCGGGGGGTCGCAGCCATGGCCTGGCCTTTCAGCAGATCCCGGAACTCTGGGGACTGAGCGCCACCTTAGCACCCTGTTCCCTCGCTCTTCCCCTGCCCCTCCAGTTGGTTCCAGGTGTTTCCAGTGGTTCTGTGGGGACCAGGCATGGGGTGCGCCTGTGGTGGGTGGGCCGCTGCTCATGTCGGGAGATTGGAGGGAGTGTGAGATCTCTGTGTGCTCTGTGTTCTGTGCCACGCACCCAACACACGCAGCCCACATCTCACCACTGGGTTCCGACTGACACCCACCACCTCCAGTGACCAGTGCTGGGTGACCAGTGCGTGGGTGACCTTGGGCCGGGGTGTAGTGGCTACCTCAAACCACAGCCTGCTCGTCTTTCCCAGCAAGCACAAGCTAGCAGGCAGATCCTGTCCCTGGGGACCCAGCCACTTGCTTTTCCCTGCCTCAAAGGGGACCCAGGGGCACACCCTACTGTTGCCAGCCTCAGGCTGCCAAAGCTCGGTCCTCGGGGCTGCTACTGGGTGGGGCACATCCGAAAGCGGCTTGCGTGGTGTTCCCTATCGGGGTGCTGGGTGTTGTCCAGGCTGCTCGGCTTCCAATGCGGCTTCCTGCTCATGTGCCCGGGAAGGCAGCAGGGGATGGTGCGTGTCCATGGGCCCCTTCCACTCTCTAGGGAGAGCTGCATGGAGCTCAGGCTCCTGGCTTCGGAGTAAAGCAGTGGATGGAGGGTCTATTTTCCTTTCCCTTCTTCTCTCCCTCTCTCTGTCCCTCTGTGACTCTACAGCAATAAACAAACCTTGAAACACAAGAAAGCCCCTTCCTCTTGGGTGTGCCCCGCCCCCTCTTGCTTCCCATCTGCCTCCTGGGTGGACGCCTTCTGAGCCTGCCACCCCGCCTGCTCGCCCAGCGCCTGGCCCACCTTCACTCCGTCCTCGGCTCTCTTCCCCAGCTCTGCCAGGCCCATTCGCAGCTGCTGCAGTACATGGAACGATACGGGTGAGGCCCTGCTCCTGCAGGTGGCGGGGGGGGGGTGTCCCACTCGGCCCCCGTGCCTCCCCCCTGACCACATCTGCTCAGAGAGGAGGCCCCGGGGGTCACTGTCCTTAGCCTGGAGCAGCGTGGTCACAGTGTTGGCCCATGTCCTCGGTTCCTTGCGAGGCTGCCCTGTGTGGCCTAAGATCCCTGGCCTCCTACAATGACTGGCTCTGAGGGCGCTGGGCCGTGGCTAGCCTGCTTTCTCTGGGAGGACTAGAGGCCCTTCCTGGTGGGTGGAAAGACCTGCACAGGGGTTGGGCTGGGCCCTGGTTGGGGACGGGAGGAGCCGCGGGCACTGGTCCCCATGGCCCTGGTCGGGCACTGCTCCCCATGTCTCTTGCTTTCTGCATAGGAAGCGTCTGAAGGCCAAGAACCTGATGTACATCAAGCAGATTCTGTATCTGCTGGAGAAGTTCGTGACGGTGCTGGGGGGTAAGAGGACACCACTGCCGGGCTGGCTGCCAGTGTGCTTCATTGAGCGTGGTTCTTGGCTGGCAATTTAGAGGCTCCTTGTTTCCTGAGCCGCCTGGCCCCGCATCTCTCTAAGAGGATCTGTTTACTGGCTCACATTTTTCTCCTGCCTGCCTCTCTAGGCAGTGTTGGTGTGGTAAGCTTAGGATACAGCTGGATTGCGTTTCCTGTGCTGCTGGGGGTACTCCTGGTGTCCCTTACACAGGGACAGCCTGCCTGGCTCCCACTGGGGGGCCGCGAAGGCCGCAGTCCTCAGGACAAACGGAGCAGTGAGCCATGTGCGTGCCCTGGCCTGGCCTGGGGTGTGGAGCCCTCGGCTCCTGGGTGCAGGCTGCCCCGCGTTCCCTGCCGGCCTGCCCTGTCGCCCGCCTCATGGTGTGTCATGTGAGGCCCCCGAGCAGACAGGGAGAGTGTTCTGGCAGGATCTTCTCTCCTATTGGTGTACGTGGCTGCCGTCTTCCCCCCCCCCGTCGCTGTTGGATCACGACTTTCCCTGTTGCCAAGGGCAACGTACATCTGCCTCCCCCTCTCCCACCCTCTGTCCTCCCCTGCCCTGCAGAGGGTGGGGCGGCCTTTCTGGCCCTGCCCCCACTCCAGGAGGAGGTGGGTCTCAGGTGCCATGTGGGATGTCCTGGGACCTCTTGCTGTCCCGGTGAGTGGGTTCTCAAAGTGCCATCAGCCCGCAAAGCAGAAAACCCCACCCGGCTGCACATGCTCACATGAGCGCCGTGTGGGGCGGGAGAGCACCGGGGAAATGGGGGCCAGAGGCCTGCACCCCAACCTGTCGGAATTCCTTTTTGCAGGGAACATCAAGCAGAACCCCAACACACAGAGCCTGTCGCGGACGGGTAAGGGAGCCAGCCTGGGCCGCCGCTGTGAGCTTCGCTCTGGCTTCAGGGCGAGGCTGCAGCTCCCAAGGCCCGTGTCTGCTTGCAGGGACCGAGCTGAAGACCATCAACGACTTCCTCTTCCAGAGCCAGATAGACAACATCAACCTGTTCAAGGTAGAGCGTGCCACCTGCTGGCTCCCATCTGAGAGACAGACGGGGTCCCCCGTTGGCTCGCTCACTCCCTGTTATCTGAGGTGGCCAGAACCCGGCCAAGTCTGAAGCCAGAAGAAGCTAAGGTCTCCCACACGGTGGCGGCACCTGCCGGCCAGGGTCTGCGTTAGCAGGAAGCTGCAGTCGGGAGCTGGCGCTGGGCATTGAACCCAGGCCCTGTGGTGTGGGATGTGACAGCCAACACCCTCCCCAGATGTCACCTTGTGATGGGGGCACTCATGTTTGCTTTCCTCAGCTATGGGCAGGGCACACGGCAGAGTACGTGAATTCCTCTGTGCCCACACAGCCTGACATCTGAGGATTTGACACACAGCTAGTTACTTGACCCAGAAAGCAACAAGCCAGTGAGAACAAAGGGTTATGGGGTCCGTGCGTGCGGGTAGGCCCACCTACAGGCCGCTCCCCCTCCCTGCCCTGCCCTCGCTTCTGCTGGCATAGTCTTTCCTGAGGGCATGGCATGGGTGTGGCCCGCTTCCTGCTGTTTTGGGTTGGGGCTTTGCCCTGGTACCCCTTCTCACCTTCCCACCTCTGCGGTGGGTTCCACTTTTGCCCAGCCCAGCCCTATGTGGCTGCTGGCACTTAGCGCCCCCTCTGAGGACGGGTGTCCCCTTCTAGTGCTGTTGTCCCCGCCTGGGGCTGTCTGCAAGCCGGGGACCCTGAGGCGCAGAGCCCCCTGGTGGCCAGCGGAGGCAGCCTCTGCTCGGGACCCAGCATCCTTCCCAGCTTTTCTGCTCTGCTTCACACCAACTTTCCCTAGAACCTGACACCTTTCCCTTGTCGCTGCCGCTGCCGCCATCAACCCCGGCAGGTGGCTGGAGATCCAGTCACCTTTGGTTCCTTTGCTCTCCCTGGGTCCCTCATGCAGACAGGTGCCTGGCCCTGGTGGCCCATGGGAACGCTGAACTGCCGTGGCTGTTCCTGCCCTCCGCTGCCGTCTGGCTTCCCACAGAGCAGCTGCTAAGCCGCTAAGCCGTTCCCGAACAGGCGCCGTGTGGCACCCTCTTGTACCTTTTTCTTTTTTTAATTTCCCTGCTCAGTCTTACTCTAGAGGCCTCACTTGGATGCTGAGGAAGGAGCCCAGGGGACCCCGGCATTTCTGGCTTCCCTGGAGTTCCCAGAGCCAGGGGCGTGTTTGTGCAGCAACACAGAAAGTGAAAGCGTCCGAGTGTTAATGACAGCTTGTGAGGACCTCGGGGACAGCTTGTTCACTCCCGGGCGTCTCTGCCCTTGCAGGTGCAGCGGTACTGTGAGAAGAGCATGATCAGCAGGAAGGTACCTGCCCTCCGTGCGCCCGGGCTGGCCCAGGGTACCCCCTCCCTGCTCTCGACGCCCCGGGGCCCTCGTCTCCCTTTCTGAGCTGGACCTGCTTTGCCGGTGCCCCTGGGCCATCCTGTCCCCTCTCCCTGCTTCTCGTTCCCGCCGTGGCCCGCCCTCATCAGCCCTCCTCCCGGTCCAGCTCTTCGGTTTCACGGAACGCTACGGGGCTGTGCCCCCGTCGTCCCGGGAGCAGCGCAGGCTGGCCGGCTTCCAGAGCTTCCTGCAGAGCCTGCAGCCTGGGGTGACTGAGGGTGAGTCCAGAGGGTGGCACGGGAGCGGGCAGCAGACCCCGGGTGAGGACGCGCCTGACTTCTGCTCCTGCACAGCTCCCGCCACCCCCGATGAGGACCCGGCTGCGGTGCCACGGCTCGCTTCCCCACTCATGCACATCGAGGGCTTCCTGGCAGCCCTCACCACGGCCAACCAGGACGGCAGGGTCATCCTGAGCCGCCAAGGTGACTAGTGGGTGTCTGCCTGGCCCGGCGCTCTTCGGCCGAGGAGCCGCCTGGGCCAGGGAGCCGTCATGAGGAGCCTGGGAGGGGCGCGGTGCCGAGGGGTCGTCTCGGGGCTGAGAGCAGGTGCCGTTGCCCCTGCGCTGTGCCTGCGGCCCGTCTCCTGGCCCTCTGAAGCTCCGCTCGTTCCTGCGGGAATGGAGGGTGCCTGCCCTCACACCTGCTCTCCATGCCCAGCAGGGACCCCTCCCCCACGGGTCTGCCCTTTCCTTATCAGGCAACCTCAGTCAGAGCTGCCTCAAGTTCTTGCTCCTGAATCCAGCTGCACACTTCGCCCAGCTGCTGAAGGAATGCCGGGCCGTGGTCATCGCCGGCGGCACCATGCAGCCAGTAAGGACATGCGTCCCAGCCTCCTGTGTCCAGTGCTGGGGGGGGAGCTGGGCAGGGAGTGGATGCCCAGTGAGGCCTCACCAGGCGCCCCTGGTCAGCTTGGGCAGGCCCTGCAGTGTCCACCAGGGGGCAGTCTGGGCCAGCGGGCAGGTGCACGATGGGGGCGCCTGAGCTCTTCAGCGTTTGTAGCCAGGATCCCACATCTCCCAGGAGATATTTTTATTGTAGCAAGCAAGAGATGAGCAGAAACGGGGGAAAACTTTTAACCTGAATTCCATCCTCAAGAACCCGTTATGGTGTGTGTCACAGTCGCCTTTGGGTGTGTAATTTTTACATAATGTGCATACATATTTTACATGCAAAACAAAAATCTTAACTATTTCTATAGGATTTTCTTCATTCAGCCACAAAATGTCACAAACGTTTGTGTTCTAAAAAAGGTTTGAGAGGCGGAGAGAGACAACATCCATTTGTTTCACTCCTTAGAATCTCACAGTAGCGCGAAGCCAGGAGGAGCAGGGAGCTTAGTGGAGGGTCCCTCATGAGCCTTTTGTTGACTTTCAGAGTTTGCTTTTTCTTTAAAAGATTTATTTAATTTATTGGAAAGGCAGATGTACAGAGAGGAGGAGAGACAGAGAGGAGAGGAAGCTCTTCCATCTGCTGGTTCACTCTCCGACTGGCTGCAACGGCTGGGGCTGAGACGATCCGAAGCCAGGAGCAGAGCTCCTCCAGGCCTCCCACGCGGGTGCAGGGTCCCAAGGCTTTGGGTCGTCCCTGACTGCTTTCCCGGGCCACAGGCAGGGAGCTGGATAGGAAACGGAGCTGCTGGGATTGGAACTGGCATCCATATGGGATCCTGGGGCACAGGCAAGGCGAGAACTTAAGCACTAGGCCACCATGCTGGGCCCAAACAGTGTTTTTTTTCATTATGGATTTTCGGTTTTAATTATGTAAGCTAGTCATGTGTACCAAAGTGAAATTGCGTGGGTGAATGGCGGAATAGTCAGGTCACCCCTTGGAATGCGCATGCCCCGTGTCAGAGTCCGTGGCTTTAGTCCAGGCTGCGCTCCCCACCCCGCGTCCTGCTGAGGCGCCCCCTGAGATGCTGCCTCAGTACTTGGGCCTCTGGTACCCCTGTTGAGACCAGATGGGGTTCCAGGCCCCTGTTGGCTTTGACCTGGCCCAGCCTGGCTGTTGTGGGCATTTCAGTGAAGAGACAGGTGGAAGATGTCTGTCTGCTCTTTAACTGTGTTTCAAAGTAAGAATTCCTAGAGACAGGCAGTAGGAAAGGTAGGCGTCTGGGAAGTCTTCCCTCCTGTGCCTTGCTCTCCTGCCCGCCCCTTGCAGGGAGAACAGATTAGCTCCTGGTCTGTTTTCCCAGCACTTGCACTCTTTTTGGAAAAGCAAGTAAATACCCAAGAGTCGTGCCCCCCCCGTCCGAAGAGTATTTTTAAAAGGTCACATAGAATAGAATTGAAAGACAAACTTATTTTGGTGCAAAATTAAAATCTGATTTTCTCCTAACAGGAATTTTTCGTGGGCTTGCCGTAACTGTTAGGTGTACGCCCCAGTGAAGTCTCAGAACACCTGTGTCTCCACCTAGTGGCCAGACGTGGGAATGTTTGCTAGTCTGACAGTTGAAGGCCCAGGAGACTTTCTCAGTTCTGGCTAGGGCTTGGCTGCATGTGGAATTCTAAAATTCCCATTGCTGACTCGGTGTGTGCAGGTTCACTCCCTGAGAAGGCTTGCAACAGCAGGATCAGACCAGAGCCAGGAGCCGGGGTCTGAGGGCAGCAGGGACCTAGGTTCTTGGGCTCCGTCCCAGGCTTTATGACATGTGTGCTGAGCAGAAGCTCGGCCATCCACACCAGTGGCTGTGACGCACACTTGAAGCTGGGCGCTGGGTGCTACGTTTGCCCTGCTGCTCCTATGTGTAGTTTCAGCAAGATGGCCCCACATGATGTGGTTGGATCAGCACCTTTTTCCCCCTTCTTCCTCTCATCTCCCTGTGGACTTCTGCCTCCAGGCCCATCTCCTCCCCACCTTCCCTCACGTCTGAAGTCCCTTCTTTGACCTTGTGGCCTGCAGGTGTCTGACTTCCGGGAGCAGCTGCTGGCATGTGCCGGAGTGCCACCAGAGCGAGTGGTGGAGTTTTCCTGTGGTGAGGACCCGGGTGCGGAGTGGGCTGGGCCGAGCATCCATCCCCATGCTGGCGCAAGCCCAGGGGCTGTGGAGCACACAGGCTGGGAGCCTTGCCTGTGGCCAGCTCACGCGCTCGCTGTCCTGGCTCTCCCCAGGTCACGTGATCCCTCCAGACAACATCCTGCCCCTGGTCATCTGTGCCGGGCCCTCTGGGCAGCCGCTGGAGTTCACGTACCAGCAGAGGGAGCTGCCGCAGATGGTCAGTGCCAGCGGTGGCCCTCTCAAGCTGTGCTGGGGCAGGAGCGGGCACTGGTGGGGCACCTGGGCTCCCCAGAGCTGGCACCGATCAAGGCTGTGTGCTTCCCCCACCCTCACATAAGCAAACTTGAAACCCCTAGTGTCCCTGAGGGATGAAGCCCACTTCCTGTGGCCCCCGATCCTAGGCTGTTCTTTAACAGGCCTGGCGGTCAGTGCCCAACTGTTGTGAATGGTGCCTACTGGGACACTGGGAGGTGGGGAAGGAGGACCCGGTGGTGGCACCCCAAGTGAGCTTTCTTGTAGGATGCCGACACTGGGATGTGTGGCAAAGGCTGGCATGTTCCACCCTGAGCCGCGTGCAGGGCACCTCACCTGGCCACCGTTCTCTTCCCATGCCATCATGCCGCGGGTCCCCCCTTGGCTGGAGGTCCCTGCTCCGGCAGCCGCTGAGGGTGGAGGCTGCTCCATGGGCCCTCGTCTGCCTGCCTTAGATGGACGAGGCCGGTCGCATTCTATGTAACCTGTGCAACGTGGTCCCTGGAGGGGTGGTGTGCTTCTTCCCCTCCTATGAGTACCAGCGTCAGGTCCTTACCCACTGGGACAAGAGTGGCCTGTTGGCCCGCCTGGCTGCCAGGAAGAAGGTGAGTGGCCCCCGGGCACCTGCTGGGGAGGACAGTGACTGTCGCATTGTGCCCTGGGTTTTCACGTTCTCGCCAAGGTGTTAGGCTCCTCTTAGTTCCCTACCTCAGCATTCGCAGCCTGGGGCCTTCCCCATGCCCGATTCTGGGTTTCCAGTGCCCATGCTGGAGGACGCAAGGCCCAGAGCAGAGCTGCAACCCAGCACCCCAAGCCCCTGTTCTGGGTGGTATTCTCTGTCCACCTGCAGATATTCCAGGAACCCAAGAGAGCAGGCCAGGTGGAGCAGGTGCTGATGGAGTATTCCACGTGCATCAAGGTGAGCAGTCATCGGGGCGGAAGGATTTAGCAGCTAGGGATGTGCATGTGGCACTGGGGACTTAACAGCGGGGGTTGAGCGTGTGGCTGCCAGCCGTGGCCTTGGCACCTCTTGGGCCGGTGTCTCCCACAGTGCTGCAGCCGGGCAGGAGGCATGGTGACCGGAGCCGTGCTGTTCTCAGTGGTCGGAGGGAAGATGAGTGAGGGGATCAACTTCTCAGACGACCTAGGCAGGCAAGTGGGGGCCCCCTGGGCAGCAGGCTGTTTGCGGCCTGATGCCACGGGCAGGATGTCAGCCGTGGGGGAGGTGTTTTAGCAGATTTGACCTTGGCCCCTATGGGGGAGGTGCAAGTTGGATAGATGATGGTTTCAGGACACAGTCTCTGGGCTAGCCTGGGTCTCCTGGCCCATTACACACCCTCTGCAGGTGGCAGGCTCAGGAAGGGAGGGGGAGTTTGTGGGCAGGTCTGGGCAAAGGGAAGATGGCGTGAGTGTGTGCCCTCCAGGTGTGTGGTGATGGTGGGCATGCCCTACCCCAACATCAAGTCCCCAGAGCTACAAGAGAAGATGACCTACTTGGACCGGACCCTTGTGAGTGTCCCCAGGGATCCGGAGGAGGGGGTGCTGCCATGGCTGTTCCCTGTCCTCAGCCTTCTCCAGGGAGGGAGGGACGGCGGCAGTGACATCACCTGTATCCTTGCAGCCCAGAGTCCCAGGCCAGGCCCCCGCCGGGAAGGCCCTGGTGGAGAACCTGTGCATGAAGGCCGTCAACCAGTCCATAGGTGAGCCCCCTGCTGGAGGGCGGTGGGAGGAGGGCCGGAGGGACAGGTGTCACGGTGGCTACTCTGCCCCTGTCCAGGCAGGGCCATCAGGCACCAGCGGGACTTTGCCAGCATCGTGCTCCTGGACCAGCGGTACGCCCGCCCCCTGATCCTGGCCAAGCTGCCTGCTTGGATCCGAGACCGCGTGGAGGTCAAAGCCGCCTTTGGCCCTGCCTTTGCTGCCATGCGGAAGGTCAGTCCCGACTCCTGGTTGGGGGGCAGGGGGTACCCCAGTTCTGAGCTGGAATCTCTCATACCTCCCCTCTCTCTGCAGTTTCATCGGGAAAAGGCTGGCATGCCCTGATGCTGGCCGTACTTGCAGACTTTGATTCTGGGCTGCAGGGGTGCTGTCCTGGATGGGGAGGCCAAGTCCAGACCGGCTCTTCCAGCACCCGTGGATTTGGGCTGAGGCAGAGAAGCCACCAGAACGCTGGGTGCTGACAGCTCGCAGTCATGCTGAATCCACCCCGGAGAAGTGCCATCCCTGGAACTGACTGCCTCTGCTCTTTTTGGCATGGTCAAGTCAGGCTCCAGGCCAGGCGTGGGACTCCGCTGTGCTGTCCTTGGTCCTGACTTTGGGGGTGGTCATGACAGCCGTCACAGGGGCCCCTTTTCTGGGCCCAGTATCCCTGTGCTGTAGGTGGTGCCTCTGCTCTCTGACCCCAAGGAGGGCCTCCGTCCAGGGGCTGTCCTGCCCCCACTGCCTGGAGACACCCCATCCCACACGGCTGTATCTCCTCAATAAAAAGCATGCTGCGCTCAGTTCTTACACAGCCCTTTACTGCTGCCCTTGCTGGCTCCTGAAGGCAGGACCACCCTGCTCCTCAAAGAGCGGCCAGGCACATGGCCAAGGCAGTCCTCACCTTCCGGCTCCCCACAAGGGCCCCCTAGGACTCCCAGTCGTCCTCGTCGTCCTCTCCTGCTGGCTGCTGTGGGGGAGGCAGGGGTGGGATGGAGTCAGACATGCGGGCGAAGGCTCCTCCTGGGCCCTCGCTGGGCCCCGACCCGGGGCCTTTCCCAGAGATGCCTGGAAGGGAAAAGGCTGGGTGAGGGGTGGGCCCGGGCCTCTGGGCACCTGCACAGGGAAAATCCTGTAGGAGGCAAGCTAGCCCCAGCCCAGAACCTCCTACCTTTACGTCTCATGACCAGCTTGTTGAAGAGATCTGACATCAGGTCCCCACCTTGGCTGGTGGCCCTCACTGCAACAGGAAAGCTGGGGTGAGGGAGAAGAAGGGGCCCCGCAGGAAGTGCCGACTGCCACACACATCCACCACCCCCTGTTCACACACACTTGGTGCCTGGCTGAGGCCCAGCACTGGCAAGAGGACAGTCAGTGTCAGCTGCACTCTCCCAGCGCCTCAAGGCGCAGCTGCCAGTTTGAGCAGCCCTGGGGACAGAGGAAACCAGGGCGGAGAGCTGGGTATTTCCCTGGGACCACAAGGCCGCTGCTCTGCGGCCAGGTGTCTGTCACACCACCTGCAGCCTCCAGAGACCTGTGAGAGTTGGAATGACCTTCCCCTTGGTCATCTGTCCCACAGAGTATCCCTGCACTTGGGCACCTCCTGGAGGGCTAAGGAGAGGGCCCCTTGGCCTGAGCTTCAGCCAGGTGGGCTCCCGGCCCAGGAAGGAGCCCACTGTGCAGGCAGGCAGGAGGATTGGCGCGGGCACTGGTGGGCTTGGGGTGGCGAGGGCAGTCTCACCTTGCTCCCGCTCCTTCTGTTTCTTCTTCTCCAGCTTGCGCTCCTTGACGCTGCGCAGCTTGGCTTTGCCGATGCCCCCGGCCTGGCGGATGGACTCCAGCAGGGTGGCCCGGCCGCTGGAGGGGTCCACCACTTCCTTGGGGGCTCCCTGGACTGCAGCTGGCAGGGAGCGAGGTTGCTCAGGCTGGCCGAGGGTGAAGCTTGGTACCCGCAGCAGCTTCTCCTCGGGAGCCTGGCCATGGGGGCCACACGGCCCGGATGCTGACCTTGGCAGTGTGAGCTCTGGGGCATTAGGTCCAACCCTCCCCGCTTCCCCGCTGTGCAGAGGTGGGCCCTGCAAGTTACTGATGACAGAATGTCATCGTGAGACTGCTAGTTACTGGATGTGGCCTGGGAGACACCTCATTAAAACTGAAATCTGGGGCCCGGCGCGGTGGCGCAGTGGTTGAGGTCCTCGCCTTGCACAGCCGGGATCCCATATGGGCGCTGGTTCTATCCCGGCAGCCCTGCTTCCCTTCCAGCTCCCTGCCTGTGAAGAGCCTCCTGGCTTCGGATCGGCATAGTATTGGCCGTTGCGCTCACTTGGGGAGTGAATCATCGGATGGAAGATCTTCCTCTCTGTCTCTCCTCTCTGTATATCTGCCTTTCCAATAAAAAAATAATAAAAATCAATCTTTAAAAAAAAAACCTGAAATCTGTGATGTCACTCTACACTGCTGGGAGGAAGGGGCTGACCTAAATAGGAATGTGGGGAGCCCCCACGCCCAAGCTCCTACTCCTGTGCTCAGAGTTCTGGGGCTTGGCAGGCCACTTCGCAAACTATGGTTTTATGACCCCACTGAGTAAGACACTTGAAAACCTAGAATTCACAATTCCTTCAACCAACAGAAAACTCAGGAATCCAGAGTTTAGATGGCCCCACCCTACCTGGGGGTGCGTTGTCACTGCTGTCATCCACCCTGGCACTCGGGTCTGTGGGGGCCGCTGGCTGGGGAGGTGGAGGTGGGGCACTGGCCAGCACGGCGGGAGCCGGGGGAGGCGGTGGCGGTGGCGGTGGTGGTGGGGGTGCTGTCAGCACTCCGTCCTCTAGGTCTGAAAGGGAGGGAGGAGAGAGCAAGCACGTGAGGTCCTTGGGCAGGAGGCTGGGGAGCCCCCGGCCCACCTTTTAAGAGTGCTGCTGCTCACCTGGCTTGAAGGGCTCAGCGACCTCCGTGTGGAAGGTGGGCAGTTCAGGAATGGCACCCGGGGCCGAGGGGGCGATGCCAGGGCCCAGGTCGGCATTGTACATGAGGTCGTCAGCGATGCCAGGCAGGTCGGGCAGGTAGGAAGGCACATCGATCTCGGGCACCTGGCCCAGGTCTGGCACATAGAAGTAATTCTCTAGCACCTGCAGGACCAGGAGAGGTGTGGGCGTGGAGACAGCGCTGCAGGCAGGCTGCAGGGAGGCCGCCTCACTCCCGCACACAGCCGCTGGGACCAGGGCTCCTGACACAGACCCCACCCCCACCTGCTGCTCCAGCTGCTCCCTCTTGCTGATGGACAGTGGGGCATCGAACAGCTTCTCCCCCGTCTCTGCCCCCAGCATCACATGGGTCTTGGTCACAGCACCGGCCAGTGGGTCAAGGAAGACATATTTTTTGTACCTATGGCGAGAGGGGTGTCAGAATCAGCAGCCCTTCTTGGTTCACTGACCACTCGTGGCCTCCCGGCCTCCCTCTCCACTGCCCGGCCATACAGGTTCTCGGTGGTGTTGAAGAGCAGCAAGGAGCTGACAGAGCTGATGTTGCTGGGAAGGCCTCCCAGCCCCTCCTCGGCCTCATCCTCGGGCCCGGGCTTGGTGCTCACACACACAGGAAAGTATTTCAGCTTCTCCTGGAGGTGGGGGAAGAGTGTCAGCCCTGGGCCCTGTGGAGCTCACCTACCCCTGACTCATCCCTCTGAGGGACAGAACCCTCCAGTGGGCCCCCAGGGCAGGTGCCCTGACACCTGCAGGGCCCGCTCATCCAGGGGGCGGTGCTTGCTCTGGATCCGGTGGCGTGGCCGCCCCTGTAGGTCAGGGTCCTGGGCACCTGAGAAGATGGAGTCGTATTCCTGCAGCCGCTCGGGAGCTGGGTACTTGGCACTGGAGAAGACCTGCAGACACAGGGATGTGCCTGGGACCACTGAGGCTGCAGAGAGCTGAGGGTTGCTCTCAGGCAGCGGAGTGGCTGCTGGGGCCCCTGCAAAGAGGAAAGCCCGGTGGGTGGCAGGAGAGTGGGGAGTAGGGGAGATGGAGGGACTACCTTGATGGCCTTCTTGCTGCCCTTGATCTTCTCAATCTTGGCCTGGGCCAAGGAGACCCTCTGCCTGATGGCCTGTAGCTGGCTCCGGCTCTGCTCCACCCGCTGGGAGATCCTATGGAGGTCAAGGTCATGGAAGCTGGGGGCTGCACTTGAGGTGTCTCCTGTTGCTGAGCTGTAGGCCAGGGCCCCTGGGCAAGGCTTCTTGGCAGAGTATGACCGTGGGACATCTGTCCAAGTGCCCCGAGTACCCTGACACCTGCTCTCTCTAGCTGAAGGGACCTGGCTCCTGGACTGGGCAGAGGTGTGCAGGACAGTCACGGTGGCACATGTCACGGCTACTGATGGGGCAGCGCTGCCACAGGCCCCTCCTGCTCAGCTGAGGCAGACAAGGGGCAAAATCTAGCGGCCAGTGGTGCTGAGAGAGGCAAGGCTGGCCCTGTGGGCCCTCAGGTCCATCCTAGTCCCAGATCTGCTGCCCAGGCACAGCCTCTGTGGGAGCAATCCAGGTTCTAGCCACGGCTCACCTGTGGTCTGGCCCATTAGCTGGACGCTGGCTGCCTGGCTACTCCTGAAAGCACCAAATGCACTCGTCCCCTGGCCTTGACAGCGACCGAAACACTCATTGCAGATGCCTGCGTGGCTGGCTCCTTTGGCTCACACGGCCCCTCCTCACCGAGCCTGCATGACCACACACTAAGGGTGCACCTGCTGTGTGCCCCACTCCGACCTGGATAGCGAGGATGCACCTCTGGCCTGTGGGTGCTAGGGTGCTATGCCCTGGCCTGGACCTCACCCTTTACCCTGGAAGCCTTGCTCTGGCCTTGCCACAGCCCCACACCTGCCGTGCACTTCTGCTGTCCCTCCAGCTTCCCCGCTCCAAGGACACCAGGCCCTGTCCACATCTGCCATGTCTCCCTCATTCGCTGCAGGCATCGCCCAGCACTCACCTGGCCTGAGTGAGTGCATGTCCCAGAGACATGGCAAGGAGCCAGCATCATGGGGAATGGTGGGAGGGCAGAGGGGCCCTGGGGTCGGACACTTTGGCACCAGGGAATGCCAGGACTTCTCAACAGGCTGGCACAAGCAGGCAGGCACCTGGCCCTAACTTCTGGGCCAGCACTGACGCCTGCTGGCTCCTGCAAGGCAGGGGCTGGGGCATGGGCAGTTGTTCCGGACAGATGGTGGGGGGCTGGCAGCACCCCAGGGAGGGAAGAAGAGGGCTGTCTCCTTGTGGTCGGAGAAGATGAGCCTCCTCAGCTTATGAAAGGCAGGTGTCTGCTGGGAGGGGGTCCCAGAGCACAAGCGCTGTTTTAACTCGGGTCAGCCCCTGTGCTTGGAGCGGGGAGAGGGGGCACCCCTGTGCAGAGGGAGGGGCTGCTGTGGACACTCACCAGGTCCACACCTTGTTCTGCTCAACACAGGGGACGGGCAGTGACTTCCGCTCCTCGTCTTCCCCCAGAGCCCGTGGTGTACCACTTCCCAGCTGGCCAGCTTCTCTCTAAGCTCTAGGGCCCTGTTGCTAGATGCCACAGGGCAGGCTGCCAGCTGTGCCCTCTCCCCTGCAACCACATTCCTGCCCTTGCCTCCGGCAGCCTCCCCCGAGCAGGTGCAGCAGCGGGTACTTCCCCCGCACCCATTTCTTCTTTCAGTTTGTGGCCCCCACGTCCCCTGGGGCGGCCAGGTTTCCTTAGGCTCAGTCCCCGAGGGGGGCCACCCCCAGAGCCCCAGGCTGAGGCATATGACCAGGTCTAAGGTCACTCATATGTCATAGCCCATGGTCTAGCAACTCTGTGAGACCAGAGGACCAGGCTAGGCCCTTGAGGCAGGTGTGACTTTGGGAGAGGGGGAGGGAGAAAGGGTTGGCACTGCACAGCTTGGCCCCCTGGCTGTCCCCTTGCCAGCCCACTGCAAGGCCTGTCTGGGAATGGGGCCAACCCCAAGCCACACATGAGATGCAGCGAGAGCAAAAAGCGGTGCAGAACCAGGTGCTGCCAGCAGCTGCTGAGCCCAGAGACCCTGAGCCTGCCTGCCGGGTCATGACGGGGGTGCCCAAGTCTCCTGGAGCTCCCTGAGGCCCGCACAGCTCATGCTGCACAACCAAGAATCAGCCCAGTGCTCGCTTCGGCAGCACATGTACTGAAAATCGGAACGATTCAGAGAAGAATCAACCCTGTTCTGGCCTCAAGCTGCTCAGGAAACACGTGGTGGGAGGTAAAGAGGTGACCAGGGGCCTGGCTGTGAGAGCCCTCTGCTCATCCACTGGCCACACACCGCAGCCTGCAAGGTGCCAAATGCCAGGAAGGGGGCACATGCCATTAGCACGGAAACAAGTGCCAAGTTGGGGGGTGGACACCTCACACTCTCAGGACAACGTAAAAGAGTGAGCAACTGCTAACTCGCGCTGCCCACCATGGGCAGCTTCGGGAAGATGCCACCATCCTCACAGTTGCGAAGATGGAGCCTCGGGAGGGGGTCAGGGAACCGGCCTGTCACAGAGCTTACACAAGGAGAGGCAGGGCTAATGAGGCACCTGTTACAACTGTACCATTCCCACCACACGAACACTGCAGCCTGTGTCGAAGTGTGGCAGGTACAAACATGTGCAGCTCCCAGACCACTTTACCAGCCAACCTGGTTTCCTTGCAGGCCAGTCTCACTTCAGCTCATGCCTTTTCTTTCTGGAACATTCTTCTTAAAGAACCAACCTCATTTTGCCCTCTAAATTTAACTGCATTCTTGTCCCACTTCTGCCAGGACAAGCTGGGCCTCCCATCATGGTTCCTACAGCACTCATCTCCCCTCCATCGGGAAGGTGGCCATCCAATGGCCCCTGCAGCTGGGAGCCCTGGGTTTGAAGCCTGCCTCTGCCACCTGGCCAAGCGTCCCAGCCTCCGTTTCTTTGCACAATGGAGATAGCAACAACACCTCGTCATAGCATAGCAAGGATGAGATGACATAACGTATGCAGATCAGTACACGTGTACTGCCAAGGCCGCATCTCCGTCAGCATTAAACAATCACGCACTTGCGGCTGCTGTGTCCCGAGGGCACATGCTGCACACGCACCCACCTGCTGAAGATGTCTCCGGACACCTTCTGCAGGTACTGCAGGGCGTCTGCTACCTGCTGGATGGCCTCCTCGCGCCGCAGGTCTGGCTGGATGAGGGCCACCGCGTAGGTCTGGCCTGCCGAGGCGTGCTGGGTCCTCACTGGAGTCATGGCGCCTGTGGGTTGGAACCAGGGTGTGAGGGCCAGCTCCACACCCGCCCACCACGAGGCACGGTGGCAGTGTCGGGAGGAAAGCTCAGCCGTCTCCCTCACTGCCCTCTCTGGGGTCCAGGAAGGGCAGTCTCTTGACAGGCACTGTGGCTCTGCCAAGCGCAGGGAAGGGGGTATGGTGGGCCCCCAGGTGGAGCAAACACCTAGGAGGAGTGGGGATGGTCTTAGCAGCTTGGAGAAGCAGCAGGGAAAAGAAAGGCCAGAGAGAGCGCATGAGTGAACAGGCTGTCCCAGGCACTCAATGGCACGGCATGGAAGCTGGGCTGTGACCCCGGAGTGACATGGCTAGGCCTCCACAGTCCAAAACAGTAACCACCACTGAGTACTGACCACTTAGAACACGATCAGTCTGAACCATGTTGGGATGCCAAGTATAGAACAACACTTAAGGTTTAGTGGGGAGGGCCCAGCACGGTAGCCTAATGGCTGAAGTCCTCTCCTTGCATTTGCCAAGATCCCATATGGGCTCTGGTTCATGTCCTGGCAGCCCCGCTTCCCTTCCAGCTCCCTGCTCGTGGCCTGGGAAAGCAGTCGAGGAAGGCCCAAAGCCTTGGGACCCTGCATCCACATGGGAGAACCAGAAGCTCCTGGCCCCTGACTTTGGTTCGGCTCAGCTCTGGCTGTTGCGCTCACTTGGGGAGTGAATCAGCAGATGGAAGATCTTCCTCTCTGTCTCCTCCTTTCTGCATATCTGACTTTCCAATAAAAAAAAAAAACCCTCAAAAAAAAAAAAAAAAAGACTTAGTGGGGAATACACACAGAATATTAGTTACTGGTTACCTGTTGAAATGACCATTTTGGACACATTCAATATACGACTAATATCAGCTGTTTTAATTTCTAATTTACGATGACTGGCAGGGACAGAGGAGACAAACGGAGCAGCTCTCAGCGGTCACAGCTCTCAGCGGTCACAGCTCTCAGCGGTCGCTCCCCCCGACCCGCCAGGGTCCGCTCTGCCTGGCACTGCACCGAGGACTCCCCGGGTTGGGAGCAGGAGCAGCTGTTGGCCGTGTCACTGCCTCCCAGATCCTAAACCAGGAAGCTTGTGGGATGTGGGCTCCTTAACTGCTCAGCCACAGTGCCTGCCCCCTTTTTCTGCTTTTAAAATCTTATATGACTCCCATGCTGTAATTTTTTTTAAAGATTTATTTTTATTGTGAAGTCAGATATACAGAGAAGAGGAGAAACAGAGAGGAAGATCTTCTGTCCGTTGATTCACTCCCCAAGCGGCTACCACAGCCAGAGCTGCACCGATCAGAAGCAAGAGCCCAGAGCCTCTTCTGGGCCTCCCTCGTGGGTGCAGGGTCTCAAAGCTTTGGGCCATCCTCAACTGCTTTTCCAGGCTACAAGCAGGGAAATGGATGGAAAGCTGGGCTGCTGGGATTAGAACAGGCTCCCAAAAGGGATCCCGGCACGTGCGAGAGGATTTTATCTGCCAGGCTACTGCGCCAGGCGCAAGCGCTGTAATTTTTATTCTAATAAACCAGTCTCTGTTCCGCTTTCCAGGTGGGAAATACCCCGGGCTACCCTTAGTATCATAAGCAATCTTAACAGGAACATTCCATGGCCCCCAGCTGCTACGTTTACCTTCACAACAAACTCTGAGTTGTTCTATTATTACAGCCACCATGGGTTAAAGGACAATCATCTCTCACCCGTGGGGCACACTGCGAAAGCCTGGTGGGGAACCTCTTACGTCATAAACAGTTGAGAAGGCACGGAGATGCAGGGCAAAGATAGAAGCCAAAGGGCCCAATACAATGGCCCAACTGTCCATCCTCCCCTTGCAGGTGCCAGCATCCCGTATGGGCATCCAGCTCCCTGCTTGTGGCCTGGGAAAGCAGCAGATGACAGCCCAAAGCCTTGGGACCCTGCACCCACGTGGGGGACCTAGAAGAAGCTTCTGGTTTCCGATGGTCTCAGCTCTGGCCATTGTGGCCATTTGCAGAGTGAACCAGTGGGTGAGGGAAATCTGTCTCTCTTCTCCGTATATACATTTTTAAAAAGATTTATTTATTTATTGGAAAGTCAGATATACAGAGAGGAGGAGAGACAGAGAGGAAGATCTTCTGTCTGATGATTCACTCCCCAAGTGAGCGCAACGGCTGATGCTATGCCGGTCCGAAGCCAGGAGCCTCTTCCGGGTCTCCCACGCGGGTGCAGAGTCCCAAAGCTTTGGGCCGTCCTCGACTGCTTTCCCAGGCCACAAGCAGGGAGCTGGATGGGAAGCAGAGTAGCCGGGACACAGACCAGTGTCCAAATAGGATCTTTGTGCATGCAAGGCAAGAAGTTAGGCAGTGAACCACTGCGGTGCCCTCCCCCCCCCCCCAAATAAAAAGATAAAAATAGAAGACAGGTCAGAAGTTAAGCCTCCCACTGGGGAGTGTCGTGGTCAGAAGCCCCGCCTAAGTTGCACACCTGTAACGCATACGAGGTCCCTGGCATTCGCTGCTCCTTTGCTATTACTTCTTAGCACACGCACAAGTGCTTGAATAGTCTTTAAATAACGGTGTTTTTCTTACATCTAGGCCATGCTCAAGCCTTTTTTTTCCCTTTGCAGATATTTAAAAATGTGCCGCACCTGTAGGTATTTATCGTCAGCTGCGCCACGCTCGGGAGAAGTCGGCTAGGAACCACGGCTCCTTGCCCCCAAACGCGCACGGGAAGTGCTAGGGGACCCCCTCCTGCAAGCCACCTCACCCCCGAAACCTCGCTGGCGGGGTCAGGACCCCCGCGGCCAGGGCCATGCCGGGGTGTCGCCTAGAGATGGCGAGCCCGTGGTGGGCGCACTCGGAGGGCCCCACCAGGCACCAGGCGGAGCGGGCCGCAGCCCTGGCCCTCGCAGGCCCGGGTCCGCCTGCAGGGCTCCGCCGGGAAGGGTCGCTCGCGCTCAGCTCCCGCGGCCCCACGTCCTCGCGGGCCCCAGGTCCTCGCGGGCCCCACGTCCTCGCGGGCCCCACGTCCTCGGTGGCCCTCTTACCCGCCTCGTCGCTCTAGGCGCGGGGCCGCGCTCGTCCTGTGGCCACGCCCACGCACGCACGCCGACCGGGTCCACGCACGCGCACTCAAGGGGCCGCGCTTGTCTTCCGGCGGCACGCGCACGCGCGGGGCAGGCCTGGCTCCTCCCCCTGCAGCCCGCCCGCCCTAGCGCCGCCGGGTCCTAGCGCCGTGTTGCCGGACTCATCGCTGGACGCTTCAGTTGCCGTAGGAAACTGCGTCAGTAAATCCTGTAGCTCACACTGATTTTTTTTGTTCTTAGTTGTGTGGGAACTTTCTCTCCCGGTCCACCCAGTTTCCACCTCCCTTTAAATATTGAGTAGGGATACCAGGCGGTAAAAGACACGAGGTGCCTAGAATAAGATGTCCAGACTCAAGATGGAAGAGGGGTGACCAGGGCCGGCTGGGAGGTGTGGATGGTGGGAAAGTTCTGGAAGTGAATCATGCACAGCAGTGTCATCGTGTTTAATGCCGCTCGCATGCATGCGTAACAATCGCTGTGTGGTAAACTTTGTGTCAGGAGTATTTTTGTTTAAGGATTATTTATTATTTTATTGGAAAGTCAGACTTACAGAGAGAAGGAGAGACAGAAAGATCTTCCATCCACTGGTTCACTCCACATATTTCCCCAACGGCCGGAACTGAGCTGATCTGAAGCCAGGAGCCAGGAGCTTTTTCCTGGTCTCCCATGTGGGTGCAGGGTGCCAAGGCTTTGGGCCTTCCTCCACTGCTTTCCCAGGCCACAAGCAGGGAGCTGGATGGGAAGTGGAGCAGCCAGGACATGAACCAGTGCCTATATGGGATCCTGGCACATGCAAGCTGAGGACTTTAGCCACTAGGCTACTGTACTTCGCCCTGTTTTGGGTGTATTTTACTGTAAGTAAGCCTGTAGAAAGCTGGATGGTAATTAAGTATATAAACAGCACTCCTGAATCCTGCCAGAGGCTGCTGGTTAAAAATACAGGATGCCCAGTTAATGCACATTTCAGAAGAACATCTGGTTGCTTTTCTCCCAAAGGTTGACCTATTTGGAAGTTAAAGTGGGAGGCAGGGAGGAAAGCAGGGAGGTGGGGGTTGTGGGTGGCGGGGGAGAGGGGCAGGGAGAGAGAGAGAGAGAATGACTATTTCATCAGTTGGTTCCCTTCCCAGGTGGCTTGGACCACAGGGCTGAGCCAGGCTGAAGCTGGGAGTCACGAACTTCATCTGGGTCTTCCACATAGGTGCTGGGACCCAAATACGTGGGCCAACTTATGCTGCTTTCCTAAGCAAGTTAGCAGGAAGCTGCACCGGAGGTGGAGCCTGGATTGAGGAGACTGCGCCTCTATGTGATGCAGGAATTGTGGGTCGTGGCTTTACCTGTACGTCACAATGTTGTCCCCTCCCCACCGCATCTCCACCCTTACTTCCAGTAGATTTTAAATGCAAGGATGTCCCATGCCTGGCTTGGGATGCTTACGTTAAAGCATTAGTATCTGAAATTCAAAACTGGGCATTTGATACTTTCCTTTGCTAGAGCTGTGCCCTCCTTCCCTTGCCCCCTCCTCCCCTTGCCCCCTCCTCTGGGGCAGGTGGGTGTAACTGTCACAGGGGCATGCTGAGGTCACTCTTATGGTTGCGGTGAGGAGGAGATGAGTACCCCCATCCCCAATTCAGGTTTTAGGCCTAACTGCCCACGGGTTGGTCCCTGGGACCACCCAGTCTCTGATCCTTTGGATGACAGACTCTTTGCAAACACATCCTGCCCTCAACCCACACGAGCAGTGACTGGGTAGCTCACCTAGAGAGGTATGCCCTCACCAGCCCAGCCCTGGCCAGACCAGCTAGGCTGATGGAGAGGGAACGGTCACAGGCTGGCGTGACCTTGGACGAGTCATTGAGAGGGATCTCAGTTACCTCATTTGTAATCTAGGGTTCAGGGGGCAGCAGGGAGAGGGTGTCCCCTGTGCTCCGTGGACTGTAGGCATGTTTCCCCGGTGCCAGCGGCGCACGCAGAGATGCCCACACAGCGTCACGGATGGAACCTGGCGGTGCTCACACACCTGCTACCGGCCGGCAGCCGAGTCCTAGCACCAGACCAGCTGGGCACCCTCAGCTCCATGCGCATTGTCCACATGACCGACCCATTGACTGGCTTGTTCCCTAAGCAGACCTTTCCTGGGGGCTGACTCCCAGATAGTAAACCTCAGCCCCTTGAACCGCAAGGGGACTCCTGACCTGCGGCCTTAGCTGAGAAAAGCTACAGCCAAAGAAAATGAATCGGCCAGCTTGGGTTTCTCATGCCTTTGGGAAAGCTTGGGTCGGTATTCCGGGAAGGGAGCGCCGTGCCCTGAGGAGTCTTAGACACAGGCTGTCTTAAACACTGGTGATGGCCGCGTTCAGGATGAGTGGCACATCCCGCCCAGCCCTGCAGCCCACTGTGCCAGGACGGCAGCTCCAAGGGCCTCCCTTTGAGAAATTACACACAGCACAGCCCCCCGGGGTGTGTGAGGTCCTTCTCTTGAGAGGCCCAGGGGAGCAGCGCGGTCTCGCTAGACCGGGTTGGAGCCCCCTTTTTTTTGGTTTAACAGCCATATGAGCTTGTTGTGCGGTGTGTGGGTTGCCCCGCTGGGTTTCCTCCACATGAAAGAATTCAGAGACTTGGGTGAGTTAGAAGAACCAGAGCCCACTGCCCCCTTTGTTGGGTAGAACTTCCTCCTCTGTATGGTCAAGGGGGAGGAGGGACAGCAGATTTTCCGATGGGAAAGTTGGGGGATTTCTAGGATGCAGTGTTTCTGTATGTACCCAAAGGCTGAAAAGAAGTCTTTGTTTACTCGGCAAGGCGTAACCTCTCCCTTGGCTAGTCACTTCAGCAGAGCAGAAAGGCACTGGCGGCAGACAAGCCCAAGGTTTTTCTTTCAAGACTTCAAGGGTACATATTCAATGCAAAATTGCCTTTCCTCAAAAATTTCGAAGGTGAGTGGTGAATTAAATACTACATGAATTTTAGTGGAACATCTATTAATTTCCACTTCAGTTCCCTTTTGTTTGAAACACGACAAAAATTTCATTCCTACCATTTCTATATGAGAGTAGAAGAAAGCAAATGAGATCGTCAAGGAAAAATGTTGATTTGGTGGCTTAGAGTAACTAAAAATGCAAGAATGGTAATTGGTACTCAGCATTTGACACTCACGTGCTGTAATAAAGCTGAAAAGCTCTTTCTTTTGCAAATGAAAGGAATTTCCAGATTTTTAAATTAAAGTCACATGTGCTTTTGACACACCACCTGTGCACAGAGCATGGCCAGCCATTCTTGAGTGACTATGAAACAATGAATTTATCCATCCTTTGAAAATGTATTTTGAATATGGTCAACTGTATTTGGCTTAAATAAGCCGTGTTATATGGTTTATGACATGGAGGTTGACTAGTCCTTATCCCAAATGCTTCAGACCAGAGTATTGTAGAACATTTGTATTCAGAATGAGCTATTGTAGGGCGAGGACCCAGGTCTAAACATCAGATCCATTTGTATTTGCTATACACCTTCTACACATAGCATAAATGATGGTAGCCACGGTTACCAGGTGAGGGCAGAGCCTGCCTCAAGCCTGGCTCATCACTCTGACCTCAGGCTACAACCCAGAACAGAATTCTGGCACACTCCACAGGCAACGGGGTCACTGCTGCACCAATGATGGACGCCAGCCAATATTCCCCACCAAATAAAAGACTTATTAGTGCGATGGCCTAGTGGTTAAATCCTTGCCTTGCATGTGCTAAGATCCCATATGGGTGCTGCTTTGTGTCCCAGCTACTCCACTTCTCATTTAGCTCCATGCTTGTGGCTTGGGAAAGCAGTCGAGTATGGCCCAAAGGCTTGGGACAGTGCACTCATGTGGAAGACCTGGAAGAGGCTCCTGTCTCCTGGCTTTGGATTGGTTCAGCTCTGGTCAGTGTGGCTACCTGGGGAGTGATTTAGTGGACAGAAGATCTTTCTCTCTGTAAATCTGACTTCCCAATAAAATAAATCTTCAAAACAAGCAAATGAAAAACAGTAACAATAAAAAAATGAGATTTATTTGGCACACAGAGTTACAGAGGGAGAGACACAGAAAGAGATATCTTCCTTGTGTTTTAATTTAATTTAGTTTTAAAGGCAGATTTACGGAGAGAAGGAGATTTAGAGAGAGGTCTTCCATCTGCTGGTTCACTTCCCAAATTATTTTAATGGTCAGAGCTGAGCTGATCCAAAGCTGGGATTGAGGTTTCTTTCTGGGTCTCCCACATGAATGCAAGGTCCCAAGGACTTGGGCCATATTCTACTGCCTTCCCAAGCTACAAGCAGGGAGCTGGGCAGGAAGTAGAGCAGCCAGGATATGAATCAGCACCCATATGGGATTCTGGTGGCATTGGGCAGAGGATTAGCCTGTTGAATTATGGCACAGCCCCTTTTCTCTGTTGATTAACTCCCCAAATGGCCACGATAGCCAGGCTGAAGCCAGGATCCTGGCATGCCATTTGAATCTCCTACGTGGGTAGCAGGGGCCCAAGCAGCTGCTGCTTTCCTGGAGTGGAACAGGCAAGACCCAAAACAGTGGCCGTGTTGAATAAAGAATGTCTTTAGTTCTGGGGCCAGTACTGTGGTATAGCCGACTGGGCCTGCGTCTGAGACGCTAGACTTCCATCCAAATGCTGGTTGAAGCCCTAGCAGCTCCAGCAGAAGGCCCACGTCCTTGGGCTCCTGCACCCACAGGGGAGACCTGGGGGAAGTCCCTGTCTTTGGTCTGGCCCAGCTGGTGACCATTTGCAGAATGAATCAGTGGATGGAATCTCTTTCTCTCTTTTCTTTCTCCTCTGCAACTCCAACTTTCAAATAAAAAAGATAAAAATATCTTATTTTTAAAAGTTTAAAAAAATACAAATTTTAATGACAAATTTGTGACCTGTGTTTCCATTTTATAGATTCAATAGTAGTTTCAAGCAAACAGGTTTAAAGATCCTGCAGATCTCTCTGCAAACATGCCTTTTCTTTTTAAAGATTTATTTGTTTTTATTGGGAAGGCAGAGCAGAGAAGAGGACAAAGAAAGAGATGTTTCATCTACTGGTTCACTCCCCAAGTGGTTGCAATAGCGAGAGCTGAGCCAAACTGAAGCCAGGAGTCAGGAGCTTCTTCCAGGTTTGCCATGTGGGTGCAGGGTCCTAAGGCTTTGGGCCGTTCTCTACTGCCTTCCCAGGCCACAGACAGGGAGCTGGATGGGAAGTGGAGCACCCAGGACATGAAGCAGCACTCTCATGGGATCCTATTGCTTGCAAGGCAAGGCTTGCCACTGTACCAGGCCACTAAGCCACTGCACCAGGCTCGATTGTAGCTCATTTGTAAAAGATTAGTTGGTTGTACCTGAGTAGATTACTTTCTGGGGTTTCTATTTTGTTCTGTTGCTCTACATGCCTATTTTTGTGCCAGTTCAGGCAGTCATTTCAAAAAAGGATTATTATTTGAAAGGCAGAGCAATAGAAAAAGGAGGTCGGGGAGAGTCAGACACAGAGATATATTTTGTCCACTGGTTCAATCCCCAAATGGCTGTAAGAGCGGGGGACCAGTCAAAGCAAAAGTCAGGAACTCCACTCAGGTCTCCCATGTGGGTTGCAAAGGCCCAAGCACTTGGGGCCCCTTTTGCTGGTTTTTAGGCACATTTGCAGGAAGCTGCATTAGAAGCAGCACATCCAGGATTTGAACTGGCATATCACTGAACTGTGATGTGAAATGCTGGCTTTGAGAGTGTGGTTTAACCCGCTGCACCACAACGCCAGCCCCAGCAATATGACTTTTGTCAGGAGAAAGTGAACCTCCAGGAGTTTAGCGTCTGCCGAGTCAGACTCATTTGTGTGTGTCAGCAAATGTGAGGGGGGCCGGCCCCATCTGCCCATGTCTCTCCCTGCAGATCTCTGGATGAAACATTTTCAAGATAAACCTTGTATGTGATTTTTCCCTTGTTTCTTCTTCTTCTTCTTTTTTAATGATTACTGTACTTCTGTATCATTTTTTCTGACTTCTTCTGTGGTCTTTCACTTTAAGTCCTTTTCATAACTGTCAGAGAGTTTGTCCCGGATGGAGTTAGGACTCCAACTCAGGCACACCAAAATGGGTTGTATGTAGGCATCCCAAGTGGTGTCTTAACTTGCTGTGCCAAGGCTCAATTCCAAGCTTTTGCTTGTTTGTTGCCTGGAGCCTTTTTGTGACAAGAAATAGCCTCTTTGTGTTTCCCCGCAGTTAACAGTTGGCTCTGCTAAGAGCCAGGTGGAGGGGTTCTTGCATTATTTTCACGATCCCCCGCTCCTGGGGATGCTCTGCCGTGGAAGGAGGTGGGGGGCACAGTGGCCTGAGGAAGGGCAGCGGTGGAGCTGGGGCTCAGGGAGGGTAGTGGGGGGTGGAGGAAGTTGCGGTGAGAGCTGTGGCCCCTGGCCAGGCCCTAGGAGTCAGCGCAGGGTCTGGAGGAGCACCAGCCACACCACTTCCTTTGTATTTCTGCATCATGACATCAGCTTGGTGGTGTTTTTCAAGTAGCAATTCAAATGAAGTCCAGAGTGTTGCCTGTGGCTTCCAGGAAGACTAAGAAGTCTCAGCCACTTGAGGAAGACAGGGCAGCTCTCCCCAGCTGCTCCACCTCCTTCTCTTTGCATTATCTTCTCTCCTTGCAAATGTCTATTTTCCAATGTCTTCCTCTTTAGTGCTTCCAGCGCCCAGCAATTCAATAACCCAGGCTCTAAGTTCACCCAGGGAATTTAAGAAAAAAAACCCTTTATCTAGTTTCATTTTATTTGCAAGACAGATGGAGAGCCAAGAGATCTTGCATTTGCTGCCTCACTCCCCAAATGCCTGTGACAGGCAAGGCTGAGCTGGAACACAGCCAGGAGCCCCAACACAATCCTGCGCTTCCACTTGGGTAGGGATCCAAGGAGCAGGGTCCACTCAGTAGGAAGCTGGCTTGGACGCTGAGTAGGCAGGATCTGGATGGGGGCTTCCTGATGGTCAGGCTGAATGCATGGCCCTATTCTTCCAGTTTTAATGGTACATTCATTTTTACATTAATACACACATACGTGTGTGTGCAAATATGGACTTTGTCTGCCTAGGTACCAAGCAATGTTTAACATTCTTCTACAACCTTTTTCTCATGTCATTAAATATTTTACAAATTACTGAAAATTTATCATGGATATAGAAGACACAAATACACTCATATATATGCATACACACATATGTACACATTTAAATGTACACATTTATATATGTACATATGTAAAGAGAGAGAGAGAGAGAGAGATCTCTTATCTGTGGCTCACTCCTCAGATGTCCACGACATCAGGGGCTGGGCAGGCTGAGACAGGGCGGTAGGAACTCAGTCTGGGTCTTCCTTGTGGATGAGACGCTGAGTCACCTGCTGGAAGCAGAGAGTCGAATCCCAGCAGCCTGACATGGGACGTGCGAGTCCCAAGTGACGTTTAAACTGCTGCGCCCAATGCCCACCTCAGGTTGCCACAAGGAAGGTCTCGCTGCCACTGATTTTTCAAAAAGTGAACCAAACCCATTTTTGAAAAGTGCTTGTTTTCAGATTATTTCTGTGCTAATTTCCTGCATTCCCCTCTCACACCCGTTTTTTTGGCCTTGTTGAAGCATGGCTGTCTACACCCCATGAGCCAGGTATGTGCCCTGAACAGCAAAAATCACTACTTAAAATTTTTTTGATTACATTTAAAAAAGTTTCCATTTTAGGCAAAAATACATTTGTTTCAGTCGTTTGGTATTTTAGTTAATTTTGTTGAGTTGTTTTCCTCCTATTGGAATAGAAGATAGGAAGGCTAGAAATACGTCGACCCTGTTCGTTGTTGGGGTACATAATAAACCCACACAGGTGGCTGGCATGGAGTGAGGACAGAGAAGAGACGAAAGCAGTGGGACAAACAAGCTACCTCTAGCGAGATGCCCACGTCTTCGCAATCTCATTTTGCCAGCACGTCCTGTGTGGTTTTAGATAGCCATGCCTAAAAATGTTTTGATTATTTTTGGACTTCCTTTGCAGTTTTCTTTTGGCACATCTCACCTAGGAGAAATATCAGGCCGAGATTTGTCTCAGTTTTTTTTTTTTTTTAACTTTTTCTTTTACTGTGTGTGGGTTAATAAAACTTGAAAACGTTCCGGGAGATGGAAAATGAAGATGGGTATATGAGTTTGAACCTAAAGGATCGCTTGAAATCCAGGGAGGGACTTAAAGGTAAGAAGATTGGCTTCCATTTGTTATTTTCTTATGCAGATATTTATCTTCAATTAGAAAAAATATGTGTGCTTGAAAGGCAGTCAGAGAGAGAGAGAGAAACAGGTAGGAGACTCCACACAGAGTGCTCTGAATAGCCACGGCCGACCGGGTCTGGCCAAGGCCAGGAGCTGGACTCTCAGTCCAGGTTTCCCTGATGCGTGGTAAGGACGTACCCAGCTGAGCCATCGCCTGCCGGCTCCCAGGGAATGCATTAGCACAGAGAAGCTTGTCAGGGACCATATGGGAGACAGACATCTAAGTGTTGTAAATATTAGGTCAAATTTAAAAAAAAGATTCATTTTATTTTATTTATTGGAAAGCCAGATATACAAAAAGGAGGAGAGACAGAAAGGAAGATCTTCTGTCTGATGGTTGGCTTTGTAAGCGGTTGCAACTGCCGGAGCTGAGCCCATCCAAAGCCAGGATCCAGCAGCTTCTGGGTTTCCCACGTGGGTTCAGGAGCTTCTTCTGGGTCTCCCACATGGGTTTAGGGTACCAAGGTTTTGAGCTATCCTTGACTGCTTTCTCATGCCACTGGCAGGGAGCTGGAAGGGAAGTGGAGCAGCTGGGACAGGAACTGGTGCCCATTTGGGATCCTGGCTCTGGCAAGGCGAGGACTTCAGCCAGTAGGAAGCTCTCTCTGTATCTCCTCTCTGTAAATCTGTCTTTCAAGGGCCCACATTGATGGCTCTAGTGGCTAATCCTCCCCCTGCTGGGATCCCATGCGGGCAGTGGTTTGTGTCCTGGCTGTGTCTCTTTCCATCCAGCTCCCTGTTTGTGTCCTGGGATAGCAGTGGAGGATGGCCCAAAGCCTTGGGACCCTGCACTGCATGGGAGACCTGGAACTGCTCCTGGCTCCTGGCTTTGGATATTTAATACATTGCTTTCATGAACCTTTTGATATCCCCTTTTGTTTGTAAATATCCTCTTAAAAATGAGAAAAAGAAAGTGACAGATTGAGATTAAAAAGTAATCTTTTCTACTGGATCGGTAGAACAATCCTGAGAGAATGAAAGACAGTTAAAATAAAACATTAATCTCTTCTGCCAGGGGTGCTTTTGCTTGCTTGCTCTTTTTTTTTTTTTTCCGGTCTATTGCTGGAGGTTTACAGATAAGCTGAATAAATATACTGGTGCCTAAATCAGTCTGTGTAAAAGCAATCCCACAGCAATCTTATTCAAACACCCAAGGTCTCAGGGAGGATGACACAGGCCAGATTCAGTCGTGCCCATCACAAGGACAGATCTGCTTATGTATCTTTGATGAGTCGCTTCTATTTACTTGACAGGAAGTGAATTCAACTTACTTTTTTTTTTTTTTGAGCGTAGCATTTTTCTAGTCATCTGATGACTCCCAGTCTTTTCTGCTGTCTCCATGTCGGAAAACAAATGCTTATTTAGCACCAGAAAACTTACTTTGGAGTCATATGGACTGGATTAGGTGCCAAACCCTTGAGATTCAACTCATGGCTCGGGGCAAAAGCCTTTAGTCTTCGCAAATTTTCATACTTTTGTTATATTAAAGCAAATCTATTGTAGGATACTTTTATGTGACTGCTAAACTAACTTAGCTGTTTTCCATTCATCCCAAACCTCATTATGAGAAACAGATGAGTCCAGATTTATTAAAATCTGACTACAGATAGGTAAACTGCAAGATAACAACCATTTACATTATGAGGGAAAGAGGGAACTAAGGCTGGGAAAACGTTAGATCCGAGAAAGATCTGACTTACTGCTCAGCTCAGAGTGTGTGAGATAAAACCGCTTGGTGAGTTACACCCAATGTGCTAGACCTGTTCCTCTTAGCACAAAATCAGAGAGCAGTTTTTCTGAAGAGTTCTCACGAAACAGGGAAACCATACAATTTGTGTTCTTAACAGCAGCAGCAGTAACAGATGTCATGAGAGAAAACTTCTTTGAAAGATTTTTGTATATATAAAACACAATATGAACGCTGACTTCCAGTTGACAGCTGAGATGTTTGTAGGTATTATTTGGCAATGCCTCTAAATTCTCCTCCCTGGCAAGTAAGGAGGGAGCATTGTCCTGTATTACCACTCACCTGCAATGGTATCGCCTCCTAAAATGGCAGAAATGCATTTGGATTTTTTAAAGCTGTGTAGAAGCCCTTTCGCTGAGTGCAAGAAGTATCTATAAACAAACAAACAAAAAGAGAGAGAGAGAGAGAGAGAGAAAGTTACTTCTGATTTATTCTGTACTGCAGAACATTCCCTATGGAAAAGCCCATCAGTGCATCCTAGATATGAGCTATACCAAATCTGTAATGTGTCTTCTATATATTATATTTATGTACTACATGTATTATTTGCATAAGTAACATATATATATTCTACTGATATTTACTTACTTATATATGAAATTTCTTTAAAAGGTCATGGTGAACAAGGACTAAAAATATATATATTTCCCCATAACATTTTTGAAGAATCTTCATTTAGGGAATTTTAGGTGTTATTTCTAAGTTATCATAAACACCACAGAACAATGAACAAAGCAAGACAATGGACACTTGACACATTCCATGGGACCTGCCATGAGGCACAGCAGACTAAGCCACTTTTTATGACACCAGCATCCCATAGTGGAGAGCAAGTTTGAGTCCTGGCTGTGCTGCTCGAATACAGCTCTTAGCTCATACACCTGGGAAGACAGCAGCATATGGTCCGAGACCGTGGGTGCCTGCCACCCGTGCAGCAGGCCAAGATGGGATTCCAGCCTGCGCCCATCTGGTTGTTGTGACCATTTGGGAAGTGAACCAGTGAATGGAAGATGCATCCTCTCTCTGTCTCCCTGTCTCTTTCTCTTTCTGCCTTTCAAATAATAAAGATTTTAAAAGAGTAACTTATCTTTATTGGAAAGGCAGATGTCCAGAGAGAAGGAGAGATAGAGAGAGGAAGATTTTCCATCTGCTGATTCCCTCCCCAAATGGCCTCAATGGTTAGAGCTGAGCCAATCCGAAGCCAGGAGCCAGGAGCTTCTTGCAGGTCTCCCACGTGGGTGCGGGGTCTCAAGGCTTCCTCTACTGCCTTCCCAGGCCACAAGCAGGAAGGTGGATGGGAAATGGAGAGCTGGGACATGAACCAGTGTCCATATGGGATCCCAGTGTTTGCAAGGTGAGGACTTAGCCATGGAATCATCACACTGGGCCAAAACAAAAGCAAAAATAAAAACAAAACAAACAAACAAACCAAAAATACCCTACAACAAGACAAAAAACAACAACAACAAAACCCCCTATACGTATCATTTCAAATTTTCATGTAATCATGAGTCCTGATCTCATAACAAAGCATGATTTACCACTATGAAAAAAAAATGCCAAAAATGCTTACGAAGTCCGTAGTAATTCAGTTTCTGAAACCTTCTCTTTCCAATTCAGAGGTCTCCCCGTCTCTACAACATTATTGCTTTATGGTCCTGTGTGGATGCATTGGGATCCTTATTTTCCTGGTGACAATGATTGGCCTGAAATTTTGGGGTGAGTAATTGATTTTTTTTGCTTGTATATTTCAGAACACACATGTTGATTCTTCATTCCTCTTCATATCAAGATAAATTACATGCTATAGCCTAACAATGATAATTAAACTGAACAGTCATATTTGCAGAACAATTTTACATTTAAAAAAATTGAGAAATGCTCAGATATAAGGTTTGAATTTTCATTATCTTATGAAAAATCTCCTTAGCTTTTCTTTTTTTTCTCTCTCTCTTTTTGGTTAGTAAAAAAAATAGGAGTATAGGGAACTAGTGTGGTAGCCTAGCAGCTAAAGTCCTTGCCTTGCTTGTGCCAGGAACCCATATGGGCACCAGTTCTAATCCCGGCAGCCCTGCTTCTCATGCTTAGGGGACAAACATTTGGGTTAGTGGTTAAGACGCTCACGTCCCACGCCGGAGTAGCTATGTTCAGTTTCCGGCTGTGGTGCTGACCTGATCTGCCTGTCACTGTAGACCACCCTGGAAGGCAGCAGGAGACAGCTCAAGTGCTTAGGCTCCTGCCTCCCGTCAGAGTGACCTGGGTTTCACTCCCAGCTCTTTGCTTTTTTTTTTTTTGTTTTGTTTAAGATTTATTTTTATTGGGAATTGAAATTTCCAGAGAGAAGCAGACACAGAGAGAAAGATTTTCCATTTGCTGGTTTACTCTCCAAGTGGCCACAATGACTGGAGCTGATCTGATCTGATGCTAGGGACCAGAGGCTGCTTCTGGGTCTCCCATGCAGGTGCAGGGTCCCGACACTCTGAGCCATCCTCTATAGTTCGTGTCCCAGCGGCCTCGCTTCCATCCAGCTCTCTGCTTGTGGCCTGGGAAAGCAGTCAAGGACGGCCCAAAGCCTTGGGACCCTGCACCCATATGGGAGACCGGAAGAAGCTCCTGGCTCCTGATCAGCTCAGCTTCGGCCGTTTTGGCCACTTGGAGAGTGAATCATTGGAGAGAAGAACTTCCTCTCGGTCTCTCCTCCTCTTTGTATATTTGACTTTCCAATAAAAATAAGTGAATCTTTTTTTTAAAGTATAAATAATGTGTTTGAGAAAGTAAAGAAACTTGTTTCTTGTTCTATTTTGTCTTTGCACTGAGCACAGACATGAAAATGGACCTCCCTGAGAAGGGCAACGCCAGCCATGCATCAGGTAATGCTCTGTCCTGCTGCTAAGTGCTGTTCTGGGGAGGCACTTCTTCCTCATTCTGCTCTTCCTGCAAGTACCCATGCTTCACACGAAGCCTACAGTACTGGCCAAGAAAAGTATCGGAGGTGGAAAGGACATCCCCTCCCTCACCGCAACTTCTGTGTACCCAGTAGTGTGGACAGGAAGGCTAGCTGGAGTGGTTCCAGAAGGTGACAACTCTTGCCCTGATCCGGACTCTATTAACGAGTTTAGATATGCATGAAATTTTATGTACTAAAACAGTGCCTGTAACACTGTTTTTTTTTTTTATTAATTAATTTATTTTTACTGGGAAGTCAGATTTCCAGAGAGAAGGAGACAGACAGAAAGATCTATTCACTGGCTCACTCCCCAACTGGCTACAATGGCTGGAGCTGAGCTGATTTGAAGCGAGGAACCAGGGGCTTCCCTCTGGTCTCTCACACAGGTGCAGGGTCCCATTTACTTCCTCTAATTGCAGGGGGGCCAAAATTACCATCTGCAATCCTGCCTATGTTCCAGGGACTCTCAGGTTCTGCTCATAGACCTACTTTTTGATTGTGCACAGAAATGAGTCAACAATGTCAACTTTTAAAGAAACCACATTTGCTACTACTCACGCTTTCTGTTGGTTCTAAAGTCGAATTTATTCTTCTCCCAGCAGAAGAGATTTCTGTGTGTCCGAAAGACTGGCTGTTGAACCAAGGGAAATGTTACTGGCTTTCAACGTCTTTTAAAACTTGGAGAGAGAGTCAACATGAGTGTGCGCAGTGGCAGGCGCACCTGCTGCTCATTCGGAATTTGGATGAGCTGGTAAGGAAGCCGAAAACAGGACGTTCCACCTGAGGAAGAACTGTTAGGCACAGGTGGAGTCCTTAAGAACGGGGTAGTTTATGGTCGCTGCTTTTCAATGTGCGTTAGCCATAATGTAGCTACTATTGTGCAGCTCCCCAATGTCTAGTCTATGAAAAGCAGGAATGTGTTTATCAGTTCACGGTGACTTACTCTAAAGAAGAAAGAGATGTGTGTGTGTGAGTATGTGCTCAACGTGCTGTTTCTCCCGCAGAGGTTCATACAGAGCAGTTTAAAACGGGGCTATCTCGGCTGGATCGGCCTGTATGTCACAGCCCAAGGCAGACTGTGGAGGTGGATAGATGAGCAAGCTTTTGTTCCACAACTGTAAGTAGTTATTTGGCCAAGAGATATTTATTTAGGGCAAGATTTTCAAAAGAGACTTAATTTCAGAATAGTTTTAAAATTACAAAACATAATTATGATGTAATAATGTGAGCAAGTCTCATATACCCTCACCTCATTTTTCCTGTTAAGTTTGGTATTAGAATCTTTGTTACCATGAATGAATCACAACCAGCTTCCCTTAACAGAGAGATGGAGAGACAGAGAGTTCTTCCCCAAGTAGCCCCAACAGCTGGAGCTGAGTTCAGCTGAAGCCAGGAACCAGGAGCCTCCTCCAGGTTTCCCTTGTGGGTGCAGAGGCCCAGGGACTTAGGCTATCCTCGGCTAATTACCCAGGCCACAAGCAGGGAGCTGGATGGGGAATGAAGCAGCTGGGACTAGAATTAGCACCCAAGTGGGATGCCAGTGCTAGAGCAGAGGATTACCTTACTATGCCACTGCACTGGCCCCTTCCCTCTTTAAAAAGAATTTAGATTAAAAAAAAAAACAACTCAGCCACAAAAACCTTTCTAAAACCTCTGCACGATTTCAGCTGCATGTCAGTTTGGCTGGAGGAAGACCTAAATGACACCTCCATTATTTTTAAATGAAGTGCTCAAGTTCATTTCTTTTCCCCTCTAGGTTTTCAGTGATTGGACCCCAGGATGAGAGGAGTTGTGCTATCATAACGGGCAGGCAGGTGTACTCGGAGGACTGTGACTCCACGTTCAATGCCATCTGCCAGAGAGACGCTGTCTGTTGCCCCCACAATCGATCCACTGGTGCTGTGTAAATGTATGAGGACTAAGATTTACTTGAGTAAGACTTGAGTCTTTTAGGTGAGGTTTCTAACAGCAAGTTTCTGATACTGGGCATTATCAAATGGTGGTGGCGGGGGGGGGGTGGGCGGCGAGAAGCTTTTCTTCCACATTCAAAATTTAAATTGTAACATCAACTTCTTTGTAGAACTTTTGCTGGAGTTTTTGTCATTCCCAAGGCACTGATTATATAAAGCTAAATGAAGTCATGCTTTATTTTTGTAGGGATGCAATTGCTTGTTTTTTTTTGCATATAAAAATACCAGAAAACAAACAACCTTTAGGAATGCTGCTTAATTAATTGTGTGTGTTGTGTGGCAGGTGTGAAGGGAAATGGCAACATACGTCCCTGTGTTATTTTTGAAGGAAGGATAATTCTGAAGTTTTTGTATGTATGTTATAGCATGAAATGCTATTTTAAAATTATATGGCCAAATATCAGAAGCAACACACAAGAATAAAAGCAAACCTGCGCACTTAAATACTTTAAAGAAATGTGTATAGTTATAATTATTCTTATCTTTTTCTCAGTGGAATGCAAATGATTTCTTTAAACAAATAAAAGCAACTCACAATAGTCAATAAAGCACTGTTGCTTTTTATGCGTTTTTGAAAGTTTTGCTGTTAAACTGATATGCAAAAATTGCTGTCAGGACTGGCATGGTGGGATAACACGCGAATCCTTTGCCTGTTGGTGCCAGCATCTCATATGGGTGACGGTTTGGGTCTCAATTCCTTCACTCTCCATCTCCTCTTCCTCCTCCTCTTTTTTCTAAGATTTATTTATTTTTATTGGAAAGGCAGATTTTACAGACAGAAAGAGACAGAGAGAGATATCTTTCACCCACTGGGTTACTCTCCAACTGGCCACAACTACTGGAGCTGAGCAGATCTGAAGGCAGGAGCCAGGAACTACTTCTGGATCTCCCACATCCAAGCACGGATCTGGATGGGAAGTGGAGCTTGAATCAGAGCCCCACATGAGATCCTGGAGCTTGCAAGGTGAGGATTTAGCCAGTAGACCATTGTGCCAACCCAGTTGCTCTACTTCCGACCCAGCTCCCTGCTTATGGTCTAGGAAGCAGCAGAGGAAGGCTCAAGTCCTTAGTGCCAGCACCACATGGGAGACCTGGGAGAAGTTCCTAGGATCGCCCAGCTCTTACCGCTGCAGCCATTTAGTGAATAAACCAGTGGGTGGAAGCTCTCACTCTCTGTCCATCTCTCCTTCTCTCTGTTCAACTTTGACTTTCCAAGTAAATAAACCAATCTTTTAAATAAAGCAATGGCTGTCCACCTGAAGAGCAGCCAGAGAGCTTCTTTGAGTCTGTTTATGTGGAAACAGCAGACCATGGCAGGGAAGCTGAGTGCCACAGTCAAGAATGTGCCTATCCAGAGAGGCAGAGGAAAAAGCTTTCAAGATAAAGGTGAGGTACTGATATAAATTTCTTGGTTACAAAGTTCAGGCAAGATTGGCTGCTCATTGGTGGGGAAGCTACTGTCGGGCACATGTTCGGTCCAGAGCATCGTCTTCAAATGGCTGCAATCTTGGCCCTGCCTAATGGCTGCACCAGCTCTTTTATGGGATGCCTGCATCACAGATGGAAGTGTAACATGCTATGCCACAACACTGACCCCTGAGTTCACTTATTGTACCCATTGCTATAGTCTCAGATAGTTTGCTTATTTATTTTTTTTCCCAACTGCATGGTAGTTTATTAAACTGAACACATGATTCACATTTGGTATGAAGATATAACCTTAATAGTGATAACAATACTAGTGTATCAATTGACATATAGAGGAATCAAAAAAAAATCAATTGACATATAGAGGAATCCCAATTAGACTTATAGCTGACCTCTCAGAGGTCGCCTAGATTAGAATTGGCACCCATATGGGACCACAGGCATGTGAAAAGCGAGGTAAGTGCTGTGACATAGTGGGTAAAGCTGCTGCCTGTGGCGCAGGCATCCCATATGGGTGCTGTTTCATTCCTTGCTGTGCTTCTTCTAATCCAGCTCCCTGCTCTACAAATATCTAGGTTTGCTACAAATCCACTTGATATCAACCAATCCTCTGGAACTGTGGACTCCGTCAGCATTCAGGAAGGCAAAGGATCCATTCCCTCTAATTTCAAACCTGGAAAAGAACAATCTAAATCAGTGTGAAAACTACCCACAGCTAGTACCAACAGGGCAAGGAAAAGCAGAGTCATTAGCAACATATCGCACAAAACCACGTATGGATAGAAACATCTATTACAATAAAAGCAACTGAGATAATGTGGGCATTGCTTTGAATTACAGTCTGCAACCCTATTTATGGCAACTTGTAGATAACCAGACAGCAGAAGTCAAAGCAGACAGACATATTGGGCCCATAGGTCTGTCAATATACATTTCTCTCTATTCATTTTTACATCGAGCTTCTCCCTATCATCTAATCTGTCTATGAAGAAAGTGCCTGTGAAATTCAGTCATCATTTTATAAGGAATACAGTATTGATTTTAAGGCAACATTTGTCCTTTTTGTTTGGCTTATGTTTTCACTTTATTTTAGAGGCAGAGAGAGACAGAGATCTCCCATGGTTGTGTTCATTTCCCAAAGGTCTGTAAGAGCCAGGACTGAGCAGTGGAAACCAAGAGCAAAGAACTCCATCCAGGTGTCCTGCTCAGGTCTCAGGGCCCCAGGTGCTTGAGCCATCCCTTGCTGCCTCCCAGGGTGTACATGAGTGGGGAAGTGAATCAGAAGTAGAGCAACTGGGATTTGCTGCTTATTTAAATATTTATTTATTTTTATTCACCCCCCCAAATAGCTACAATGGCCAGAGCTGAGCCAATCCAAAGCCCGGAGCCAGGAGCTTCTTCCCAGTCCTCCCAGGTGACTACAGAGTTCTAAGGACTTGGCCATCCTTCTCTGCTTTCCCAGGCCGTAAGCAGAGAGCTGGATTGAAGGTAGAGCATTTGGGACTTGAACCAGTGCCCACATGGTATGCCAGCACTTACAGGAGGAGGATTAGCTTGATATGCTACTGTGCTGGACCCAACGTTTTGGAATTTTAAACACATTGAGAAACAAGCAAACAAAACTAAAGCAACAAATTATAATATTGTCTTTATTACTTTACTCTTTTGTTAACAACATCTTTTTAAAAAATAATGTGTATAGTTTGTCATCTGTTAGATTATTCACCATTGTTTAACTGGTTCTCTTTTTAAAGTTAGTACTTGTTATAATAATAAGGCAGGAGGAATCCAGATTTCAAAGAAAACTTTTACAGCCCTTGTTTTCAGGAAAGTATCCTAAAGCAGGAGACAGCTTTCATGCAAACAATAACTATAAAAATAAGACACTAATAAAGCCTATTGCTTATAGTAGGGAAGTTTCTTTTTTTAAAAAAAATCTATTTATTTATTTAGATGATTTTTACATGATAGATTATGGTGATAAGGGTCAAGGGCTACAGCAAGGTGGGTGAGACCATTATTTCCACATTCTCATTTTTCCTTGCTGTATCTGGGGAGGAGGCAAAATTCAACGACCAGAAACCGAATGTAACAGCAAGGGCATGAAAGCACACATAAAACTGGGAAATAATTTCCCTGTGTCTTACGGAACAAGGTCCAAGGCAGGTGCGCTGTGCTGAGGTGTGCCTCGGTGTGACAGGATACAGAGCAGAGACTGGAGACGTGGGGGGAGCAGGAAGATGCTTTTACACTATTACCATGAAGATAAAGTCACATTTTTACGTAATGTCAAAATAAAAGCTTTTCCGCCCGCGGGGTACTTACCAGTCAGTGAATGTGCTGCCATCTGTCCATTTCCAAGGCTCGCCCAGTTTCCTGCTCAGACCAATCCAGTGCATGGCAGTTCCTGTGTGCTTCTTCAAGAATTCCTTTCACAAAGCAAAGTTATCACCCATGACTTTGTGTTCTAGGGCATGTTGAGTAACCATCTCTGAGGATTTACAGTCTAATTTGCTTATGGCTAAACAGTACAGATACTGATCTTTGGGTTAGTTTTATCAGAAACTTTTCCATTTTACTCATAAATATTTAAAAAAATATTTATTTTAATTTTTATGGGAAAGTCGGATATACAGAGAGGAGGAGACACAGAGAGGGAGATCTTTTGTCTGTTGACTCACTCCCTAAGCGGCTGCAACAGCTGGACCTATGCCGATCTGAAGCCAGAAGCCCAGAGCCTCTTCCAGGCCTTCCATGTGGGTACAGGGTCCCAAAGCCCTGGGCCGTCCTCGACTGCTTTCCCAGGCCACAAGCTGGGAGCCGAATGGGAAGTGGGGTGGCCGGGATTAGAAATGGCATCCATTTGGGATCCTGGCGTGTGCAAGGTGAAGACTTTAGCTGCTAGGCACAGTGCCAAGCCCTACCGGTTTATTTCTTAAAGAATTCTAAATAGTTGCACTTTACTTACTGAGTCTGTGAGCTAAGCTGTCTCTAGCTTTGAAGGTAATTTCCTTCTCTTAAGTGAGAAATTAATGTGGGAGATATATCTGACCTTCCCTTCAAGTTCAGATTCCTAAACCATTGCCATGTTCTAGTTACAGAGTGAATTACAAAGACAGCGATCTGGTGTAACGCCCACGTGTGTGATAATATCAGGACCTGTTCAGTTTCAACAGAAGCTGACAACCTCTTCGTCAAGGGCAGCAGAAAAAGCCACTGCTAATATTTTGTTTTGTTCATTGGACCTCTCCCTAAAATCACGGCAGAAGGGGAAAAAGGGCTTAAGGGAATGGATCAGTACTGCTAAGATGGAAAACAAAAAATCAGTATTGGAGTAGGTGCCACAATAAGGAAGTCACTGGTGTTTTCGCATATAATCAGAGACCAAAGTAACTGAATGACCACGATCAACGGCAACAAAGGCTACTGATCGATGCGTTTGGGCTGTCCTCTACCACTCCTTGCTCTTCAATTCCAGATACACCAGTTAGCTCCTCGTGACCAGCAGAACCACCTGTTCTCTAACTCTTTGTAAGTCCATGTCTCTTGTCACCCTCTCACTTCTTCTGCTCTTCTTCTAAGCGCACATACTTTCTTCACACCCCCATTGCTAAAGTTCAATAACCACGACTTTCTAAAAAGTGTCAAGTTTTCCAGACTATTGATAGAAGGCAATTAAAAAAAAAAAAAAAACCCCTAAGAGCAGTTCCTAACATATTTCTCTATGTAAACAGTAATGAATAGCAGAACATCGCTAGTCACTTGGGTTCAAATCCCAGCTCAACAATTACAGCCCGCTGACTCTGGGCCCCAGCATCCTCCTCCCTAAAACAGGGCTAGCTTCAGAGCCACTTCACGGGCACTGCTTAGTGATGTTCTTATAAGTGCAATGATCAGGACAGTGTCTGACAGACATCGGCCTCTAGTATTTGCTGTATTTTTATTCTCCCTTTGTGCAAATGGAACATATGAAACAATGAAAAGACTTTCCCCTTTTCTTACCATATCTGTTTGTGTATCAACACGAGCCAGTTCTGATCCTTGTGATTGGCAAAACCTTTTACTGGCTGCCCAATCTCCAGTATCATTAGAAAAATAGAAACATTTTTTTCCTACTCCGATCAAGTCACTTGGACATGCTGTAGTTTTAGAACGCTTCAGGCATACTGAAGGGAAAAAAAAAAAGAAATTATTAGATGAAAGATATGCTAAAGAGTGTTCTTACTCATCCCAGAGACATATTTTGCCTTGTTACTCCCACAGCTGGAGTCCTGTAAATTCAGCTTCATTCTCTCGATGACTGATGGAACAGTTCCTCTCCATCTCTAAGACCACATGGAGGTTGAGCTGTCTGCACCTGGGTCCTGTTTGAGAAGCAGGGCTGCCTCATGCTCTGTAACTGATATTCTGGCAACATCACCACCTGAACTTGAGCTAGCAATGCTCAAGTCATTCCCCAGGGCTTCGGGAAGCAGGGGGAGCACTGCAGAATCCCCTTTACCTCCGCGAAATGGCAGGCTCACAGCCAAGCAAGGCCCCTGCATCCCTAAGTTAGCAGCGTGTACTCAACACAAAGGAGAACAAAAGACTGAAACAGAAGGAAGGGCCCTGAACCCTGTTGCAGTTTTGCTAGTGTCCAGTCCTATAGTCATTGGCTTAACAACAGAGCTTAATGTAAGCTAGTCTGCAGAGACTTTAATCCAGTACTGAGTAATAAAACACAGTCTTCCCCCAGGCGTTGGACTAAGTTAATGTAACCAGTGAAGGGCCCCCCAAAATTCAAATTTAGGACAAACACTGAGGCCTGTATTCCTATAATGTTCAGAGATGAATCCAGGTTACTACAGATGGGCAACTAAATATATCATGCTGCAACTCTCTCTTTGTTAATCAGTGAATGAATATGAGGACTTCTTACACATATTTTTGCCCATGAACATTCAATAACGTCCATGTATTTAAACATCAACAGAATTGAGCCCTCAGGACTTTGTAGTGACAGAGGAGGATGTTTGGAGTGGGGAACTTTTCTTTTGCTAAGAGTCACTTGGCTATGTCTCATATTATCCATGGACCACACAAAATGATCAACGTAAAAAAAAATTAGCCTGTTCTGGATGTACTGAATTTAGAGTTCCACCTGTGATTGTCTCGGCAGGGCTAGACCGGTGGATGGAAGATCTTTCTCACTGTCTCTCCTTCTTTCCATAAATCTGCCTTTGCAATACAAAGAATTCTAAAAACCAGTTAAGTTACTTACCTATTGAGACAGCAGCCACGATGCCAATTACCATGATGCACACCAACAGCACATACTTACACTGCTTTTGTTTTAGCATGGAACCTACAAATTAAAGAAAAAAAATTTATTGTTTCTGAAGATACCCTGATGGAGTATTTAGTAGTCTTGTGTTCCTCTGCCATAAAAATTTGTCAAGAAGTACTCACTGCAAGCATCTACAGCTTACGGTAACAAAGGATAGAAAGGCACTGCAAAGTGTAAGGAAGTTCCAGAGGATGATGGGAAGAGGTGAGGGGCGATCACTCAGGCCAGCAAGGGAAGAAAGGCAAGGTTACTCAAAGGGAGAGTGGGATTTAAATGAGGATTGTAAGAAGGAGAGGCAGATGGCCACCCTCAGAACCAGTGTCTGTAAGAGACGAACGAGGCAGTGAGCTAGAAGGCAGGAAAGAAAAGAAAGTGACAGGCCACATAATTTTCTTCTTTATCCTGTAAGCCAAAGGGGAAGAAGTTTAATGTGTTTGAGCAAGAAAACGTCAAGCTAGAGCTCCAAGTAGCGGTTGCTCTCTCTGTGGGAAGCAGAATGGACTGAAGAGGACAAGGAATTTGATGCTCATGGAAGTGTAGGAACAAATAGATCATCAGATATACACAATGAGAAGTACACAGAACAATATATAAGCAAATACAGGGAACACCGACAAATGTACAGTCTTGTCTAAAGGGTTATTAGTAGAAGAAGCCACAATCAGGAAAGCAGGTGTGTGGTACACAGTAGTCCCCCTTTCCACAGGGGATTTGTTCACAGATGTCTCAACCAGACTCCATATCCTCTCAGCTTTTCCCTCCCACCAGACATTAAGATAATATTAAACTTATAAAGTAGGTACAGTATGAGGCTAACAAGGACCAGTCATCAAACAGAATGATTATAGTAGTATATGAACTGGAATGGAGATTATTTAAAACTTAGGAGCTATTTATTTCTGGAATTATCCATGGAGCATTTTTGGGCCACAGTTGATCACAGGCTACTGAAAGTGTGTAAAGTAAGAAGAGTGCCATGGGGGTGTTTTTAAAAAATTATTTCAGCTGACAGGTAGAGAGTTCCAAGCACTTGGGATATCCTCCCCCACTTTCCCAGGTATGCTAGCAGGGAGCTGGATGAGAAGTGGAGCACCAGGGCCAGAACTCCGCTCCAGTGAGGGATACTTAGCAATGATTTAAGCTGCTGTGTACACACTGGCCCCTCTCTCAGGGTTCTTGTACATTTGCAGTACTAATACCCCTTCGGTCTAGATTTTTCTTACTCCTCCACTATACTTTCTACAGTCATTGATATCTTATCTCTTTCTGCTATGAAACAGCAGAATTTCTCTTCTTCTGTATGCTTCCCATACACTTAAATCTTACCTGCATAAGCCTGAGTGATTTACTTGGCTAAAAGAATTGTAGCTTTCCTCTTTCTGTAACTTTAACATCTACCTGGATAAACATTAGAATAATTAAAAAAAAAACACGAAGATATTCTCACAGCTCAAGAGGCAGAACTATAACCAACGTTTAGAGATCACAAGGACATGGGGCCTGCATTGGGCGCAGTGACTTTCGCCACCACCTGCGATGGCAGCATCTGAAATGGCTGTTGATCTGTGCTCTGGCTGGAAAAAGCAGTGAAAGATGGTCCAGGTGCTTGGGTGCCTGCCAGCGACACGGGTGACCTGATTGGAGTCCCTGGCTCCTGGCTTTGGACTGGCTCAGCAGTGGCTGTTGCAGCCACTTAGGAGAGTGAAACAGCAGAAAGATCCGACTTTCAAATAAGTAAATACACATTATTATAAATTTTTAAAAGATTTATTTATTTTTATTGGAAAGGCAGATATACAGAGAGGAGGAGAGACAGAGAAGATCTTCCATCCAATGATTCACTCCCCAAGTGACTGCAATGGCCGGTGCTGCACCAATCTGAAGCCAGGAGCCAAGAGCTTCTTCTGGATCTCCCACACAGATACAGAGTCCCAAGGTTTTGGCTGTCCACGACCGCTTTCCCAGGCCACAAGCAGGGAGCTGGATGGGAAGTGGAGCTTCGGGGATTAGAACCGGCATCCCTACAGGATCCCAGCACATTCAAAGTGAGGACTTTAGCCACTAGGCTACCATGCTGGGCCCAGTAAATATATATATTTTTAAAAGCAGAAACAAGAAAGGGAATTTGAGTTCACACTAAAGAAACTTTTAATTAAAAATGTTCTAAATTGAAAAAAAAAGCCTCATAAAACAGAAGTATTTTCAACAAAAGTATTGTAGAGCAGAGACATTTACCAGGAAAGGCCACTTTAAATGAGAAGTTTTATTAAAAAGGTCACTTCTGAGGTCTTCCTGACCTTTAAGAAAATTGTGTTTATCTGCCTTTGTGAGCAGTGAGGTCGGGTCCAGGGCCTTGGAAGAGCGGGGTGCCCGTTTCTGGAACTCCATCTCACAGTTCACGGCACTTACAAACCAGATGGGCTGACTGCACAGAGCAAGGCCGCGGGGTTGCCAAGACAACCAAGGGGAACGGAGTTTCCCTTCTGCTTCTCTGCCCAGAGCTAGGGAGAGACAGGGAACAGCCATCCTCCCAGAAGAGGACAAGATAACCACTTGAATACTCATTCAAGTCTCTTCTCCAGCAGCCCAGACACCTGGGTCCCCAGGTCCCTCCCTATGGTCATGATTAGGAGAAAAAGGAAAAAAAAATACAAGCCGTTTCCCCTCCTCCACTTCCCTACTTCTTCAAGGGCAGTGCTTCTCTATTGCTTTGTTCTGAGTAAAGATTCTGTTACGCTTACCCTTGTTTCCTGGCTTTTGAGCTCCATGCTAAGCTGAGGCAAGAATCCACTGAGCTTAGTAAGAGAACTGCTGAGTGAATACTACCGGAATTCACACCAGTAAACTTTCAACAGTGGCTCGCTGGGTATCTAACTCACCTCAAAGTTCTCCTTCTTTCTGTATTTCCTTTCTCTGGAAATTTTGTCAGGTTTTCTGTTGCAGTCATTTGACACGTGATTTATCTAGCTTGCCTCTCATACACTCTATTATTTATTGTGGAGAGATTTACAAAGGGGAGAGATCTTCCATCCGCTGGTTTACTCACCGAGTGGCCACAATGGCCAAGCGGATCTCCCACGTGGGTGCAAGATCCCAAGGCTTTGGGCCATCCTCTACTGCTTTTCCAGGCCACAGGCAAGGAGCTGGAAGGGAAGTGGAATAGCCAGGATATGAACTTTCACCCATATTAGATCCTGGTACATGCAAGGCGAGGACTTTAGCCACCACACTACAGAGCCAGCCCCTCCAGTAACCTTAAACACAAACTTATGCAACCCACAGCAGTATAGGAAGACTTTCCCACTTCACTGACTTTGTATCTTAAGTTAAAAAAAAAAGTCAGCTTCATGTAAGTATTTATTGTTGACTGTCCTGTGTGTTTTCTCCTTCTTTTCTTCTTACTCATTTAGCAAGACTTGTCCATTGCTTGCAGCCGTGATCCCGCAGCCCACACGTACTTATGGCTGTTGCGATGGCTGATCCGGAGTGAAAGAGCCAGAAAGTTCTGCATCTCTATTACTTGTAGAAAGTCCTGAGCAAGCTTTATTATTTTTATTTTTTATTATTATTTTTACTAAATGTCACAGCCAGCTAAACAAGAGATTTTGCCAATCCAAAGAGAAGAAGCACGAGCCATTTTGACTCTGTACTATTACTTTGTCCCCTTCCGGGAATCCACCAATAAAATGTAATCTCATGGTGTCTTGCCTGAGCACCTCACTCACCGTTCTCTTGTGGCCCCTACCCCTAATCCCTGCCCACCTACCAAGCATGTACTCCTTGCGTCTGCGCAAGGCAGCAGCGGAAGCGGAGGGCCAAGCCCATCCTCAACATGGTGACTTGCGAGGGGTGGGGTTGGCAACAGCACAGTCCCACCCTCCCCCTCAGGTTTTGGATGGTGATGATGACTCATAGATGTGCAGAAAGGATTCCGTCGCTGGGGGAGATGTGGCTTCTGAAGAGCCTCAACATGAGCTACACCATTTTTGCTGTGAAAGTTGAGCTTTGTTTCTGGCTTAGGTTTCATTTCTGGAAAATGTCACAGATAAGTTAGGTGACCAGCAACCTTCAAGGTCCCCCTACTTGTGATGAGGTTGTTCGTTTCATCGTCCACCAATAAGAAAGTAGAATTGTAAGTGTACTGGCTTGACAATTCCCTAGACTGATAAAAACCCTGCACCTTCCAGTCTCGGGGCTCTCAGTCTCGAACCACTGCATGGGTGATGGTTGGGGCCCAGGCTCGAGCTTGAATAAACCGCCCTTATGTGTTTGCATCAGACTCAGTCTCCGTTTGGGGAATTCAAAATCTGGGTATAACAGCTACCAAAGCTTGAATTAGCTGCCTAAAACCATACCGATGTGTGTGTGTCCATTGGCACCAGGGATATGAGGTTTGGGTCCCTTCTATCTGGGTTCACCCCCAAATGCTTGCAACAGCTGGGGCTGGGCCAGCTTGGAGTCAAGAGCCAGGAACTCCATCTAAATTTCCCTAAAGGCATCCAAGCCATCATCTGCCAGGGTGTGTCTTAGCAAGAAACTGTGTGAGAGGCTGGCTGGAACCCTTTTCCGGGAACTCTGATAATGGGAAGCCAGCATCACAAGCTTTGGTTCAAACAGCTGCATCGCAACACCTGCTCTGGACAATTTGATGAGATTTTCTTTCTCTGACTTAATTTTACTTCATTCTTATTTTGCACATTAGAGTTAATTTTCTCATTTTCCTACCTTCCTTGGTGTTTCCTTCCTTCCCTCTCCCCCCGTAGTAATTTGTAACGTGTTTTTATATTCCTAAGAGGATGTTATAGATTTTAGGTGGGTTACTTTGAACTCTGTTATGGCTAAAATGCAGCTCACCGTGATGCCTCTAAGTATGGAATGCTCATTTACGTGCAAAATCATGTAAAAACCCAGCCTAAACGGTAGGCTTCTCAGTAGTTGCAGTAGATGCTTCTTTCCCATCGGGAAAACTGGACTCGAGAAGACTCATTTTGTGAAGTGACCCAACAGGTGTCAGTGAGGAGAATGTTATCTGGACACAATGAATGTTGGACTAGATCAAAGGAGCTGGACTGCAGAGAGTTCTAACTGCACAGGGACGCCCTGCATGTTGGCGTGACAAGGGGCTTTGGCTGAGGGTCTTCCAAAAGTGCATGCATGGTGAACCATCACCTACCACAGGCTGAAGTGAATGCAAAGGAGAGAGAATTTGGTGAAACATATTTCTGCCACTTACAAGTGTCGTTTTTCTAAATCTACTCCCCAGTATTGTCTGACATTCCGGAAGATTTGTGCCTATCACTAGGGAGAGAACTCACAAATGCATTTATTTAGTAGTTTCTGGCACTTACAAGGTGAGGATGGGTCCTTGAGTCATCTTACTGGGTCCTGATTTCTGAATTCTATCTTAATTAAAATCCAATATGAGATACTTAAAAGAATAATGAACTTAGGTGTAGACTTGAGCATGCACAGAAAGAAGACGATTTTGTGAAGACAGAATAAGAAATTCATCTTCCCTAGATAAGGAATGAGGCCTCAGGAAAGGTCAACCTTGCCAACACCTTAGATCGTAACTCTTGGCCACCAGGACTGTTACTGGGGCTGCCCAGCTGACGCCTTTACAACAGATGCTCTAGGACACAGAGATACCAATGGTAAACCAGTGGGAACTCTCACTTCCCATTCGTGCCTTTCAATTGGACTGTCTCTAACATAGAATATTCTACGCTGTCAATATTTTCTTTCATGCAGGAAAAGATTTTTTTGTAACTATGAAGTTTAATTTTTGTCCTACTTTTTCCTCACATCTCTTAAAGTTAAAGCATAATTATCAGCTGTATGGTTGTTACTGTGGATTTTTCATGCCGCTCTTCCCCACAATTGAATGTGATGTAATGATCAGAAAAGATGTACATTTTTTCTCAATTTAGAGGTTTTGTGCTGCTAACTGCTATCGTGTCATACACACAGTTTTTCATCTTGCTCTGAGTGCCACAGAGCAGGTGCTCGAAGGGTGACAGCTGGCATGCAGTACCCTTTGTGCTATTTCCCAAACTTCAGAGTTGGGCAAAATTTGGAAGTGTTTCAAGAAAAAGAAAATAGCCAATCAGTTCCTCAAACCACGCAATTCTGAGAGGTTCTAGAAGTCAACACTCACCATGATGACACAGCACAAATACATCCACTGATCTATCCGCGACCAGAGGTGCCCCTGAAAACTGAAACTCCTCATCAAAACAAACCCTTGGAGATGTGTGAGCCTCTGAAAGAACGGAAACTACTTTTCAGAAAGATCTTCTGATAAGTAACCCTTCCCTCCATTCCTAAGTATGTAAAGTAACCTAACATACCTCCTCTCCCCAAAGATCACTGATGTAGTGTAATGGCTCTGTCTGTGCCACAATCAATTCCATCTTCCCCAGCCCTTGCATTTTGGTAACAATCGTGTCCCAGTAGTCTTTGCACCGTGAGAGAGAACTCTCATGGCTGCTCCCTTTGCCATCTCGCTCAAATCTAATCTTGTGGGGTCCATCGTTATCTCCCTGTTATGCTCTAGATTAACAGCAGGGAATTGGAAACAGCCGGTTATCTCAATCCATCAACTATCGGGCAAACTTAAAACAGCCCTAGGCACCACTGCCCTCTCTCTGGCTTCTCTCCAGTGCCAACTTGCCTCTCTGGCATAGGTAATCCTCCAAAACAGGTGCGCCCTAGACCTTTCCGGAAGAAGAGTCGCATCCATGTTCTTTTAAGAGGAATGTTGCCATACTGCTCTCAAGCAGCGTAAAATGGCTGCCCAGAAGACACTGCGCCCAAACTCAGCTTGAAAAAGCTATAGAAGGCCCCCTTTACTTGTCACATAACCGATTTCTTGGTCTACCAATCCCTGTAGCCCAGTACTTGCAGTACCCGATGCTATGTTCTCTTTCGTTTTCTCTCTTTTCCTCTCAGGCTCTCTCATGGCTGCCCCGGCCCGGCTGGGCTCCCTCGCAGGCTCCCTCCCGCAGGAGTGCCCTTGCTCTTCCTCTCTTTTTTATCTCTCTGTCCCCTCTCTGTGCCGAATAAAGATCTCCTGTGTGACTCACTGGCATCTGGCGTATCAGGTTAGTGGTGAAAATTCCTTATACTACCTGTCCTTGGAGTCCGTCCACGGGAACCAACAACAAGCATGTACTCCTTGCGTCTGCGCAAGGCAGCAGCGGAAGCGGAGGGCCAAGCCCATCCTCAGCAGCGGAAGCGGAAGCGGAGGGCCAAGCCTATCCTCAACATGGTGACTTGCGAGGGGTGGGGTTGGCAACAGCACAGTCCCACCCTCCCCCTCAGGTTTTGGATGGTGATGATGACTCATAGATGTGCAGAAAGGATTCCGTCGCTGGGGGAGATGTGGCTTCTGAAGAGCCTCAACATGAGCTACACCATTTTTGCTGTGAAAGTTGAGCTTTGTTTCTGGCTTAGGTTTCATTTCTGGAAAATGTCACAGATAAGTTAGGTGACCAGCAACCTTCAAGGTCCCCCTACTTGTGATGAGGTTGTTCGTTTCATCGTCCACCAATAAGAAAGTAGAATTGTAAGTGTACTGGCTTGACAATTCCCTAGACTGATAAAAACCCTGCACCTTCCAGTCTCGGGGCTCTCAGTCTCGAACCACTGCATGGGTGATGGTTGGGGCCCAGGCTCGAGCTTGAATAAACCGCTCTTATGTGCTTGCATCGGACTCAGTCTCCGTTTGGGGAATTCAAAATCTGGGTATAACAGCTACCAAAGCTTGAATTAGCTGCCTAAAACCATACCAAGGTGTGTGTGTGTGTCCATTGGCACCAGGGATATGAGGTTTGGGTCCCTTCTATCTGGGTTCACCCCCAAATGCTTGCAACAGCTGGGGCTGGGCCAGCTTGGAGTCAAGAGCCAGGAACTCCATCTAAATTTCCCTAAAGGCATCCGAGCCATCATCTGCCAGGGTGTGTCTTAGCAAGAAACTGTGTGAGAGGCTGGCTGGAACCCTTTTCCGGGAACTCTGATAATGGGAAGCCAGCATCACAAGCTTTGGTTCAAACAGCTGCATCGCAACACCTGCTCTGGACAATTTGATGAGATTTTCTTCTTTTTATTTCTCTGACTTAATTTTACTTCATTCTTATTTTTCACATTAGAGTTAATTTTCTCATTTTCCTACCTTCCTTGGTGTTTCCTTCCTTCCTTCCCCCCCCCCGTATTAATTTGTAACGTGTTTTTATATTCCTAAGAGGATGTTATAGATTTTAGGTGGGTTACTTTGAACTCTGTTATGGCTAAAATGCAGCTCACCGTGATGCCTCTAAGTATGGAATGCTCATTTACGTGCAAAATCATGTAAAAACCCAGCCTAAACGGTAGGCTTCTCAGTAGTTGCAGTAGATGCTTCTTTCCCATCGGGAAAACTGGACTCGAGAAGACTCATTTTGTGAAGTGACCCAACAGGTGTCAGTGAGGAGAATGTTATCTGGACACAATGAATGTTGGCCTGTTGCTGTTGGACTAGATCAAAGGAGCTGGACTGCAGAGAGTTCTAACTGCACAGGGACGCCCTGCATGTTGGCGTGACAAGGGGCTTTGGCTGAGGGTCTTCCAAAAGTGCATGCATGGTGAACCATCACCTACCACAGGCTGAAGTGAATGCAAAGGAGAGAGAATTTGGTGAAACATATTTCTGCCACTTACAAGTGTCGTTTTTCTAAATCTACTCCCCAGTATTGTCTGACATTCCGGAAGATTTGTGCCTATCACTAGGGAGAGAACTCACAAATGCATTTATTTAGTAGTTTCGTAAGTAAGTTTATTTAATAATTTCACAGTGTGGGTTGTGTATTGATAGTTTTGAAATGGTAAGCATTGATTTCTATGGATTGGAATTGCTAGGGTTAGGTATATATAACACCTACATTTTCATAAATTTCTTTAACTAAATTTTTTTTTCCAGAATTTGACATGGTAGTTCATTCCCCAAAATTGTGTGAATACTAGATTTCAATATTTTGAACTGTTGCTGATGAGTTGAAAATTTTATTTTGTAATCTGTAAATGTTAAGTGAGATCACCTACATAAACCCTTGGTCTGTTGGTTAGGATTTCCAAGTGTACATTTTTGATTAAATATGTTTATAATTTGTCATATAGAGCAAACAAAATACAGTGCTTTTCTCTTTGATTTTAGTGTATTTTTTCCTGTACAGAACTTATGTATTGAAAATACAATCATGCTCTGGTAAAAAAGATATAATTTTTCATCAATCAAAATATGTTTGAAGGGATAGAAAATACACCTATACCAATTTATGATACAAGGAAAGAAGAGTGTGTTTCACCTGGGAGGGAGCTCCTTAAAGACATTCACTGCTTTTGCTGCAAATGTATCTTTTTGTTTCACTGCAATCAGCACTACCAAGTCCATTGGTAGCTATATAGGTACATTTCTCATTACTTTGAACATGGGACCTGGAACAAAACAAAGAGATTTATTCTTTGCTTACTGGAACTCATGAAAAATTACCAAGCATAACTTCATACCCAGAATGTAAACTTTGGTAACCATATTTTCGAAGGTGGAAGGAGTGGAGGAAGTGAAATATGAGGCAATATCAGAAAGGCAATGGACAAATGGAGATAAAGAACATTTTTTTGGAGCCAGCTCTGTGGCTTAGTGGGTAATCCTTCACCTTCAAATGCCAGCATCCTATAAGGACACCAGTTTGTGTCTCAGCAGCTCCTCCTCCAACCCAGCTCCTTCCTTATGGACTGGGAGTGCAGTAGAAGATGGCCCATGAGTTGGGACCCTGCGTGGGAGAACCTAAAGGAGGCTCCTGACTCCTGGCTTTGATTCAGCTCAGCTGTGGCCATTGCGTCCATGTGGGAGTAAACCAGTGGCCGGAAGATTTTTCCCTTTCTGTCTCTCCTTCTCTCTGTAAATTTGCCTTTCCAACAAAAATAAATAAATCTTTTTTTTTTTTTTTAAGATACACTTTCTTGGTCCTTCCCCTAACCCACCAAACTGCAATCCATGGGTAATCTTTTTTTAATACACAATTTCATCAACTTTGTGCAGACCCCAGGTACGCTGTCTGTCCCCCTTTGTATGCTCCAATTGACGCCTTTACAACAGATGCTCTAGGACACAGTGATACCAATGGTAAACCACTGGGAACTCTCACTTCTCATTCGTGCCTTTCAATTGGACTGTCTCTAACATAGAATATTCTACGCTGTCAATATTTTCTTTCATGCAGGAAAAGATTTTTTTGTAACTATGAAGTTTAATTTTTGTCCTACTTTTTCCTCACATCTCTTAAAGCATAATTATCAGCTGTATGGTTGTTACTGTGGATTTTTCATGCCGCTCTTCCCCACAATTGAATGTGATGTAATGATCAGAAAAGATGTACATTTTTTCTCAATTTAGAGGTTTTGTGCTACTAACTGCTACCGTGTCATACACACAGTTTTTCATCTTGCTCTGAGTGCCACAGAGCAGGTGCTCGAAGGGTGACAGCTGGCATGCAGTACCCTTTGTGCTATTTCCCAAACTTCAGAGTTGGGCAAAATTTGGAAGTGTTTCAAGAAAAAGAAAATAGCCAATCAGTTCCTCAAACCACGCAATTCTGAGAGGTTCTAGAATTTTAAATAAAGATCAAGTAGGAGCAGATATTTTGCTTTCCAACTTTTCTTGGGAGTGGGAAAATATTCTCCCTTCCCGAGTGGAAAGAGGGCAGGGGTCAAGCTGTGTTGTTTTGCATGTAATCCCGGCTGAAGGGAACTTGGTGACTCTGGTGCAATGTGACTGAGCAGATAGAGGTAGGTACTGGTATTTCATGGTAAACTCTCATGAAAGAACATCAAGTTGGCTTCGGGTTCCCTTTGGCCCCTCATCTGGTGAGAACATGTTGGGGGCTGACGTGGAGGAAACCATCAAGGTGAATAGTTTGAATAGTAAGTATATGTTATTAAGGCTTACCAGTCATCTTCTAGCTTATCGATTGACCAGCTCCAGATGTCTATATTGTATCTGTTTAAGTCAATCCAATATGAAAAGGGCTTCAGGTGGAGAATCAAAGCTTCCTTTTACAAAACACAAAGTACTGTATTGGATTTCTTCCATATTCTCTCTCTTTTGCTATAGCTATCATGCTATTCCCCTTGCACAAGTCCCTTATTTTCTGGACAGGATTACTGAGATCAGTCTAGTACTTCTTTGCTTTTATATTTGCCACATGGGGGTCAATTTCCTCAGAGCAATGCAAATTACTCAAAGATTGTGTATCACACTTTCGCTCATGATCCCTAAAATCCCTCCTTATTTTAATACTGGAGCAAAAAGCAACAACAACAAAAACCCTAAAGTCTTTGCAACAGCTTACGTGACTCTCATGAGCCACATCCCCACTTACTATCTCAATCACATTGGCTGGTTGCTTGTGTTCTGTTCCTGGAATATTCCAGATCTACACTTAATTTTTAAAGAGCTAGGTATACTAATTTTTCCTGGTCCTAAGTATTCCATGGACTAACTTCCTTATTTGCTTCAGGTCTTTACTCAAATGTCCTGTGAGCTCCGACCTCATCTGCAACTTACCCTTGCAGAGAACTCACAATACCCTTTCTTCTGTATACTTTGGAATAAAACTAGCTTCGGATACACTATTATTTTGCATTCCCGTGTCTTCCTCTAGGTGGTAAGCCCCACAAAGATAAAGTTCTTTGTTGACAAGTGTCCCACCTCATGAAGGCAACTGCATTAGAAAGTCACTCAAAATGAAACAGGATTAATACAGTAAAACTAACCAGCTCTTCCCTGGAGTCAAGCTTCGCCAGAAATGCAGAATGGGTTTTGCAGTTTTCCTGGCTACTGATCCACGTTGTCTCATGTTCAGACTGGAGGTAGCAAGTGTTTTTGATCTGGTCCCAGCCATATGGACAGTCAGTGATATTCTCTGTGCACAGATTGCTTTCAGAAATCTTTGGAGTTTCAACTACAGTGAGCACAGAGATAAAGAAAAACAATTAAGGAAGTGTGAGAGAAGTGAAAAGTCTGATTTTCACGGTGAAAGAGTTCACATAATGCAGACTGCAAAACGCATTTTACTTCTATATCCAGTTGGAATGATTTAGCTTTATTATTATTATTTCTAAAGATTTATTTATTTTTTTATTGAAAAGGCAGATGTACAGAGAGGAGAACAGGAGATAGAGAGGAAGATCTTCCGTCCGATGATTCACTCCTCAAGTTGCCACAAGGATCGTGCTGCGCCGATCCGAAGGCCAGGAGCCAGGAACTTCTTTCAGATCTCCCAAGTGGGTGCAGGGTGCAATGCATCAAAGCTCCAGGGGGTCAGAGAGAAAGGAGGAAGCAGGTGAAGGAAGCACAGAAGGGGTAGTAAATGAGAGAGGACTCAACTCCAAGAACAGGGTGTCATGTGAGCTAAGTGAAACCACTCTCAGGGGGAGGGAGCCTCGCCTGGGATGCTGGGATGTGGACAGGTCTAGTCAGATGACCACGAACTTGGCCATCTGAAAGTCCCTGGGGAAGCTCACTGACAAGGCGAGTGGAAAAAGCCACAGCAAAATTCACAGAAAGTGGGGAGATAGAAACGAGAAAACACCAGTAAGTGTGTGTGTGTGTGTGTGTTTTAAGGGAGGTGTTGGGCTCAGCACGATAGCCTAGTAGCTAAATCTTCTCTTTGCAACCTCCAGGATCCCATATGGGTGTGTGTTCATGTCCCGGCTGCTCCGCTTCCAATCCAGCTCCCTGCCTGTGGCCTGGGAAAGCAATACAGGATGGCTCAAAGCCTTGGGACCCTGCACCCACCTAAGAGACCTGGAAGAGGCTCCTGGATCAGCTTAACTCTGGCCAGTGTGGCAACTTGCGGAAGATCTTTCTCTCTGTTCCTCCACCTCTGTGTATTTGCTATTTCAATGAAAAGAAATAGATTTTTTTTTTTAAAGCAGGTGTTGTATCAAGGAGGGAAAAAATGGTAGCAAAAGGAGTGGGGTGTAAGGTGTTTTTTTTTTTTTTAAGTACTGATAACTATAATTAGGACAAACAGAAAGAAAGATGAGATTACTCCCATAAGGGAGTACAGAAAATTAATGAGTTCAGGAAATGTTAATACAACTGCCAATTCCCTACATCTTTAGTTCCATAATAATGTCTGCTGTGATTTCCTGTCACGTGTGTTCTTGTGAGGGGCTTTTGGATAAACACACACTTGATCTTAAGATTCAGCATAAATACTTTCCCCTTGGAAACCATAACCTGACTACCAGATGGAATACACATATCTGTAATTTAGCAATTATTTTATTATGCTACAATTATTTTATTATCATTATACAGAGAGCTGGATTGGAAACAAAGCACCTGGGGGGGCGGGGACTAGCGCGATAGCCTAGCAGCTGAAGTCCTTGCCTATCACATGCCGGGATCCCATATGGGCGCTGGTTCTATTCCCAGCAGCCCCACTTCCCATCCAGCTCCCTGCTTGTGGCCTGGGAAAGCAGTCCAGGATGGCCCAAAGCCTTGGGACCCTGCACCTGCCTGGGAGACCTGGAAGAAGCTCCTGGCTCCTGGCATCGGATCAGCACAGCTCTGGCCGTTGTTGCCGCTTGGGGAGTGAATCAATGAATGGAAGAACTTCCTTTCTGTCTCTCCTCTCTGTATATCTGACTTTCCAATAAAAAAAAATTTAAGATAATTTTCTTTCAGGTAAGCAATTCTGCTTTTACTTTTTTCAATCATTAGCACTTAGCAGAATGCCTGAATCTCAGCAATTATTCACAAAAGGACTGATCATTCTAGAAGGGAAAGCAGGTGCCTGAGCTTGGAGAGCATTCAACCATTCTGGTAGGGGTGGTACTTCTGTGATCTCAACTCTTCTGGCTTAGAAGAGGCTAGCTGCTGCTATCAGATTGGATCAGCAAAAATACGATTCATGATTCCTAAGCAGAATTGTTTACTTACATTTTTTAGGAAAGCTTAAAATCCCCCAAAGAAGAAAAGCAAGTCCAGCACATAGAATAGTTGAGATGATTATCATTTTCTTTGCTATTAGAAAGCAAGCAAACAAACAAAAAAGGTTTCCATTTGCAAGAAAAACAACAACCACCACCAAAACCCCAGGTAATGTCCTTCTGTTGTCTGTATTCCCCGTGATCAGTTGCTCACCCAGTCATCAAAGATGGGAAAGGGCACCTGAGACCTAGCTTTTCAGCAGGTGCAACATCAAAAGGGACATTGGCTCCATTTCCCCATGTCACTTTAGCTGTTTATACTACTCATTCTTCTGTCCTACTTCCAAAAAACAGAAAGCAGAGTCTCCTCCTGGGCGTCTTTTAAGGAAATATTTTCACTTGATCTTAGTCAAAAGGCTGAGAGGTGATGAATGAAATATTGTTTAAGTGTGGTGGAGATAGGATGGGTCCACTTTTTTTTTTGAGGGGGTTGGGAGGAGAAATTTGAGTTTGTTTTGAATTTTTAATGAACGAATAACAGCCTCGGGCCCATCTCACCCTCCAAATGCCAAGGGTGCATGCGTAATTAGGAAAGGCAGCTAGAATAATCTCTGCAGGGTGCGTTCCTGGGAGCCCTGAGCCAAGTTCTTGGCGTCCTTCTTACTTAACCTTTTGGGCGTCGGGCTGGCTCTTCAATCCCTATTTCCTCATCTTTCTCATCCTCTTTTTCGCTCATCTCCAACCCTCCCAAGGGCGACTTTTCTCGTGATCGCGAAGGCTGGAATAATCCTTGGGATGAACCGAGAATTTGTGGATCCTAGCTGGTCTCTGCAGACCACAGGAGTGTGGCAGAAGGCGGAATTGCCGCAGACCGGCCTGGGACAGATGGCCATAGGCATCTCATCTGCTCTGGGCTCTGATCCCTGTGGGAGATGGGCAGTAACGGCGGCTGGCGGCCACCAACGGTACCCTGCCCGCAGAGGGCACGGCTCAGCCAACCGGGCTTGGCCGGGCGTGGCGGTGACCGAGAACTCGGACTCTGATTGGCACTTCTTCTCCCACCTGCTCGCCAATGGAAGGGGAGGCTTGTCCCTTACCTCCTTTTGTTGGCTCCATTATGTTCCTAAAATCTCGAATCTGCTACAGTTATGTAATGCAGGTTTTGTACTATCAACTGGAAACAGTGACTTGCGTCCAAAGTTGTATTGTTCTCCGTTTTTTTTAAAAACATACATTTTCAGTAACCTTTTTACTCCCCTGTTCTTTTTAACCTCAAAGTAAGTATTGTTTATCTGTGGATTGCTTAGTGAAATCTGGGGACATAAAGTGGCTTTTTTGGGTATGTTTCCATAGCAACTGAGCGATTTGTTTCATGGACAGTCCTCTTCAATTTGGATCATATTGCCAGGCAATCAAAATGATTATGCCAGCTGAAATCATGCCAAAGTATTGTAAAACTTAATGGGAAAATATATGTTTTCTTAGACCTTTGATTTTCTGCCAGAACACTGAAGTTTCTCTTACTTGTTACTTGTTATTGGGTTCGGTGATTTAAGTCCCTTTTGGGCTTGTCCGAGGTTTCATTCCAAATGAATGGACTGTTATTACAAGGAGTTGAACATGCAGGTTGGCTATTGAAGAAGGAGGACCCTACTTTTTTACTTATAGAACATTAGGTCTTGAACTTCCCCAGTTCCATGTAGAAAGCAAATTTTACATACAGCCTGCCTTTTGTTAGTGCTTTCTTATATAAATTAATTTTTTTAAACCAAAAAAATTGCTTCCCTTCCCCCAACATAAATTTGATGTTTCAACACAGATTTCCAGTCGTGCACCTGCTTGTTCTATGAGACATCGCTGCTGTCTGGCATTGAGGGTGGAGAATGTGTGTTTGCAGGAGGTCGGAGCTGCACTGTGGAGAAGACCCATGTGACTTTTGAGGGCTCCAGCAAGTTGCTGAGCCAGCCCTGGGAGGGCCTGTCTTCCAGAATCCTTGCCTAGGCGCCCGAGTGCTCAAGGACAAGGAGGCCAAGTGGAGTACAACATTGAGCAAACTTGATTCTGAATGATGGGCATTGGAGCAGGCTTTTGGTGTGGCTAGTAAGCTTACCACTTGAGACACCTGCATCCCATATCAACACATCTGGATTGAGTCACACAGCTTCTCTGCTTTCAATCTGGCTCCAGGCTGGCCCAGGTTTGGTGTTCTGGGTATTTGGGGAGTGAATCAGCGGGCGGGAGTTCACTTTGTATTTGCCTCTGGTGCTCTAAACTAACTAACTAAATAATTGTAATGATAAGATAAGGGATGCAGATGAACATCCAAATGGAGAGGTCCTGCTGTCCTCTTGGAGTTGGATACACTGCCCCTGCCCAGCCTGTAGTTGTGTTTGCCAACCCAGAAGGCCCCTGGAGCATTGTACTTTCAGGATTTTGATGGGGCATTGTCACGTAGGTGTAACAGATTATGGACTCTTCAGAGAAGGCAGAGCGGGACTCAACACTCTTAGCTTCTACTCCTTAATGGAAGTTAGTGCTTGCTGCCCTTCATGCCCATCTAGGAGCTTATCAGGAATCCGGTTAGAACCAAAGGAGGCTCCTGACATTCAGAACATCCCAAGGGACTTGGGAACTTTGTGCCAGGTGTTCCTATGACTTGAGAAATCACACAAATGCCATTTAACCTTGTGTTTGCAGCTCCCAGATGTCCCATGTCTTCATACTGGGAGGACGTGTGAAGGTAGGTGATGGCCCCATTGGAATGTGACAACACCATTCCTGTTCCTGAGTTTCTGGCTTATCGTGAGAAGAGTGGCTGGGCAGTGATGCCACCCTCCTGAGTTTGTAGCATAAGATGAGAATGGAAAGAAGTTGCTAGTTGAAAAAAAAAAAAAAAAAAAAAAGAAGTTACCAGTTGAACACTCCTGATTGTTTCTTGTTTTGAGCAAGCTAGACAAGATGACAATTCCAGCCCTTTGATAAGTTTTGTCCCCGTGCCCCAATTAATGGTTAGCCAACAATGTTGTATTTTTTTTTCTCCCTAAAATCACACTTTAAAAGACTCAACCCTAATAGTTTTTGGGACTTTCCTCTCTTGGAAGCCCCTTTTCTTGCTGCTATGGCAGGTTTCTGGTTTAAATAAATCTCGCTGTGCTCACTGTCCTGTCTGCATGGAAATTCTTTCAAGTGAGACACTGAGGTCATCTTTGTCCCTGTAACAATATAATCTACTCTGTTTTTAGCAACTTATAAAGACAGTTTATTAGAATTCTTTGTAAAAAAATTATTTTATCTGAAAACACACACACACACACACAGATCTAGCTGCTTTTCTTTCCTCTGCTCCAACAAGCTGACAGATTTTGCTGAGAGGCCACGTGTTAGGTTCAGCAAACTGCCTTTCATTGCCCCCACTTTAATGGGTGTCTTCTCCTGGGAGCATGTTGCAAAGAATGCATACAGATTAACGAATGGCTCTGAAGTCTCATCTAGTTCAATCTAAATTTTCCTGTTTCTTTTTTTTTAATTTTAAATTTTCCTGTATCATTGAACAAAATAGGTTTCTATACCATGTAAAGATTTATTTTTGTAAAGACTGTTTTTTTTTTTTAAATTGGAAAGGCATATTTGCAGAGAGGAGAGATTGAGAGAAAGATCTTCTGTCCACTGGTTTATTCCCCAAATGGCCACATGGCTGGAATTGAGCTGATCCAAAGCCAGGAGACAGTGGTTTCCTCCAGTTTCCCAAGTGGGTACAGGGGCCCAAGGACTTGAGCCATTCTCTGTTGCTTTTCTAGGCCATAAGCAGGGAGCTGGATGGGAAGTGGAGCACACAGGACACAAACTGGCGCCCATATGGGATGCTGGTGCTTGCAGAGAGTCTTTTGAGCCACCAAACAGGCCCAACCTAATTATTTCTTGGATCTTAATATAGTTGACCACTTCTTAAGTACTCCTGGCCCTTGAAGTCCATCTTGTCTTCTGCTAGTTCTTAATTAAACTATTCTTCATTTCAGTGCTAATATTTTTATTTATTTCTGAATTAGTCTCATTTTTTAAAAAATTTTTTTTCTACATTTTTAAAAAGTAGAGTTCCAATAGTCATCTTTCGGTGATGGAAACATTCAAAATCTTCTCTTATAACTGTTTGGAATTATATTACACAGTAGCTTTTCAAAATACCAGCAAAAAAAAAAATCGATTAGTTTTTAAATTAAATTTACTTCTTTTGAAGTAATCCTGAACCATTTTTCCAAGAATATTGATGCTTCTAACCCAAAGCATGCTTTTCCTATTTTCTATCTTGTCTTTACTCCAGGGGTTAAAAATCCTGTTTTTATTTTGGTTTTGTAAATTTCAAGTTAGTTTATATTGATGAAATTTTTTTTTACTACCTCTGGTAAAGGGAGACTTTCACCATTCTCCTATCATAAGAAAGCAGTTACTTTCTTACTGAATTCTTTAAAAACATCTTGATACCTATTTTTTTTTTTTACAGTAACACAACAATAATGATGCCTGTCTAGTTTAGAATATTTGCACCTGGCAGTCCAGGTAAGAATTTCAAGGTAAGATTTACGAATGAAAATTAGAAATTTTACTCAGAAACAGCCATGTCCAACTTTCCACGCTTTACCTGCTTGCCTGCTGGAGAAGTGACATCAAGAAAAGAGGCTGAGGAAATCAGTAAGACATAAACCTGTGTGACCTTGGTGACTCCTTTTCTTCTTCTTCTTTAGCGGTTTAGCCGAAGTGGGGGTGGACCAAGTGCTTAAGATACCTCTCAGGACATCTTCCACCTTATCCCAGGGCTTGGGTCCAAGTCTTGGCTCTGCCTCCAGTTCCAGCTTACTGTCAGCATACAGCCCGAGAAGCAGTAGGTGGAGGCTCAAGTGATTGGGTCCCTGCCGCCTTCGCAATAGATGTGGGTGGAATTCTTGGCTCCTGGAGTCAGACCAGCCCTAACTTTTGCAAACATTTAGGGGAAATGAACCAGAGTATGTGAAGAAACTTTTGTCTGTCTCTCTGGCTTCCCAGTAAGTGCAAATAAGCAAGGAAAAATATAAATACCTCAGTTGAGAACTGCTTTGAACAGGTGGCACATATCTATAGAAAGACAGCAGAGGACCCAGCGCAGTAGCATAGTGGCTAAAGTCCTTGCTTGCATGAGCTGGAATCCCATATGGGTGCTGGTACATGTCTTGGTAGACCCGCTTCCCATCCAGCTCCATGCTTGTGACCCGGGAAAGTAGTCGAGGATGGTCCAAAGCCTTGGGACCCTGCACCCATGTAGGAGATTCAGAGGAGGCCCCTGGCTTCGGATAGGCATAGTTCTGGATGGTGCAGCCACTTGGGGTGTGAATCAGTGGACAGAAGATCTTCCTCTTTGTCTCTCTTTCCCTCTGTATATCTGACTTTCCAATAAAAATAAATAAAACCTTAAAAGACAGCAAAACTAACTTAGAAGTTTGTTCCCAGGACATTGGGTTAGAGGCATACTGCCCAGTATGGTGGGTCCATGGGTCCTTAATACAGTTCTTGTTACTTAGAGAAAGGAGGCGTTGCCTAGTTCCTTAATATACGCCTTGTGACTTGGAGAAATCAGGTCTTCCCTAGTCCCTTTTGGGCTAACTTAGGCATATGTACTAGGTGAAAGGTGATGCACTTTCACTCTCTTTGGCAGTACTTCCTGTGCACGGTCATTCCTAGGCGAAGGCAGCTACTGTGTCAGGCCTATATCAGGGTGAGTGAGAACTGCATCCTTGCAATTGCGTCTCTGCTTGGGTGTTTATCTCCAATGAATTCTTTGCTACATCTGGACTAGGTAGTGCAACTGATCTGTGTACCCTTACAGGCCACTAATATTACCCCAACAGAGTTTCAAAAAGCATTTCATGCAGTAGGTACAGATATATATATAGAAATGAAAAAAAAAGGAAGAAATATGAGGAAGAAAGATGTTTCCTGTTGCATCAGTACCTCTGCGTTTTTGTCTGTGACCGCACATTTGCCAAACCACAGTGATTGGTCAAGTAGCTGTATAAAGATAAGTTCGCAGTCACAGGAGGTGCTAGAGCCTCGCAGTTTTTCCTCCCAGGCCTTTGCTGTCGTTGTTAAGCTCTCTTTACGTATTCGTCAATGTCTGAAGAAGTCACTTATGCAGACCTAAAATTCCAGGACTTTCCTAGAACAGATAACACCCAGCCACTCGGCCGATTTGGGAAACCAGGTAAGAGATTGCAAGATGGTAGATGTGGTGGTCAGAGCCCTTCATGTGAAGCATTAGTGAATAAACAGTTTAAGTTGGATCATTCGGATGGAATTTTGAAATTTTAACCAGGGTACCAAAAGCGTCTAGTCGCTATTATAAGGAAATGTTATGTCAATCTTGCTGTACCATATTATTTAAGTTCACGTTCAATATAGAAGCAGTGTTTCAAGTATTTTTGTTTTTTTAAATAGTTAATTTATTTTTGTTGGAAAGGCAGATTTACAAAGTGAAGGAGAGACAGAGAGAAAGATTTTCCATCTCCTGGTTTACTCCCCAAGTGCCACAATGGCTGGAGTTGAGTAGATCTGAAACCAGGAGACAGGAGCTTCTTCTAGGTCTCCCATGCGGGTGCAAGGAGCTGGCTGGGAAGTGGAGCAGCTGGGATTAGAAGCAGCACTCATATGGGATCCTGGCACATGCAAGGCGAGGATTTAGCCATTAGGTTATTGGGTTGGGTCCTTAAGTATTTTCAATCTGCTGTAGAGTGAGTCCTTGGGTGAAGAAACTGTGACTAAAGCTTAATGCAACAAGTCTGAGTGGCAAAAAAAAAAAAAAAAAAAAAGGGTGGATGATCTAAAATCAACTAATAGGTAACTGTGTATGAATCTCTCTTGACAACTACATTGTAACTTGCTATATATTTCTTGATTTTACATTCCAATCCTTAGATCTGCATTGTTCGGTGCCATATCTGGTCACTGACCAAATGAGATGTGCTGACACTGTAAAACATACATCAAATTTTGATGAATTACTAGGAGAAAATGTAATTAACTGAATTCGTTACTTTTATGCCAGCATTTGTTATATGACAGCATTTCAGACACAATTGTTTAAATAAAATATATCATTAACTCCCCCCAAACCAAAAAGGACTATAAAGCTGGATGCCAGGAGCTTCTTCCAGGTCTCCCACGTAGGTAGAGCCCCAGGAACTTGGGCCTTCCTCTGCTGTTTTCCCAGTCTGTAAGGGCTGGATTGCAAGTGGAGCAGCCAGGACACAAATCACTGCCCATATGGGATGCCAGCCCAAAAGGCAGAGGGCAAGGCAGCCCTGAGATGACCTATTTTTGAAGCTACCTCTTCAACTGATCTGAGGAATACATAAGCCAGGGGTTCACTCCAGCAAAGACTTGTTGGGTTGACCTGTCAGCTGGCAGCTGCTTGTTTTCTCCCAAATTTGTAGTTGCAGGATACACCAAATCCAGACTGGCTTTCTCCCCTCTCTTTCGCATACCACATCTTTGCTCAGCCTATCAGTTAAAACCCTCTCCTGGGAAAGCCAGTGTGTGCACAAAACAAGGAGCCCAATGTTTTCAGCTCGTTCTTATTCTTCAAAAATAGTTTAAAAGCAATCTCAAGTTTCTAACAAATTCTACCCCCTCACACCGGTCCTATTGGGAAGGAAACGAAAGTGGGATGACGGAGGGGAATGTATGAGAGTCATTGAGATGGCGGTGAACAGTTTCCAGGCTGTCTTGTCGGTTTTGCTTTCCACAGCTGCTCCCGTCCTTTCCCGTGGATGGCGTCAGGCTGCCTTAATTCTGGTGCTCCTGTGTCTTCTGCTGTTCTTCGGACTGCTGATCTTAGCAATCGTGTGTATGTACCAACCGTATTTTCAATGAAAGGGAAAGAACCTGGAATCCCATTACTTTTATGATTTGAAAGAAAGAGACAGAGTTAGACAAAGACCTCCCATGCCTTAACTCATTCCCCCAACACCTGCACAGCCAGGGCTGGGACAGGAGGTCAAAGCCAAGAGTCTGGAACTTAACTGGGGCCTCAAACATGGACGATTGGGACCCAACTACTGAGCCATCACCTGCTGGCTCCCAGGAAGCTGGGTGTAGAAGCAGAGCTGGGAATCTAATTCAGGTGCTTCTATTTGGAAGGCAGGTGTCCAAGCAGCGAACATTTGACCATTATACCAAATATTCACCTGAATTTCATGAAGTTTACAAGTTAAATTTATTCTTTGATTAGAAACCTTGGGCAATAATAGTGATATCCACAGAAGAGGGACTTATAAATGGAGGACTTATTGTCTGTCTCGAACAGCTACTTTCCAACTCCTTTTACACTTTTCGTACTGTTGCTGGAAGGAAGGAAAGGATGGCAAGGTGGGTAATGATTCAGTGGAGGGCTCATAATTGTGTATCGTCTGTTTTTGATCTGGAGTTCACTCAACCTTGAAAGCAGAAAAGGGAAGAGTGAATGAACTACAAAACATCCAAGAAGAACTTCAGAAAAATCTTTCTGTGCAACTGGTGAATAACTGGAACTCCTCGGAGCAGATCAGAAACCTCTCCGCTGTGTTGCAAAAAATAGCTACCCAGTTATGCCGCGAGCTTTACAGAAAAAACCCAGGTAATCCTGCAATATCCTCAGGGTTGTTTTGCCAGGCAACGAACTCAAGCTTAAGGTCACTGAAGAAGCTTTTCCTCATTAGCCAGCAGCCTTTCCCTTAGAGAGCCATCATTTGGGGAAAGGAACTGAATGTGATTGATGGAGGACTTGTTGACATTTCATGTACTAATAACTACAGGCCCTCCAAATGATCAGGGGATGGCGGTTACAGAATGAACCGCTAGGAAAATACATATTCTCTAATTGGTTTCTTAGACTCTGAGATCACTGGGAGACAGAGAGAAAAGAACATCTGTTTATAAACAACCTCAATGCTAAATGTTTGGTCAGTTCTTGGCAACAAGGAAATTATAGTAAAAGAAGAAGGTGAATTGCTACCTTTGAATTGGGGAGAGTTGTTCTGGTACATCTTTAGGTTTCTATAGCCATTGTTGCTAAACGTGTACCTTGCATTCTGAGAAATCCCTCCAACATTGGGAAGGCAGACGCCCAGGGCTGTGCTGGTGGGAGGAGGAAGCTGGATGGGGGTATGTGGTGGTACGTAGGAGGCGAGTCTTATACAGAATTTTCCCTCTCACTTTTTACTGTCATAAACAAACACAAAAGCTGCAAGGGAGGTTATTCAGATATTTCTCACATAGCAAGATAAGGTAGAATCCTAGTGCTTAATTTGAAGGCTTTTCCAGGTAATGTGTCAGGCGTGTTACGGTGGTTTACAGGGATCTAGAAGACAATTCACTTTTCCTTCCATCCGGTGTAAAACCAAGAAACCCAGCCAATCCAAAGCTAATCCAATCCTGTTCTCCTTCCAGCGCACAAATGTCAACCTTGCCCACAGAGCTGGATATGGCATAGTGATAACTGCTACCTCCTGAATGACTATCAGCTCACGTGGCAGGAGAGTGAGAAAGTCTGTTCTGCCCAGAACGCCAGCCTGTTGAAGATCAGGAGCAGGAGTGAGTTGGTAAGACCCCAGGGCTCTGCCTGGGAGCAAGAAGATGCTCCCATTCTAACACAGCAGCAGATAGGAGCGAGGGGCAATGTCCCTGGCTGAATTCAGAGGAGCTGTGAAATGAACGGGGCTTTGTGCATCCATCTCAGGCTACCTCACCAAGGGAAGTTGCCTAAGACGGTAACCTAGCACCTTCACATCAGTGAAATGTTATCAGTGAAGGGATAGATGGGCAGACCCAGGGAACCCAGAATCTTCCACTCTGTGAGCATTTCTGAGTTGGAACCCTGGAGTCACATGATTTCTGAACGTCTTACCTGAAAGGACTTCTGTGGGGGTTACCATTCCACAAAAGCTGCCTGGAATGATATTTCTTGTCTCTTGACATTACATATATTTAATTAAGAGTAAAAAGCCAAATGATATCAGGGTTGCATAACAGGAGGAATATAGGGATATATAGGGAATATATATTGCCTATATGAGATGGCCAACGCAAACAGCAAACAGAGGCATTCATTTTAGTCTTAGGGTCTTGAGTTCTCTGCTAGCTTTATTACTTTTTTCTTTATTCTCATGTTCAAATAAATTCTTCATATTTTGCTCATTAGCATTTCTGGTCTATCAGGTGATTATTATATTTTTAATCAAAATTAGATTTTTTTTTAAAGTTTTAACTTCTCTTTCATTCTTGGTTTTTTTTTTTTTTAAAGATTTGTTTATTTTTATTGGAAAGGCAGACTTACAGAGAGGAGAGACAGAGAGAAAAATCTTTTGTCTGCTGGTTCACTCTCCCAAGTAGCCACTATGGCTGGAGCTAAGCAAAACTGAAGCCAGGAGCCAGGAGCCTCTTCTGGGTCTCCCAAGTGGGAGCAGGGTCCTAAGGCTTTGGGCCATCCTCCAGGGAACTGGATGGGAAGTGGAACAGTTAGGACATGAACTGCCACCCATATGGGATGCTGGTGTTTGACAGGGGAGGATTAGCCGGTCGAGCCATTGCACCAATCCCAAGTGTTACCTTCTTTGTGGCAATGAACTTTGTCGGTAAGGGGAAGAGCCGATCTATGATTACCTCCTCATCAGATTCTTCCCACATGATGTGCTCATAATTAATAACAAATATTATTTTTTTACAAGTATTATTTTAAATCTGGAATAAGAGTAAAATAAAGCCCTTGCTGCTTTGGCTGTAAGATTCTGGATGACTCTGTGTCATTACCACTCTCATCTGACTTTGGTTATTACCATCGCATTTGTTGTAAACTGAATGTTGATTAACTATTTGAATCCAGGAGCTTGTGAATTTTTCATTGACCCTAAGTTAAGGTTATGCAAGGACTGGTGGGTTCCTCCTGTTTGTGACATAGGAAATTGTTTTGTGTAAATACTGAAATCTTGCAATAAGAAGCACATTCAGGTTTTTTTTTTTTTTAAATGACTTTGCAAAGCAGTAATGCAATGTCAAAAATTTTATTTTAAAACAGTAATTTGTGGGCTTGGCGCAGTGGCCTAGCAGCTAAAGTTCTCACCTTGAATGTGCCAGGATCCCATATGGATGCCAGTTCCAATCCCAGCAGCCCTGTATCCCATCCAGCTCCCTGCTGTGACCTTGGAAAGCAGCCAAAGCCTTGGGACACTGCACCCTTGTGGGAGAACCAAAAGAAGCTCCTGTCTCCTGGCTTCGGATAGGCTCAGCTCCGGCTGTTGTGGTCACTGGGGGAATGAAACATCAGACGAAAGCTCTTTCCCTCTGTCTTTACTCCTCTCTCTATATCTGACTTTGCAATAAAAATAAATACATCTTTAAAAAAAAACCCAGTAATTTGTAACAAACTAAATTGTGAGATAATGACTATAAATAGGAGACTTAAATTAAAAAAAATTATTTGTGTGTGAGAGAAAGTAAAGAAAGTGCTTCCCATCCATTGATTTATTCCAAAATGCTCAAAACAACCAGGGCTGAGTCAGAGTGAGCCAGGTTTGTGATACAGGAAAGTTACACTTTGTGATACAGGAATGCGATGCAGCTTTCCTGTGTGGGTGGTGGGAACACAACTGTTTGAACCAGGACATGCTGCCGTCCATGGTCCCATTAGCAGGAGGCTGCAGTAAGGAGCCAGGGACAAGCTCTCCAATACGGTGGCAGGTGTCCCAAGCTATGGCTTAAGTGTTGAGCCAAATATCTATCTCTGTGTTTTCCAACGGTTTATCTCCATTTCCTACAGGAATTTATAAAATCCAAGCCATTATATGATTATTGGTTGGGATTGTCGCCCGGAAAATTTCAGAAATCTGTGGAGAAAGTGGGTGATACAATAGCCTCTTCTGCCTGGTAAGTCTGGACTTGTTGAGCTTTACGTAGTTGGTTGGTGTAGAGACATTTCCCAAAGGAGTGCTGTAGATTACAATGAAAGCCAACTTTCTAAAAAAGTAATAAAAAAAAAAAATGAAAGCCAGCTCAAATGAAATGTTAAAGAACCTTTCCTACTAACCTTTTCAAGCAGTGGCAAAGTGTAAGAATAAATACTTACATGGGGAAAAGCTCAGATGGTTCAGACATCTAGTTTAATTTAAGAGTTATTTTACTTTGTTGGAAAGGCAGATTTACAGAGAGGAGAGACAGAGAGAAAGATCTTCTTTCCGATGACTCACTCCCCATGTGACTTCAACAGCTTGAGCTGAGCTGATCCAAAGCCAGGAGCCAGGAACCAGGAGCTTCCTCCAGGTCTCCCATCCAAGTGCAGGGTCCCAAGGCTTTGGTCAGTTCCTGCTTTCCCAGGCCACAAGCAGGGAGCTGGATGGGAAGTGGAGCAGTTGAACACTAACCTGTGCCCATATGGCTGCTGGTGCAAGTGAGGTGAGGATTTAGCCAAGGAGACATCATGCTGAGCCCTACTCTGTCAACACCTTCTACTAGATTTGAATCTCTACACAATCTAAAATACAACAATTTCCCCCCATTATGTAAAAGATTTACCATCTGGGGAGAACATGCGAGAACAATGTTATCAACGACATCAAAGGATAAAATATGTGAAGTCTGCTATGTAGTAAAGGGAACAAGTGAGCTGGGTGAGCTGAGGCGTGTATATAGCTGACCGAGATCCCTGCCAAACAAATTTTTGCAGTGCAGTATCAGCAGTAATGTCCACTTCCTGAATATCCAGAAGAAACACGAGCAAGCGAAACTCTCCTTCGGGAGAAATAGTAAACTACAAAGAACGCAGAAAAGAATTGGGACTTGGTCATCCTGTGGGTACGGAGGGAGCCAGCTTGGGGAGAAATCTGAACTGATGTAAAAAGATTTCAAGAATCTTTTCTCCTATTTCATACTTTTGCTTTCAGCCCACTTGGGTTCTAACTCAGAAAATAGATATCTGGATACTAAATAATAGAATGTAATGGCTAGGCCCAGTGCGGTAGCTTAGTGGCTAAAGTCCTCGCCTTGAACACACTGGGATCTCATAAGGGCGCCAGTTCTAATCCCGGCTGCTCCTCTTCCCATCCAGCTCCCTGCTTGGGGCCTGGGAAAGCAGTTGAGGACGGCCCAAAGTCTTGGGACCCTGCAGCCGCGTGGGAGACCTGAAAGAAGCTCCTGGCTCCTGGCTTCGGATCAGCTCAGCTCCGGCTGTTGTGACCACTTGGGGAGTGACCCAGTGAACAGAGGATCTCTCTCTCTCTCTGTAATTCCTTCTCTCTGTATATCTGCCTTTCCAATAAAATAAATCTTAAAAAATTAGAAGATGTAAGGGCTAAATGTGAAGATGCATCCCTGTTAAAAAGCAGCCAGGGGCCACAAGAGAAACAGAAGGGAGGTATCACAGAGCAACAGCCTGCTTCACTCGTGGTCCATTCACAAGGGCATGCACAGTTCGAAGTTCAAACACATTCCCACGTTCTAAGTTCTAAAGACGGAGTCTAGAGAGTCACACCTCTAGGGACTCAGTGAAGGGAAACTGAGTGGCCAGAAAATGTATGAAATGGGCGTTTTAAAATACAACACTATGAATTTCAGTGCAGTTGCAAGGTATAAGTAAGACCATTTGCTGTGCAATCTGTTGACAGTTGTGGTTAGGAATAAGCTATTATCAGTAGATTTATACAGTGTATCTCCCGCTTGGAACAGGAAAAAGAAACATCAAGACTTAAGATAAAAATAGTGTCAAAATTCCATTTGCATTTTACAACCCGGGAAATATGGGGCATAGCCACCATCAGGTTAAATAAAGAAACAGCAGTTCCATCTGCTGGATGATGTGGGAAGCCCAGCATCTAACCAGCTGGAATGCACATGAAGCAGAGCCCCTGCATCGGGTCCTGGTCTGAGCACAGAACTTCCTGATCACGGATCACGTTGAGCTGTGCAATCAGTACAGTTCAGAAATAATAAGGCTAGGTGTCTGGGTCAGAAAGGTAAGATGATCCTAATTGTGGTGGTTGCAGTGATAGGACAGAATGGAGGTGAGAGTAAAATGCGTGCAAGTAGAGAGGAAATGGTATCTTCTTCTTTTAAAAAGATTTATCTTTCTTGAAAGGCAGAATTACAGAGAAAGAAGGAGAGACACAGAGAGATCTTCCATCTCCTGGTTCACTCCCCAAATGGCCACAATGGCTGGAGCTCAGCCAGTGCAAAGCCAAAAGCCAAGGCGTTTTTCTGGCCTCCCATGTGGGTACAGGTGTCCAAGCATTTGGCCTATCATCTGCTCTTTCCCAGGCCATTAGCAGAGAGCTGGGTTAGAAGTAGAGCAGCTGGGACTCACACTGATGCTCGCGTGGGGTACTTGGCCCTGTGGGTAGAGGTGTGGATGGCTATGCCACAACAATGACTCCAATGATATCTGTTTAGGCTGGCGTTGTAGCACAGTGGGTGTGTTTAGAGTATGGATGGAGTTTTTTTCTGGAAAATTCCGGTGTGGGTATATTTGTAATTATTGCAGAGGGAAGGGTAAGCTAGAATGAAATAGAAAATAAATTGGATATATAAAATGATCAGGGAAAATACTGAAATGGAATGTATATAATAACCACATATATGATATAAACATGTATATTTATTATTTGCTTTTGCTTTTGCTAATTTTGGGCTTGACTGTGGAAGGAAATGGCTATAAGTGACATCCGTACCATATCACCAAAAAATCAGAAATATCATTTTTCTCTTTCGTAAAGAAAATATTTATTTGAGACTCCACATTACGGAGAGAGGCAGAAGGCTCTTCCATCTTCTGGTTCATTCTCCAAACGGCTGCAACTGCCAGGGCTGTGCCAGGCTGAAGGCAAGAGCCAGGGGCTTCCTCTGAGCCTCCCACAAGGGTGCAGGGGCCCAAGCAGCGGGGCGGTCTTCAGCTGCTTTCCCAGGCATGTTAGCAGGGAACTGGATTGGAAGTGTAATAACTGGGTCTTGAATCTGCGATCATAAAGGAATGTCAGTACTGCAGACTGCAGCTTAACCCATTGTACCACCGTGCCAGCCCTGGCAATGTCAATCTATAAAAATTTTGAACATTTTTTGTTGCTTGATGATTATTACTTGCTGCCTCAAGTTTCCAAAAGATAATCTTTTACAATTCCGGCTTTAGAATTTTCATTGATTAATTTTTATTGAGAGATAAAGATAGACCCAGAGAGAGAGAGAGAGAGAGGGAGAGGGAGAGGGACAGCAGGCCAGCAGATCACCTATGTACTGATTCAGCCTTCTAATGCCGACGGCAGCTAGAGAAAGGCCAAGTCTGGGAGCTGAGAACGCAATCCAGACCTCCAGCGTGGACGGCAGGCACATGCTCACTTGAGCCATTATGTGCTGCCTCCCTGGGTGAGCATCGGCAGGAAGCTGGGCTTGGAAGTAGACCCAGAACTCAAATCAGGCAGTCTTACATGGAATACAGGCACCCCGCTGGTCTTTTGTTTATTATTTTTTATTGGAAAGGCATAATTGCAAAGCTTCCATCTACTGTTCTTCCCTCAGATGGCCACAATGGCAGCCCACACTCAAACCCACGTCTCCCCAGGATGCTGGCATTATAGGAGGAGGATGTGCCAGTTATGCCATGCTGCTAAAACCGCCAGTGGCATTTTAACTGCTGTGTCTTCTCATACTGTGCAAATCTTGAACACTGGCTTAGCATTTATGGGCTGGTAATTTGTTAGAACTTGAGTAAAGTCTCTGAAAATGGCATTGGGAAGCAACGTCGAACTTGGACAGTCATGTATTAGGTACATGCCTGGACTTGGTGATTATGAAAATCAGTTACTGCAGAGTGTTATCAGATTTGCTGCTGGGTTAGCTAAAGAATCTTACGGGATGACATTCTTTTAAATTGTCTGAGATTTGGACAGAGCTACGAGGTTTGGAAATTAAAACAAAGTGGAAAAGGCAAGAAGGTAGAGAATAAAGCAGCGTTGGCAAATAAAAATCACTACGTTCAACATTCTTGAGGCTCCGAGCATTCATTGAAATTCACATTTAACAACGTCCTGGGATGCTAATGTCACATTGCAAATAGTTTTTTTTTCTTGTGAAAAATTTTCCAATATCTGACTTTCTAAGAATAATTCTTTATGTTCTCTTTTAGGGATATACGAAATACTAGCAACTTAAATAAGATGTATTGTGGATTTATCTATAACACGTATGTTTATTACATTCAGTGTAGCAACACACGAAAGACGGTGTGTCAGAAGATGGCCCGTCCCTCTCTGAACATTGAAAGTATACTAACAAATGGTATTCCTGGAGGAAGCAGGTACCCTGGGTGATGATTTTGCCCTGGGGAGCGTGTCTCTCCTGGACCACACACGTGGGATGAAAATGCTGACACTGCACTTCTGTCTCCCAACATTTACCTCTTTCTGTCTTCACTCCGTTTGTGGATCAAGACCCGGCACTCTCTGGCCACACAGATACAACCTGCACACTGTTAAGCATAAAAATAGTGTTTCTTGGAAAATACAGGAATGTTTATTTTTCTTGCTTGTCTAGAAATAAGAGAAATTTCAACCCTGTGGAAAATCAGGGACCATTACCCACTGGGATTTATTCTAGTAATACAAGCGGATTAACATTTTCGGGGAAAAAAAAAAAAAACAAGGGAGAGAATGTTGATGTAGAAACTAGAACCAACCTGGTTGATTTAGAAATTATTTCTTATTTTTTTTTGCAAGTGCAGTAAATTCTAAATTTTCAAAATGAAAACCCGTGCTACAGGTATTCTGAGGAAATTTCTTTCTACGCTTCGTCACCTGCGATACACTTGACCAAATTCCGTCTTACACATAAAATCCTGGCATGGCAACAGCGGACCAAGAGACATCCCATCCTGGAAGACTGACGGGTTAGCGCACCTCACCGCCCGGGGCAGGAGCAGGCACGCGCTCTCCAACCCGGCGTGTCCCACCCTGAGGTTGCAGCGTGGCACACAGGGCTCCAGATAACAGGTGGGGGCCCCGCCAAATGCACAAGAGCTGAAGGAAAACTCTGGGTCAGTGAAGAGTGCTGGTTGTCTCACCCAATCACACTGCTGTCCTGGAGGACTCAGAAGTGAACCAGGGGCCCTTAAAGGGCCAACCAGCTACAAGGCTGCTTCCACGGAGAGCACACCCATTGCTGGTATGAGCAGGGTGGATCCACACAGCGGTCATTTCTCCGCTTTAGTGCTGAAACCTGAAGCTAGGCAGTGTTGCCTAACTAAAACGCAGTGTATGGAACCCTGAAATAATCTGTTCATGATAAGATGCTCAGCTTCTAAACACACAAAAAGGTTGGGAGGCTTCCGTTGGCTTGCTGTACCCCAAAGCTGCTTTTCATTGGTTAGAGATGAGAACTCGAGCCACTGCTTTCGGCAAAAGCCCGGTTTTGTTTTTCCCACACAAGATCTCCACTGTCTTAGGCGCTCTGCTCACACCTTCAGCAAGTCTCAGTGAATTCCCAGCCATCCAGAGTTGCAGCCTAACATTTTTCCTTAGTTGTTACCATTTATGTACACACATGCGTGTACTCATCTGTCCACACATCCTAGGAAAATCTTGTCTTTAAAACTGCCGTCTCAGCAATTGGAGGAATGAGGGATGGCCACGAACGGGTAGAGAAATACAGAAGCGGTTTACTGAAGAAAACACACCTGTCATGGCAGTGATCCAGACAGGGGTAATATATACAGGGTTAATTAATTGATGAATACTTGGATTTAGGAAGAAATAAGCAGGCAGACACACTGAATCAAAACCTAACAGTGGGAAGGATTTTCAACATCAAAGCTATTCCCTGCTGTCTAGGGACAGCAGTTTTTCTCAGAGACAGAATCTGTTTGGAAACAAAGAAAGCGGTTCAGCTGAAAATAACAGACTTTCCCATTTAGTAAGTGGTAAAATGAGAATTACGGCTCCCAACACGTGCCAGTGCTGACGACTAGGCAATCAAAAAGGACCAGAAATCTATCCCTGCCGACCTCATTTCTAGCCTCCAGCTGACAGCCCAGGAAACAGAGAAACAATCCATGGGGTGCAGACCTGTGGCTGTCTTCCACGGCCTGTTTTCCCTGTTGCTTTCTGCTTTTCCTCCCTGAAGAACAGACGCCAGGCTCCCTGCACCAGCCTTCATTATATCTGTACGGAAGAAGCGAAGCCACTCAGCCACACGGAGACACTTTCGTTAAAGTAAACAGCAGATGGAGGTTGTGTGCCGTAGAGCAGCATCCTGAGACCCACGCCTTGCGCAGAGGCGCACAGGACTGAAAGGCCCTGGACACTTGTTCGTCAGGAGGAAGTAGGTGCTGGACAAGACTTTGCAGGAGGCCAAGGATTCCAACAGGGCTCTTTCCCCAAGCCTGCACACACCTAAGCTAAATTTTGACTGGTTACAGAAGGTCCAGGTAACAGATTAGCCCAAGGCCTTGGGACCCTGCATCTGTGTGGGAGACCTGGAAGAGGCACCTGGCTCCTGGCTTCAAATCAGCTCAGCTCTGCCGTTGCAGCTATGTGGGGAGTGAGCCAGTGGATGGAAGATCTTCCTCTCTGTCTCTCCTCCTCGTTGTATATCTGACTTTCCAATAAAAATAAACAAATAAATAAACAAATAAATCTTTTTAAAAAAGCTGTGGCTGAGTAAGTTGCGTTCTTCACTGGCCTGTGCTTGCGTATCCATGCCACGTGGTTGGTTGCCGCTCCCTGAGCCCACTCTGGTTCTGGGATCTTTGGAATTGTCATCTTTTTATTCTTGATGTTGTGACTGGACTGCTCGTTTCCTTCGTCTGAGGAATTTCCCTTCAACACGGGACAGTCATATGGCTACACTTCACTCATTGCATCACATGGGTGGCCTCTAACCTTTTTTCTCTACCCCAAATCCCCCTACTGTTTATAAAGCAAGCTTAGAGATTTTAAGATCCTCTTTCTGCTTCTGGTTCAATGTTTTCTCCACTAGAACTCACATTGGCATGGACTTTATTATTTTTTGAATGTATTAGTTTTTAGTTTTATTTTTGTTATTATTATTTTATTGGAAAGTTGGATAGACAGAGAGGAAGATCTTCCATCCGACGATTCACTCTCCAAGTGGCCACTACGGCTGGTGCTGCACTGATCCGAAGCCAGAAGCCAGGAGCCTCTTCCAGGTCTCCCACATGGGTGCAGGGTCCCAAGGCTTTGGCCTGTCCTCGACTGCTTTCTCAGGCCACAAGCAGGTAGCTGGATGGGAAGTGGAGCTGCCAGGATTAGAAGTGGCATCCATATGGGATCCCAGTGCATGTGCAAGGTGAGGACTTTAGCCACTAAGCTACTGCGCCGGGGCCAAGAATCCTCCTCTGATTCTGGCTCAATGTTCTCCCCTCTCCAGAACCCATGTTGTCATGGGCTTTTATTATTATTTTTTTATTGTATTGTTAAAGATCTTGAAGGAAGGGAGACAGACATGTAATTACTTAGTCAACAAGGCTGACACATCTGCGGAGTAAAAGATGCCATTCGTATCAAGAGCCCCTTGGGAGCGTTGGGCGCCTCAGCAGCGTCTGGCTCTCACCTGGTCCTCGGCTTCACAAAGGGCTTCAGTGCTCTCCGCTTCGTGTTCCATTTTACTCCTCTCAGCTGTGGGAAACAAGTTAATGTGCATCTACATCTTTCTCTTCAAATCCATACAAGCATGCGGACTTGTGTTCGTACGTAGCCTGGAATATGCCACCAGCCCAAGAGTCAGGTCCTGCTCTCGACCACATGGGATTCGCACCGGTGGAACTAGGTCACCTGCTTTCCTAGTAAGGAAATGTCAGCTATTGCACTAACATAAGGGCCTCTGGGCTGACTCACGCCAGTGATTTTTTAACTTATCTGCGTTTTAGTTAAGCGGAAATCCATTTTTTTTAAACAAGCTGACCTCATTCCTGATCAATTAAACTGGAATCTTAAATCCATGGCAGGCTTTGGCATCCATCCAAAGCTTCCTAATAGAATTTCATTGTGTGGCCAATCTGAGAAATATTTCCAAATTGCCAGAGAGATCAAACTGCTTACCTCCTGTCTGTTTCAGCATTCTCCCCAGGGCTGGCTTGTTGTCCCGATGATGGCAACGAAATAGCTGAGAATGATCATTTATTTGTGTTTTTTAAAAACCTATCTGTTTAAAAAAAGAAATCTGTTTATTTGAAAGGGAGCGAAAGAGACAGAAAGAGATATTGGCCATGCACAGGTTCACGCTCCCAGGAGGCTGCCCGGGAGGCTCCCCACTCGGACTGGGCCAGGCTGACCTAGACCCTGGCTCTCTGTAGACCATCCGAATCTCACCTCTGACATGCCCTGGCTTCACTTGGGCTTATAACCTGGAGTAACTTTGTTAACAGCGGTGAAAAAGCCATGATGCTGGCGTTAGAAATCATGAGAGAAATGAAGGAACAGAGCTGCTTTGCCAATCCACCTGTTTGTGGCTTGGGTTTCAGTGTTGTAAATGGGCAAGTTCCCATGAACTATGATCAGATGATCATGTGCATTTCAAAATGTGTGCTTGCCATTCTGACTAAATTTCACACTGGATGTAATTCCTTTGGTTTCAACTGTCTATGGGTGCGTCCGTGCAAGTTGATTGGCTCATGATTTCAAATCTGTAGAGAATGATAAGCGGCCAGGTGGTTCGCAGGAAGGTCAGAGGGCATCTGGTGATAAAGCAGAGGGTGTTGTGGGAAGTAACTCCATTTGCTGACGATTGTAAACACATGGTCAACCCGTGGTCGGCTTTGGGCTCCAGCCCTGGGCTTGCTCCCATGCCACGTGGGCTTGCTCCCATGCCACGTGGGCTTGCTCCCATGCCACGTGGGCTTGCTCCCAAGGCCCCTCTGTCCTGGCGGATTTGGAAGAAGCCCATCAATCCAAATTGTCAACCTTCACTGGAGCAGCCGTCTTCTCACAAATCCAAGAAATTTCAGCACTGCAGCGAGAGATATAAATATTCCCTTTTTGCAAATAAGCACATCCTTTGGATCCATTGATCTGGGCAAGTTCTTTAGTATTAAATCTGGAAATTAACAGATTCAAAAGTAATGATAAATTTCGGATTTGGAGTTGATCTCCGTTCAGTGTTCTCAGCTGCCCTTAAACTGCCTTATTGTTTATCCAAGTTCCAAACAACTTCTGCCTCCACTAAACAGCAAAAATTCCTCAAACTGGCACATCTGGGTCCTTTACCTCAAGCTAATCACAGTCTCAGGTTGAATTCTTTCAGAACAGTTCAATTCTGGGCTGATAATTTCTCCTCCCTTCACTAACAGGGAGTTCCATTAAAGAAATACACCAAGTTGGATTACACTTAGGAACTAAGCTTTCTTTTTTTTTTTAAATTAGTTTCTGTTTTTTATAACTTTAAATTTCTTACTAATTATTTCCTGATAATCAGTTCTGAGCTACTTTCTTCTTGAAAATAGCTGGAATTTCCCAATAGAAATGGACATGCTATTGTGTGTTTTTATGAGAAATGCCACCCATTTGGATCGTAGGAGTTGGAGAGCCAGAGTGACTGAGCGATTGAGTGTGTGATGATAGAGTCAGTCCCGCTTCTGTCACTTCTGAACTCGGTGACCTGAGGGACGTTATCTCTGTGGGATAATATTGTTATCCCATCATTATTATATGTATTATATATGTAATTTAAGTAACTATATTGAAACGAGCAGATTAAAGGTCAGTGCCTTAGCATGAACTTGCCACTGGCCTTCCAACACTTGTTACTAAAGTTCTCCTTTTTTTGCAGGTGCCATTCCCTTTTTTGTTCCTAGATTTATAATTCTTAGAATATTTTCTCAAGATTCCAAGGAATACTTGATTCCTCTCCTCTTCGCCCGCCCCTCCCACTTCCCAGCTTCCACTAGAGACTTACAAAGATGGGGAAGGGATAGAGCCATCTTCCCAAAGCCAGTTTCTGCTGGAATGATCCCATGACAATCCCAGCCAAAAGAAAGACGAAGTGGGCAGTGGCCGGGATTTAAGAAAGTTCTGAAAGGAAAAAACAGGAAAAAGTGTGCATGAGAGCCACCGTTCAGTCTGCAGAGACAAAATAAGTGGGGATAGCCACTAGGTTCCTCTATGACTGCTCATTTAAAATGCACTGACTTTCTATCCCTTGCATCAGGAGCTTCACTTGTTTTCCCTTTTATTGCATGTATCCAGGAAAGGCGCTTCACTCATACCTTTTCTTCCCAGCTGTCTATCTTTGCCAGGGAGGAGTTCTTGTCCATGCAGTCCTTTCGACTATCAGTCCAGGTTTTCTCTTCATTTGCCATAAAATAATAACAACTGTCTTGGTGCCACTGCCATGTCTCAGGGCAAGGATTACATCTGTGGTCTGTAACAGAAATCACAGCCGATAACACAGGCTCTGTGACTGTGGACCGATCATTTCGTCGGACAAGGGAGTCTGAGAGCCAGAACTCTGAAACCATCACTGATTTAGGAGATTCTGAAAACAAAAACACCACTGGTATAGACTGAGACAAGGAGTTGTCTTCGGCTGCTGGTCCCAGAGTCACCAGCCATGCTTCTTTCACCAACAGGATCATCTAGAATCCGTTAGTTAAATGAGGGGCTGGAGCATGTTAGGCTGGTATCATTCCAAGATACTTCCCAAACTGATCTCAAAAATATTAAGTGGATGTTTATGGTCTCTATCTCCTGTAAATTTAGTGGGATGTCACTGAAGGGGTCATGGGACAACCTACTTCTCTTGACCTCTGAGGAGGTGTACTTGCCCAGCTTAAACTAGAGAAGCAGGTTCAGGGTAACGGGTTAGCTGATCTAAGTGTCATTACCTGACGTGTGGAGGATTAGCTCCTGGCAGAGTTTGATGGCTAATTGGCCCTGCCTCTTCAAGAGTTTGGAAATCTGTGATTTGAGGGATTTCTCCTCCATGGTTAAATTCCCAGGGTGACTCAGTTGCTGGGATAAGTTGTCTTGCTGCTGGTGAGTAATTTTCTGAAGCCTATTCAATTCCTCCGAATCTGAGTTCATTTCATTTGACATCTGCAAAACTCCAAGACATGACATGGGACATGTTGATGTATCCTTAACAGCCATAGGCAGTTCTCACACAGAAACATATCCCACATTTTAAAATATTTATTAGTAGCTCCCCAACACAGATAGATCACGGACGAAACACACCAGACACCTTTCTGCTCCAAACTGTTTATAGCTCATCTTTATAATTTTGTTCCTCCTTATTGTTTCTCATCTTAGCGAATTAATCATTACATCTCTGACTATGTAATTAAAACAAATGTATAATGAGATCATCTTGGCTGTGTCGTTTTTCATTCATTTGGATGGCATGTTGTGGTTATTTTCTCTATTTGGATTTAGTTATTCTTTTAATGGAAACAGTCTTCCTTGCAG